TTGTAATCATTTTTGTTCAGATTTCATGTTATGGTAACATTGTGTGGTGTCGTTTGCTAACTGTTGTGTATTGCAGTAAATTAATACAATATATAGGCCATCTTATGTCTATATTACAACAATTATTTTGTAATACTTTTTTTAAGTACAAAAAAAAAAAAAGACTACATTCTCCACGTCGTTGATAAATCAAATGCGTTTTTTCGCTTGACGACGATAATTCATTTTTAGTTATATTTTTTCTTGACCTCATTGCATTAAAACTGCCAGTTGTAAACAATTATAGCAAATCATATAGCCACATTGTAGTGAAGCCTGTGATATTTGAATTTATTCGTTTCACCCGGACAACTTGAATACAATATTACATTACTATAATAATCTTACGATTAATTATCAAAACTAGCAGTCACGGCATTTGTAAATGTAAAAGACTTGGCGAATTAATTACTTAAACCCAACCCGGTGGACACGGCAATCGGCCGTTATGGAAGAAAGCGTCGTCGTAGAGCGAGTAAGACTATACCCAAGACTTTTTATTTATATTATTATTATTATTCTTTTTTTTATCACGGTACAAAATGAGAACCACGTCGAGTCGTATTGCTTTGGATGCCATTTGTTTCATACACGTTTTTTTTATTAAGTGTTAGCGCACAACAACGTGACGGTCCCCAAACGAAATAAAACGTGCTCGACGAACTTTGATATATTCCTATTTTATTTCATTTTAAAAAAGAACGGACAAATAGTTTTTTTTTTAACAGTGAACAAGTAAAAGTAGAAGTACAGTGTGCCTAGGCAGCATAGTATTTTTTACATTTCAACAAAGAGCAAAGAAGTTAGTACCAATTGACTTGAAAGTATAATAAACACATTTATAGTTTTCAATTTTTAACTACAACAACCGCAGCTTTATATTTGTAGTAGCTATTATTATATTTTTTCTTTTACCTAACCGGATTTTACGTTAACGATTTATATTAATACTTGCAAATTGCAATGCATCTAAGAAAACACAAATTAAAACATAACTATTCTGCTCTCTAGCAGGGTAGAATGGCATATTATGAACTATTTAAAAATAGACCATGATCGTTGATCAATACTGTTGAATTGATATTACTATGCAATAGAAAAAGAAAACGAGATAGACGTAAAAGAAAATTTTGAACAAAGATTCAACAATTAAAAAAAACTCGAATCAGGAATAAGTAGAGTCAAAATGTTGTGTTCATTTAGAAAAAGAATTTTTTCTTTAAGATGGCACTATTTACCTAGTATAGATGTTTATTCGTTTACCTAACCTTCTATATTACACTTTGTGGGTATGTATAATTTCTACTTGCCTTTAAATATCTCAGAAAATGCAATTAAGCCATCTAACAATACATGCCTTAACTATTAAACATCCAAAATCTAAAATATATTTAATTTCTCAGACCAAATCAGAGCATAATACATTTAATTAAATACATTCCAAATAAATTTAATAAAAAAAAAAACATTTAATTAAAGTAATGATCAAAAGAGGAATAAGAAAATTTAATTAAATTTAGAGTACTAATAAGAAAATAATAAAGAAATACTTTTAAATACATTATAGCGGAAATGACGCCCTGGTACAACTTTCTAGATTAACACGACTGTAAGAGTATTTAATTTAATTTTTAAAGAAACACTCTCTATTCTCTAGCATCCAACATAGTAATGGATCTTAAGATTTTTTTGTTTTTATCTTCGATAATTAAATAATTTCATCCATTATTACATTCAGACATTCAAATAATAAATTAATTGCGCTGAAGAAATAATATTCCAAATATCGAATAACTTTGTCATAAGAACGGTAATCAAGTAATAAACGACAAAATAAAAGATTACAATTTTTCGACTGTTAATTTCTTACTTGGATCTACAATCACTGGTGTCGAGACGGTACACGGTTGCAGTTTCTATTTAATCAGCTAGTCTTTTAATATAAATAGAGTGTTTTTGAGTCCGTTTTGGATGTATACTTAACCGTTATAATGATAATCAATCAGCTAAAACGTGCGTTGCAAGTTTTCATTAATATACTCCATATCCGTACTACGTTTCTAATTAACGGAATTGACCATAGGCGTTATGTGAGTCGTATAAGCAAAGATAATGATAATAACATGGCGGCCGTGGTGTATAATAATAATTAAAACGCAGACTACTTGGAGAGCGGGAGGAGACGTCTCCAACTGATGTGGTGTCTTGCACGGTCAGCATTTGCTTTATAGGGACCAGATTTTCAATAAAATTGATGATGCCCAAAGTCCGGTGGGTTGTAAATGAAACGACCGTCGGCGCAAGAGTAATGCTTATTGTTCACCGAAAGATTTCGAAATTAAAGACAAATTAAAAACTTTCCCAGTTTTACGACATACATGCGCCGGACTCGAGACACCCGCTCATTCCTCCCCACGTCTTTGCCATTGTTCATTCGTGCAATGGACGGGCTGAACACCGTCAATTAGCCGTCCGGAACACAGTGCTTTCTTCGGGGTAACTTAATTCGCCCAGACATTAATTGTCCCTCGACCCTAGATAATGGAACCCCGCGATACTCGCACATACGGTTCCAAACGGCCGAACAAGAGATAACCGGCGGAGAGCCACTAGTAATTTTTGCTATTATAGTTGGTATTCGTCTAGAGTAGTGGTCGTACCTGACTGAACGTCCAGGAGTCACACTATCTTAGACGGTGACGTGCGGTTGTTTTGTCTGTGGCACTTTAAAAACTGCTATCGAGAAAAGTTTACCTATATTAGTCCCACGGATGTACAAAACTGTTAGGAGATCCGACTTGGAGGGACGACGGCATCGAGAAATCCATGTTTTGAACAGATTTTAACTTGTTTCCAACATTAAGAACTCGAAATGATAAGCAATACAAAAGTGAGCAGAGTCGGTCGTGATTGAAATGCGACATCGATTTGAGGAATGAAGGTATAAAGAAAGGTGGAGTGTGGTATATTTTTATCTGCGCGCACTTCCCCTCCCATCCAAATTTATAAACTCTTATAACTTTAAAAACTGGTTATCAACCAGTCAAAATTGTTAGTACATAATTCTCAATTTAAAAAGTTAGGTATGCGTTACCATTTAAGTTTTAAAAGTTGCTATCAAAAAAACTGTATGTAAGTGTTGTATTTATTTATATTTAAACCATGTCAAACTACTCGACAATTGTTCTAGTTTCCAAGGTAAAGAATAAACTTGTAATTTTTTTCGTTTTGGTATTTTATTATTGCACCAGTTTTACCGTACACCTAATATCGGGAAACAAAATCTACGGTATTCAAAATATAACATTAAGGTTGTAATGGGTTTTTTAACGCGTTATTAAATAGTTATATTATAGATACAAACGCTAGATACGATTTTAAAACGCGGACTTCTAAATTAAAACAGACAACAGTCCTCAACAGTTAGGTATTATCAGTCTCAACACACCACCACCACGACAAGAGTGTAAGTCTTATGATTTACATTAGTAATTTTACTCGAAGCTCTAATAGTGTTTGAAATGAGCAAAGCAAAACGTCTGCCGTGTGACCGTACTTAGATAATTGTATTATCCATTTTGAAATTTGATATTCTCTTGGCGACCACACTTTGGAAAACTTGTTGCCGGTTATATTTCTGTACACATCGTGTGGAATTGTCTTTTAATTAAAATGAATTTCTGACGTCGGACTTACATAACTGCGGTAAATATTCATATCATCGGTTTTGTTCAGACACATGATTTGCAGGCAACAGAGATATACAGTGCCCATTATTAGTTTGAGTTTGTCGGTGAATTGAAAATACCTCTGCCGGTACTCCGAACGAAATTGAATGCATCTTAATAACAGTAATGTAACGTGAGTTAAACTTCGACAACGGAGAAAACATTTTAATTTAAATAACAAAGTTTTTCTACGTTTCCGATGGTCCTGCAACGAAACAGCGCTATAGAAATAATACTCGATGGAAAGTCAACAACAGTCAGTACAAAATTGAAATTGTACAAGTTTTCTAAAAGTAAAATAGACACTTTGGACAATTTTAATCGAACATCGCAGACGCCCAACAATAGTTGTTTTACTTCTAATTAATTAAGGTTTTTGATCGCGTAAATGTGTCGTTCAATTCGATTTTAAGGAAGTCATGTGCCAATGATTGCTAGACGGTTTTTTATTCAGCCCATGACTCTCACAATCTGTTAACAATTGGGGGTTTTGATATTCCAAGACAATTTAAACAACTTAAAAATATAACAATCTATAATTTTTTTAACAATATTCGAATTACTTCCATAATTGTATGGAATATTCTTTAGGCATAGTCTTACACAATGACAAACCAAAACAATATCAAAACATATAACATAACATTAAAATTTTGGCTACAGATTTTTTTTTTCACATACGTTAGGAGTAAATGTTAGACCTATCTTCAGACTAATTTTCAACTTATTCTAAAATTGCACTAAAAAATAAAAAAATTCCAAACCTTCAGGGTCTGAAATTTGGGATAATTTTTGTTATCTTTTGGATAATCTATTTTTCGCTAATGTGATATTTGTACTGGATCCACTGAATTCAATATATGGAACGCGCATACGGGTTGTAATACGTCCCCACCTGGGATGCAGCCATGTTGTTTTCAATGTCATGGAAAATAAAAACGCTACGTTACTTTTCCATGATAAATATTAAAATGTTATCTCTAAAATTTAACTTGGCCACCTTCAGCGGTGATAACGCGGTAATATATTTGGTAAATCATGGTAGAAACAATAACTGTTCACAATATGGCGGCCTCCGGCTAGTGGACATTTTCACGAACGGCCAACTATATAGGCAATACGCGTTTCAAGTTCCATATATTGCGCTCAGTGCCCGGGTCGTTTACCCGACCCTATCTAACCTCAGGTGAAACGTATTTTTAATGTTTTTTTCTATTATGTCTGTCCACACAGATCAGACCATGCCGCACAAAATCAATGTGGTCCTCGTAATGCTGGCTACCGTTGCAGCCGTTTCGGCCGACTCGCCAATGAATCGACGGGCCAGCATGGGTTTTATGGGCATGAGGGGCAAAAAGGACCAAGAATCTGGCGGAGAAACACCGGCGGGTCTCGAGCTGGACAAAAGGGCGTTGCTGTTCAGGAGGCCGTTTTTCGAAGATTCCAGGTCGGCGGCGGCAATGGCGGCGGCGGCGACGGCCAACTCTGCCGAGGGATTTAAGCGGGCCATGGGCTTTGTGGGCATGCGAGGAAAAAAGCAATACTACAGTAAAGGGTCGCCCGGTTTCTTCGGCATGCGCGGCAAGAAGGTACCGTCGGAAGCGTTTTTCGGCGTCAGAGGTAAGAAGTGGCCGGAGGTGGACGACAGAGACGTCGAACAGGCAGTGATGGCTTTGCACAAGATTATCAACAATATGCGATCCGAAGGAGGTAATTATTATGAAAACATTTCGACCTTTTCGTTAGGCCGGTTAAATCGACCCCTGTCTCTGGCCGTTTCTTTACCGGGCGGGTCTTATCTCATGAGTTCGAGAACATTCCAACTAGCCTAATAAAGGCCAGACTACCGAATTGGTCGGTTCGGTTACTTGGCGGTTCCCAAATTTGATTGAAAGTATTATAATCATTCCTATCAAAAGTCAATGTCATATCCAATTCAGAATTGAGCAAGATTTCCGTGTTGCTACATTATATCAATTTTGAAATTCAAACACGTTTGGCTAACGTAAGAAATAAAGACGGCTTGAAAAAACAAATCAACATTTTAATTTTACTATTGACAACTTCGTTAAGGCACTAAAATGAACAATAAACAAAAGCTAAATTTAAACTGTCCTTCTTATAATATATTGGGATCTTTTTAAAAAAAAATATCGAGTTAACTGAATTTTGCAATAGGAAAAGAATTGCCAAGAGCATTACAATTTTGGTTAATGTATAATGTAAATAGTTAGAGCTTGGTTTTTTTTTCATCCGAGTCCGGCGGTTGCATACTTAATGCAATGGAAATTCACGTTTCCAGTGCAAATATTTGATTTTTTATTTAAGCAAAGCCCACGAAACCTTGGATGTACCCGTGACTACATTATTTAGTTTTGTTTCAATGGATTTTATTTAATTCGTTTTGAATAAGAAAACGCTGACGCCCTAGTGTTATAACTATTGTGTCATACAAATCTCAATCCGCCTTGCAGAGCTTCCGGAATAATATATATAAAGGAAGGTGGATATTATGCACTAAAGTGCTCTTTACCATAATACTTAAAATGTTTTCCTGAGCCCACTGCAGTGCTAATAGTTGGGTTTATCTGAATAAATCGCAAGAACTCTTATTATAGATGATGTTAGACAATGGTTTTGTACAACGCTGATAGGTTTACCATGCTTTGTTCGTGATGATACACACTAGTCTTTTGGATTGGCGCCTATAAAATATGCCAACGACCTCATAATTATTGAGATATCGCGTGGGCGCAAATAATAAATGATTGTAGGATATCCGACTATAGATAGTATACAAGTGAAATGAACTTGTTTCAACTGTTTGCCTGAGTGTACACGATGCACATTTGTAATTAGACAAAAACCAACAAGTAAATATCTAACTAAAACAGGGAAATGTATACAACACACTAATGTCTACTGATATTTATCACATTTTGTGTAATTGAAGTATTTTGTTTCAGAACGAAATTACGTGGCGACGAAATTCGACGAAGAAAAAGAAATGCGCTGATTTTATTTTTATTTTAGAATTAAAAAAAACTGTAGCACGATATTGAAATAATTATGAGTTTCTATACACATCTACCATCAATTCCTATTGAATAAGTTAATATTATATTATGTAGTTAATACGGCGTTTAAAATATTATAATAAAAACTTAATTGTATAAAGTAACAAACTACGTATATTATCTTAGTTTCGTTTGTCTGTGTTTGAGTTAGTTGATATTATATTAATATTATGTTGTTTTATCATTCAACTCCATACATACATATTATGAGGTTTCCTTGTTTTTAATTCTGTAGAAAACTCGTTAATTGTATTATTAGTCAAACGGCAGCGACGTTACATTATAGTTTGTATAATATCTGTTTTTAAATATTACCTAATATCTAAAACATATATACACACAGATGTATTTGACTGTTATCTTTTTATTTAGGCTAAACGTGGTCTGTGAAGACAACTGCCATGTATTTGAATAAGTAGTTAAACGTTGAGCAGAAAAGAGCAAACGATATGTCGCGGTGATTGTGTGAAGTGACTGGAATGGCTTAAATAAAGAATGTGCATTTTAATACAAAGGAAAATTAGGCATGTATCTTAGACGAGAGAAAAGGCCAAGGTAGTTAGGGCGTATCACGGAGAGAGAAATAAGAAAACAATAGCAATGGAAAATATAAATGTAAAAAGAGATTAATTCAGACTTAATTGAAAACGAGGACAGCCAATAAGTGTGCGAATGGAAGATGGCACAAACCGTTTTGAGAAGGGGTTGATGATGACCATTATCTCAGGATTTTCCCACGGGAATCTGAAACCAGTAAACTTAGGACACTGTCGGCACGTCTAACAGTGTTCGATATTGTATTATTTTCTCGTTTGGGAGAAAAATTGGGAGTCTGATGATATTCATAATATTGTACGGACTTTGTAAATTGTAATTCTCGGGATGAGTGATGACCGGACCAAGACGATGATTGGGCGATTCTCACAAGAACAAATGAACATTGGCAAAAAGAAAAAAAATCATTTAATCCGCGTTTAATAATACAAAACAGCCATTAAACTGTTTGGCCGCCAACGCAGATGTTAATTTTTATTCGCTCTCAAAGAATGTAAAGACAATAGAAAATAACCGTACCAGACCGATTAAAATGTATAGCGAGACATTATATTTGTATTTTTTATTAGAAAAATCAGTTGGAACAATCGCGGACATGACAAATCTATCCGCTCTTGTTTCTCTTATCTTCAAACAGCCCATCGATCATCAGTGTAATCGGAATGTTCGGTTCAACAAAAAAATAAAAACGACCAGGGCCAAAATTTTAATTTACCGTGTTTTGGCGACGAAAGGCGGGAAACTTACATATAACGACCAACTCTGGCATTCTAAATCTAAGTGGAGTGTGTGTTTATATTTGTAATCCTATAGTGGTGTAATATCGACACCGTGTAGCTGCTGTCACCCTTGATGTAAATCTCTAAGAGAACTGAAGTTCTTAATAAAACGCATCATAGTATTTTTCTAATAAAGTAAGAAGTCCCGCGTTTTCCTACGATAACGCGAAATCTTCTAACAACACATTTCAACCACATTATCACTTTTTATTCTACCAACAAATTCCAATTGTTCCAAACTCCTGTCATCACACGAATGACAAATTTTTTTTAAGCTGGGTTCTTGATTGTCATTTTTTTTTTTTTTTGTCAGACTATCTCAGACATTTCTATAGGATAAATTAAAAAAAAATGTCCATTAAAACTGCACTGGACAAGTATACGAGGACAGTATTAACAGTAGATTTACCAAATTTTCACAATGTATAGAGAAGAACAGATATAACACAGTAGCAAATACGGTCATTTCACTTTTATATAGAATAGATAAGATATAAGACGGACATCCGACACAAACGTATCAGTTATGCATGTCTTCTTCTTCACCTTACACCGTACAAATTGGGTAGGCCAGCCAAATCCATCACCAATGCTTTATTGAACACGGTGTTCTATATAAAAAAAACATTTAAAATAAATATATAATACATTACATAATATACACATAATTATTATTACACCATATCCGGAAATATAATCATGACAGTGCTTGTTATTTTTGTGGAATGTTTGCCGAATGTGGCACTGATTCGACGGTGTATTTGCAGTAAGTCTCTGTTAATTCTCAATAATAAGAAAAAAAATATTTTGTAAAACTTGTTGTGTGTATTTTACTACTTAAGTTGTCCGGTCGATCACTGCTCAAACTTGCGTGTCTTAAAAATTACAACGACCTGTTACGTTGACATATACTTACGCTGTTTTTATTTTGCTTCCACGGCGGTAATATTTTGAATAAGTAATTACCACGTGCACTGAAAATATTATCGAAAAATACAGACATTGTTTTATTTTGCCGTCTATACATTCCTAAGTACGACTAAAAACATTATTCTGTAAATTTGTTAAACAGATAAAAATTGTTTTTCAAAATTCAGCTCAACTTTAAATTTAAAAATTCTTAGATAATATTAAAATGTATGATCTTTTATTTGTCGTTCAAATATTGTTGCTTGGTTTTTTTGCTGTGTGACTGCCCCGCGGCCAAGAAAGGGAAATATATCATTTAGTACTTTAAGTACAAAACAATTCTAAATTTTATATTATATTTAAAATACTGTATTAGTTTATCGTTGGCCACAGCCAAAAATTAGTTTCAATCCGGGATCAATTTTGACTTTTGTTTAAAAAAAAGTAACTGCATGCAAAGTACATTTATAATTTTGTTCTACAACTTGAAATTTCATTAGAAAAAGTTATCTTAAAAACTTATAACATTAAAAAAGTGTCGTACAATTTTTTTAAATGCAGTTTTTTGGATTCAAAGTATGAAAATTACACTGATTTATATCAAGTTTATGTATCTTATGTACAGAGTGACCCACGAGAAATTTACCATAATTTCTTAAGGATTTTTTTTTCTGATAAAAGTTCTCAAATAAAAGCATTTGGCGGAGCTTTTACTAGAAAAATTGTATTTTCAGTTTTTATGAATCTTTTATTCAAACGATTTTTTTACTAACTGATTTATAACTTTTACTTTAGCATTTTAATTTTACTTTAAAAGTTCCATAACTGTTTCAAAATTGTAGTCTCTTTTTCCGCGACAGTTTATTGGCGGTAAATGTTATGACTCGGAGGTAAAATACAAATATGGCCAATTGAAACACCATTTGCAGGTGGATAAGTCGCATACACTGTCTGTGGTTAATAATAATTGACGTAGGTTGATAATATTATACGGTGTGGTAGTACAAACTACTAAGGATATCCGATATAATTGGCCTTGTAGTACACTGTGTTTAATTGATACACGGCATGTATACTTAAGCGTTTTGTTGTCTACACATAGTAACGTGGACACGATGCAGTAGAATGTAATAATATATTGCCTGTTGCAGTGGGTAGTTAAATAAAATAATAATCGAGACGGTTATTTAAACAAGGGTCCAATTTTAAATTTTGCGTTTTTCAGGAGACAAAAAAAATGTCTATAAGGTACATTGTTTTTTTTTTTTTTTTAACGAAAATATTATAATTTTGCCTAATTTATTACCGTTTAATGGGTTGATTTAATTTATAAAATATTAATTTTAATTTAGCCAAAGGAATTTTTTGTAAGTCACTTGGAAAAAAAACATATAATTTGAAATTGGCACTTGTTCTAATAAGCGTTTAAATTTACCGTCCAAGTGAATTTATTTTAATTAAATTATTTCGCATTGCTCCACGTGTGTATGTGTGTGCATTTGTCGCTTGACTTGGGGCAAGTTTAAGGCTACACTCAAATTTCAGTGCCGTTTAGAAGTTGTTGGTTTTAATTTGTATTCGCAAAATTTAGTTTTAAATATAAAAAGTACTTTGGCCGAGGTGGTTTTAAAAATGATTACACTTGTTTTCCTTATAATATATTTTTTCCACTGTTACTTGCATTTCAAATAAACACAAGTATACAAAGTACGAGCGGTCTCTCGGTAAGTTCAAAGAAAAGTTTTTTTTTATTCGATTATTAAAACTAATGAAAAACATCATTACGAAAAATTGCAATAAAACGAGTTTGTTTAATCTCATCGTTTGGGTAGTCCCCTGTACAGGGGCTGTAAGTACATACAATAACACTGTGCTATACTAACATAATGTATTTTAGTGATAAAAGAAAAAAATACTATGTTGAAATAATATCGTGTAGTTAAATTGTATACCCCTAACGCCGTGTTTGAGATTAAGTTTATAGCCGTTTTGATATAAATTTCTACTACAAAATATTATTATTAATAGACATTATTTATAATCTATCAAGTAATTAAAACCACATTTTACCTAACTTTATACTGACATGGAAATGAGCTCCCGTTTTTTTAAACATCTGACACGACTATATTTAAAAAATATATATACATATTTGCTACCACAAAAAATCGACCTCTATTTCACTTTTTACAAGATTTGTAACAAAAAAAATCAAATTGAAGTACAGATGAAGTAACTCGCAAAGGTTTTGACACAATAATAAAAAAAAAAACATTCGATTTTTATAGAATTTTTTTCAATAAATTGAAATTTGCCGTTATGTTTTGTGCACCAGTCGAGTTTTCTTAAATAACGTTGACTGTAAAAACAAATGATTAATAGTATACCATTAATGAATAAATGGTATACAAATATATATTTCTAATTGTAACAATTCGCCTTTGAAATAAAAAATAATCTCAAACAAAAGAATATGAAAATTTAGCGGCCATGACATTTGCCATACCTACCTACGAGGGAAAATAAGAGGTTAGTCTAGAACATAAGAAAATATTATCTTGGCACGTTTAAACGTTTGGATCAACGGGATTCTCGTATTTCTCGAGATTTATGTACAAGTGGGCATAAACTTAAAAACAGATATCATATATTGTATACATAGTGTTGAACTTCACACACGAATCTTAACGGCGGCCGAACCAAGTTTCGAGTCAAGTATCGACCAAGGTTCATGGGACATTCCTATTACACATTCCTGATACACCTTACTACACACGTGCCATTACATAGTACTGTTCATAAAATATACCCATATATATATATATTTATACATACACCGGAATGTGAAGCACTTCGATTATACAAACAACTCACGTTAGAAAACCAAAAAAAAAAAGAAACTGCGGATTTTAAACAACAACAAAAAAAATCTTAATATCTTAATCATACTTATTTTTTAGCTTATTAGTTTTTCCCTACTTAAGAGAGAACTGACCAATAAAACTATTTCAAGGGCCCAAGCAAACAGCGTTGGGAAGTATTGGAAACAACGGCATAGTTGTTGGGCCAAAAATTTAAACAAGCATATAAGTATTTTGTATGTGTACAAGAGAATGTATGTGGGTTTTGTGGGCGAGGTAATTAATTATTTAAGCCTTCGAGATAGTACATGTATAATACAGTATATTTTACATAACAGTTGGAGTGCTCGTGTACCTATCTATAATGCGCTTACATTTTCAAAAAAAACAAAAAAAGATACGCGAATAAACTAGAAAAAACCTAAGTTTTTCGGTGAGAAACTAAAAAAACGAATTTGTAATGTAAACCAGTTTCATTTGAATATTTGTTTATCAACGTGACGCGATAAACTCATATGTATTATTATTTTATTTGTACACAATTATTGTGAAATGTATTAAAATTTAATTTGAAATTAGCTGCCGTGTATCTATAATTTGTCAAATTTTCTGCATTTATTATTTTACTTAAATATTATTTTCCAAGAAATGATACAACTAATTATAATTTGCTTTTTGATGTAGTAATTAGAAAGATTCAATTTTTGCATAAAAATAAATAATGTTACCTTTGTTTAAAAAACGGACTGCCTTTGAAAGTTCAACTTTTGGGTCCTAAATGCAAAATAAAAAAGCTAAAATTTAAATTAATGTTTCCTTTTAGACACCCTGAAACGGATTTATAGTTTTTAAAAATTGCAAAATTAACATTTAACCGACTGTGGCATCCGTGCTTCGTGTATTTTCGAGGACACGAAAAACGGCCAATTAATCTTTCTTAATAGTTAATAGGCAAATTAAAACGGGCAAACAACAGTATTAAATAGATAAAAACTAAAGATAAATAAAACATTTTAATAGAATTATTATTGTAATAATATAAAAAAAAAAACAATTACCTCTTGGTAAACTATTTAGTTACTACCTAACGTTTGACAATGGCTTTGTTGGTCACTTACTTACCATTACAATGTATAAAGGTAAATAAATTAAGCAATTAAGATTTCCCACAAAATATTCGTGACCCAAGGTCACAACAACAGCTCATTGCATAGACGACCTCGACGACTGGCTCCATTCATTATAATTTCTTTAAATCATATTATTATTATTATTTTTTTTTAAACACTATTAAAATTTAATATAAAAGTTCACAAATCGTGTTCATACTTAAAAGGATAAGAAAATCACTATCTCCACTCAAACTTATAAAGTCTGTCGTTGGCGCTGAAGATGACAACATTGTTGCCAAAATACGTATACGCATAGAGTGTACTATTTTTATGGTTAAGAGTTTAAATATTAATTTCTTTACTACGTCACTTGTCTATAACCAAATAAAATAACACTTATACATTTGTACTTACCTAAACAATAAATACAGCACAAATGACCGTTAGTTACAAACAACGAGAAGTTTTGTATTTTAAATAAACCTTTCAAAATGGAGACGGAGCATATCAGAGTCATTTAATGTTTGATTTAACTGTTAGTGATATAATTTTATAGATAATACATCGTGTTAGTAATTATGTTATTTGGTCATTTGTTAATTTTCCTCAATAAAAATGTGATGCATTTTTTTGTTCTGAAAATGGTAACGCGTGTAATTTATTAACAATTTTAAATTGAAAATAATCTATTGCCTATTTTGATTGATCGATAAAAACATTTTATGGTTATGACAAATATGTTTTCAAAATAACTATTATTACTATAAAAAAAAAAAGTTTCTTCACCACAATGCAAACAAGTCCAAAATGCATTGAATTTAAAAAAAAAACATAACCGTGAATTATTTTTTAACTAATTTTATTCATAATATTATAATACGTAAAATCAAAATTAAATCACAACCTTTAATACATTTGATGTATGGAAAATACACGAGAAAAAAAAATTATTTTAATAAAACTGTAAACATTTTTTGTTTTCTTATTTTTTCAATTCGTCCTGGGCATTTTAATAATTTTATTCTGTACATATTTTAGTATATATAATTATTTTATGGCACAGTACAGCGTAAAAAAAAAAATATATTATAGAAACAAAATTCAATAAAAAAAAATTAATAATAATAAAAATAAATATTTACATTTTTTTTTTTTTGTTAAGTAAATGCGTTACAAATAAAATGTTAAACATCAAGCTAACACGTAAATAACAACACTAAACACTTTAAAAAAAAAAAAAAAAAAATTGCACACAAGGCCGGTGATAAAAATAAAACAAACTTATTATTATAACCGCTTCTATTGCAATTTTATTTTTTGAGCAATGAAAAGATAACAAGAAAAAATTCAGAGCATGGTAACGACTTTTTTTTTTTTATAACGGTATTTAATGAGCTTGTATGGGATGATGAACACAGTTGAAAACTATTTATTATATCGATACCAAGAAAATTTAACTATTTTATTCAACACAAAGACCAAAAGAAAGTAAGTGGTAATTAATTTATAATCAACAAACCAAAAACAAATTAAAATAATATTTGTTTTTATTAATTTTATTTACATGTCATTTTGATGTGAATTTACAAGTAATCCTACAGTAGTTACTCTTACGAACAAAACAGATCGGCCATTTATTCGTTACCGCAATTAAAGCTTAGATATTAAAAAATGGAAAATATATTTTTACACATTTTACGACCTTAAATAAAGTACATGATAATTGTCTAGAATAATGAAATTTTTTAAATTTAATTTCAAAAGAAAAAAAATTGATAATAATAAATATATTGCACATTATAAAAAGTACACACGTTAATTATTTTCACATTCAATAAATTATTTATTTATTATATAAGTATATATAAATATTTTTTTTTTACATTAATACTATAATGATCATTAAAAAAAAAATAATAATAATAATAGTAATAATAATACGAGTTATTTTCTAATTTTGTTTATTTAATAACAGACTTGATAGATAACACCATAAATTTATATATATATATAGATATATATAAATATATTTTTTAAGTCTAATGGTAGGTAATGATCTTATGCGAGTGAACAATTCGAATTGATTACACACAATTAGTTATACAAATGTCAGCAGTGAAAAGGGACCAATTAATTATTTTTCGAAATTGTTGGAATGACTTCCACATCATTATATTACATTCACGTGGAAATAGAAAAATCACAATCATTTGCAGTCGAAATACTTATACCACCGTCAAAACATCGAGTTTGTCGGTAACAAAAGTAATAATAATATTGGGTAGCACATAGAGTTTGAATGTTAAGTAGAAGAACAAAAAAAAAAAGGAATGAAGATATCATTTATAATATACTTATCATTAAGTATATCTCGTCCTAGACTGTACAGTAAGTACACTGTCGGTACTTTAGCCTAGGAACGGACGTACCAACAATTTGAAAATCCTAAATAATGTTATACATCAATTTTGTTGTTTAAATCAATACTATATAGTATACCTGACAAATTTAATTTGTTTAGTTCACCATCAGAGTGTGCGATTCGATAGGCGCTGCCGAATCATATAATGTGTCAGTGTCTTGAGTCGGCTCGCCCTGGAGTTGGCATTGGTTATTTAATGTGCCAGCTCCACAATCACAAAAAAATCTGAAAACAAATTATTTAGCTTGTTAGAGAGTTTGAATTTAAATTCAATGGTGTAGTCGTAAGAGTATACTACGCTGAGACTACGCGCCACTGACTAAATTTAAATGGTACATTTTTTTATTGTATAACAATTAGTGATTTCTCCTTAAAAATCAATGAAATTTTCAATTTTCTTTGTTTGATAAGGGTAATTCATAATTGGTCGCTAATCATATTCAATTTGTTTGAATGTAGAAAAAACACCTTAACTACTAATTGTGTGACTCCTCACTATTGCGATTGGGGCAACTTCCCACCACTATAGAATGATCATTTTGCTCAAGTTAATTATAAGTTAATTACCTGTCATGCCTAATGAATTCAACATCATGTCCTGCGTGACACGTTTTAATACAATTTACACATATTGCGTTTCTATCAGTCGTGTTGCATGTTTGACAACGATAAAAGTCGTGCATTGGAAACGAAGTGTAAGACGATATTTTGTACAAACACTGACCGTTACAAACTGCCTTTTCGACAGCGTCTTGATTACTATAGATTTTATTACCTAAACGAAAAAACTTTTATTAAAAAACAGTAATAACAATAATAATAACAGATTTTTCTTGATCAAATACAATTAATGACTGTAACTGAAATCAATCGACTCACTCCTAACAATTGGCTGTACACCGCTGGCTAAGCAAAGGCCACCGAAACGGTTATTGAATATTTGATTACTATCTAAAGTAGCCGTTGCGTTATTGGTGATTTCAACTCCAGCGGCTAAGCCGTCAAATATTCTGTTACGCCTCAAAATTGGATGGCTTTGCGTCGATATTAGTACACCAGCTTGAGCATTTCTAAATATTTCATTTTCTTCCAAGTTACCTAAACGGAAAAGACATTTTCAACAATATTAGTCAGTACAGCAAATTGTTTTAAACAATTTTTAGGCATCTGTGATTAAAAGAAATTACTTTTGTATTTAAAAGCTTAATGTACTTTTCCCTAAATAAATATGTTTTATAGCAGTGACAAAAAGAAAAAAACAAGACAAGAAAAAGTATTACCCTTAACATAATATTTGCCACCAAAGTGGCAGTTTTTGTCCAAAGAATAATTAATAAAAAAAAGAAACATAATTTAATAACATAGGACTGTTACTAGTAATTTTAAACAGTCTAAAAACAAATTTCTAGAGACAATTTTTATTTTTTATTTTTAATTCCCTTGTACTTTTAAAGTAATATAATCTGTTATTCATTAGTATTTTTAAAAATGTAGGACAACAAATAAACAAATTAAATTGTTAGAGTTAAATTGTTTTACTTAAACAAATTTAATTGTTCTACGTAAATTCCTAGTTATAATTTAATTAAACTTACTCATACAATAACTAATTTAGGATATTATTATTTAAACTGTTTATTCACAAGGTTACCTTTTCCACCATTGAATATGCAAATCCCTCCATCTCGGCCGTCGTATATTTTGTTTCTTTTTAATGTTGGATTAGAATCGGTTTTAATCCAAACACCTGCCATAGCATTATCAAATATTTCATTTTGCTCTAATACACCTAGTCCTCCGTTATAGACTAAAACTCCACCATTTTGACCTCCCCATATTTTGTTTCCTTTGATTATTGGATTACTGCCAGTTCTAAAATTTAAAAAGAATAAAAAATGTATAAGAAATAATAAAAATTGCAAATTCTAGTTTAACATTTCAACAACATTTAAATGTTCTGAAATAAGCAAATTATTTTTGTTTCTAAGTTAAAACAAAAGTAAATATAATAATAAAATGTTTAAACACTCCAATGAAATAATTTGTTTAAAATTGGTAACTAGCAACCATTATTTTCTAGAAAAAACTTATCGGTTTCATTAAAACTATAATTAGTCAAAAATCAAATTTAAGTTTGTAAAAAATCAACACAATTTGGTAATATCACAATTCATTTACTTATTATATTCAGAACAAATAAATACAGACTCCACATTGAATTTGCTTTATTTTATGATTTAAGATCTGTTTTAGACGATTCTGAAAAAATACTAAAATACTAAAACAATAAGATTCTTACCTAATTTGAACTCCCGAGTACAAATGATTGAATATGTCATTGTCTTCGAGCTTGCCATGACCGTTGTCATAAAAGTACACGCCAACTTGTTTACCAGAATGAATTCTATTGCGCCTCAGTACTGGTGTACTACCCGTCGTAATCCAAACACCCGCCAACGTATTGGCGTACACCTCGTTTTCTTCTACAAGTCCGGCACCTTTTTCATGTACGTATATTCCACCGTGTTGGCCGTGATGGATTTTGTTATGTCGAACAATAGGATCACTGTTGGTACGAATCTGTATACCCGCCAATGCGTTTCCTATTATTGTGACAGTAAAAATAAAACAATTAATAACCAAAACAATACAAATAAAGTTCTTTTTTTTGTACTAACCATAAATATTGTTATGTTCAATAAGACCTCTGCCTTCGCCGAAAATGTATACTCCACCTTGGTGCCCGTTATAGATATCGTTACGTCGTATCGTAGGATTGCTATTAGAAGTAATCCACACGCCGGCGAAATTGTTACTATGAATGCGGTTATCTATAAATTGACCTAGACCATTTTCGTGCACGTAAATTCCACCTGTTTGACCGTGGTGAATTTCACATTGTACGACTGAAGGGTTTGCACCAGCCTTCACTTCAAAACCGGCAATCCGATTGTTGTGAATGTCATTGGCTTCGAAAAAACCCTAAAATTAAAAAAAATTAAATGTAATGCATATATTTTATTCTAAATAATAATTTAAATGGGATTTTTTTATAAATAAAAAAAAATTGTTTACAGTTTAAATACTGTACGAGTCAAATGCATAGGTTGGTTTACACAAAATGTTCATCAAGTAATATTGTTTTGACCAGAAAATTAATTAAAAGTTGTTGATCGGACGCGTAAATTTAATAAAATCTAATATTTATTCAGTATTTACCAGTCCGTTGTCAAACGTGAAAATGCCTACATCTCTTCCGTGATGTATGTGATTACGGCGCATCACAGGGTTAGCGTGATTTTTCACCCATACTCCGGCTAAAGCGTTTCGACATATTTCATTGTCTTCAAAGGTTCCTTGAGCATGGTCAGTAACATAAATACCTACATTCTCACAGTCGCTTACATCGCAATGATGTATTCGAGGATTCGCACCGGCTCCGCTCACACAAACTGCAGCTCCCACGACCGACGAGCTACGTATAATGCAATGATCGATGGTGGGAGAACAATTTTCACCGACCTCCAGACAAAAATGCTTATGGTGCGGCACTGTAGACGTGACATTTGGAGTAAATTTTAATGTGACATGTCCCAAATAAGCACTCTTTGCGCCCTCGACAAACATAACTGTCGATTCGGTTTCCCGTTCAAGAACCACTGCGTCTGCGACAACACCAGGTGCGGCTCCAATAAGCGTAACGTCTGAATCTATTACCAGGAATTCACCTCTGTACGTGCCGGGATGCAAGAAAATCTTTGCGCCCCCGTTTAAATTCTCGTCTGCGTGGTCTAAGGCCGCTTGAATAGTGTCGAAATGTGGCATTCGTCTTACTGGATCTTTAGCTGTACCGGTATAATGCGTCCTCACGTGTAAGCAACGTTTTTTCAATTGCCTAAAGCTTTCTTTCCACGGATTATGGTGCTCGCTCTCTTCAAATGGAATAAAATCAAATCGACACCCTTCCGTATGAAAAAGAGGTGTATCGTATTCAAAAACACTTTGATATAACCTTTTCCACAGGTTGTTGTCATTAGCGATTGCTTGAAATCTTTTACAAACTTGAGCTATTCTACAAAGATCTTGTTCATACAAATAACTAAATATTGTTAGCATTACTTCGTCCGGTAGTTCACATTGTAAGTAATGAGCAGCTGAATTTGAATCTAGAACAGATTGTAGATTTTGTATTATTAGAAAACATTGTACCAAATAATTTTTAAACAATGGAATTTATTAGTTATAGATATAAATACTTTTTTTATTTTTATTTATTTACGGATAACTCCATTTATATTTACTATTTATTAGTTATAAATTACAAAAAAGTATGGTTTAAATTTTAAGATGAATTGTTATTTCAGGTATAATTTATTATATTTGCTTACACCTTTTATAAATATATATATATATATATATATTTTATTACTTTAACCTACTTTGTAAAAAGAATTTGTTTTAATATAAGATAAAGGTAATTTAATATAAATATATAATCAATAAACAAGTAAAAAACAAATGTTAAAAATATTTGTAGACTAAAGTAAAAGTAAAGTAGGTATAAATTAAGTTACTATATCTACATCAAGAAAGTTTTTTAGTTGAAAATGCTTTAAAGCAAAAACATTTAAAAACAAAAATCGGAAGAAAAACTTGAAAACGTTTAACAGTAAAATAAAAAATAAAAACTTTTAATTTAATATCCATCCAACATCATCATAAATTAGAATTTGTAATAGATTTGATTAATAGATTGTAATAGATAAATTTTTAGAATAGATAATTTAGAATATGTTAAAATCAATGCTGAATGCAAATGAACATAAACAAAAATTAATTTTTTAACATTTTTATTAATGTATAATATATTACATTAATACAGGTTTTCCAAATTTGCAAAAACAGTTATAAAATCACTATGTAAATGTTCAAAGGGTAGCTTTAGGGGATAACTTTTAAAAATCAAAAGACCACTTGCATTTTTGGTTGACCTTTTCAAAATCAGAATGATATAATAAAACATAATGATTGGTCGTTAACAAGTTTTAGTTAAATACTTTTTTATAATGATTATTATTTTTTTAAAGATTTAGACTCGTGTGAAATAAAACAAAATTTGTTAACACGCAAGCTTCTCACACGCACTTCTTTTCACTTTTTCACCTCATCTAACACATTCTCAACATCTCGAAAAGTATTTATTCAAAACTGGTTATCACCCAGTTATTATTTTCACTACATCATTCTTCATAAATGTAGGTTTCATTTAAATTTTTTTTAGATAATACAATTATTACATAGACAAAATTACTGTAACATGAAATTTGAATAACCTGTACGTATAATTGTGCTGTCAATTTTTACATTGGCGTCGCTTATTTTAAGTAAATCTAATCATCTATGGCTCTGAGTATAATTGAAAGTTTTCTTTTCTATATTTTTAATTATGTACTCACTGTCAGCACTAGTAATTGTACAAGAAGTATTTCTTCTAAGTCGTTTTCGTGCAGGTTGCGATAGAGGAGGCGTAGCGGCCGACTGCAGTACCGACGCAGTAGCCGACGCTGTTGGTGATGTAGGCCGAGTGGCAGTTGGATGAACAGGTGCCGTCGCACTACATCCAGCGGTGCTGGCATCGTGCAAATGAAGAGGGGATTTTCGACCCCTTAAATCATAAGGCGGTACGTGCTGGAAACTAGTACTTGTACTAGCTCCACCGGGAGTAGCATAACTACCGCTTGCAGCAACTAACGGTTCACACGTAACTCCAGCATCGACGACACCACCTAGAAAAGTAAGATGTACTTGATTAATTAGTTTTGATAAATAATACATTTTAAATTACACTTAGAAATGTGATAGGTACTGAAAAATATTGAGGCTACACAAATAATATCAGGTAATTTATTTTAAGTCATTATAAATTGGACCGTAACATATTATGTTTATAGACCATTTGAAAATGTAATTAATACCTAAATGAAAAGTTTAATCTTACTTTAATTGAGTTAAATTAGATAGGTATTAATAATAATAATTCAAAGTAAAACTAAATAGGTACATGTGCAACAATACATATTATTATAACTAATCCAACACTTTTAAGTTTTGAATGAAATTAGTATTTCAAGGCCTAAGAATATAAGAACACAATTGGAATTGTAGTTTTCATTTTCTATCTTTTTAAATCACCTTCTCAGATCGACTAGCGACTTCAGTGTTTAATACTCGTGTAAGAAAATGGACGGATTGCAAAATTTTAATTTTGTCCAATTTATTTCAGGGTAATACCTTTACGAGTAGGTACTAACTATGAGTAACATTATTGGAAAACAATTGATTTAACATTGTACTACAACTTGGGTAAAAACTTTTATATTTAGACAATAACACCTCACTATCACACCTAAACTGGGACAAGATTTGTTAATAGATAAACATGAATTTTTAATAATGTCAAGGTCTTTGTGCATACAATTAATTAGAAAAATTGATTGTTACAATAATAAACTGTCTAAACAACAAACTTTTCTATTGTGTATAATGAAAGTTTTAAAATGAATTGCAGTTAATCGTACGTATTTGGATGAATCGTTCCGACTAATGTACTAAGTATTGCACCAAAATTGTTAGAAAAATGAACGAGCAATGCTCAAAATACAGTCAAATTAATATCATTTAACACTTTCCTATCAAACAGTGTTCAGGTATGTACCTACCTACGCTTAAACGCTCGTGACTGTTTATCGCGCTAATAGTCTCTCGTATGTTTTGTACATACCATCAGGGTTAAGTTTAGGAATTTACAATCTCAGCTAGTCAATTAGGTGACAGTGAATGCCATTAAAAAAAAAACGATTTACAATTTCTCACAGTAATTAATTTCCCTTTCCTCCCCGCTAGTAGTAGTGTTGCTCACACAGGTTTACATTCACATATTTTTAAATATACCTGCATTTCTCATACACACTGCTCACCACATTCACATTGCTTATACCGAGCGGCCGCCGGGGTGGCGTGCACACACCTGGGCGCGATCGGCGTGCGTCATTGTTTGGAGAGGTAACAAAAAAAACCCAGCGGAAATTTTGGAAACCCCAAACTTGACCCAAAACACCACACTGTGCAATAGAATATTGTTGTGCGGCGTCTGCGACGGCCTCGGCTAAGGCGCTCGTCGAGCCGAGACAGCGGCGGCCGTTAATATCGATTCGGAAAGTACGCGACACCGAACGAACCTTGACAGCGAGATCCCCATCCGCCGCACGCACACACGTCGCCGTCGTCGTCTCATGGCCGTTTCTCGACGGACCGGAGACAACGGACAAAAAAAACCCAAAGAAAAAAAAAAAAAAGACACAATACCGTTGCGAAACGTCTCCGACTTACCCGAATTGGACGACGTCCTGGACGGTATGGGCAGGCGGTTGGTACCTTTTCGCCTCGTCCTCCGGGTGTACGAACGGGTCGAACTGAACGACGCGCTCGGCATTTTCTTCGGCGTTTTTCGTACAATTTTATTTTCGTTGTTCCACTCGCTGTCGACAATTGGTTTGCGATCCAACGAATCGACACACTCGCGCACACGCTAACGATAATAATTGACTCGTAGTAATAACTATAATAATAATAATAATAATATATGAAAAAAAAAAAAAACAAAACTGACTAACGCTCACGACACGACACTGTCGCGCGGACGGCGACGATACGATTATTATTTATTATATTATAAATATATATTTTGTTTTATTAATTTATTACTATACGAATACATTACGAATTTATACGCTATACATTTTTCGAACATTTATTTTTAATGTAATATAATATATTTTTATTTTATTATTATTATATCGATGTATCGTTGCTGAGGACGACAACGACGGCGGCGGGCGTGCACACACACACTCACACACACACGGTCGGGTCGAGACAAAAGAAAGGAACAGGCAGCTGCTGCTGGTCATGAACGACGACGTCGGACGGACATTTTTTTTTCTCCTCTCTAGGCAGCACCAGTGCAGCGATTGTGTGCAGCGCGCGCGCGTGTGTGTGTGTGTGTGTAAACTGTAATGTGTTTACAGTAGGTATACCTATGTAGTGCTGTATGTATTCTATGCGTCTATGTGCTCTCTTCTATGGCTCGCACTCGCACTCGCCGGACACATACACGCACGGAGAAATATTTTTATTACGCTCGTGTATTAAACGCACACAAGCAAACCATTAGGGTTTCGGTACTAGACTGCCGCGACGGTGGCGACGTCATCGGCGGCGGCTGTAAACAAAAAAACGAGTCGACGACCATTAATGAAAAAAATATTTTATATATGTGTGTAGCGTATACGACGAAATGGTATAATAACAACAATAATAGTAATATATATATATATATATATATATATACAGTATACACACACACACACACACACACAAGAGCATAGTACGCGATCCGCCGTCGCGGTTAACTGACGGTAGGGTGCGCGCTCTACCGCCGTCCTCCAATGGCCAAGCCCCAATCCGGTCACGTGACACACACTACGGCGAACAATAGACCGCGCTGCCGCCGCCGCCGCCGCCACGGCTACAAGCGAAGGGTGAGGTACGATACGGGGGGGGGCGGGGGCGTCCAGGGTGATTGTAGATTGAAATTTCGTATTATTATTTTGTGAATAAGCTGCGGACCTCGGGACACTATCGAACAATAATTATTCGGACTATCGATAGTTTCGATAATATTTAGCTACTAGGTAGGTACATCGAAGCTAACGGATTTCAATTTTTGTTTTTTTTCTATGTGGAGCTTACTATATTTTCTATGGGGGCTAAAAGGTCGATTTTTTATTAAGCAATTAGAAAATCGGTTAGATTTATTAGAAAAAATCTATAAAAAAGTAAAATTATATAAATATAAATGCTTATAAAATTTTGTTGTAAACAAAAATTTAAAAATCGGCCAAAAAACACTTCAGATTGCGAGAATGAGTGTAGCAAAAATGGCAATGAAAATAAACGTAAGAGGAAAGGAAGGAAGAACGAAAACCGAAAAAAAGTAGTTGGATGAAGTGATTGAAAATTACATGAGGGCTGCTGGTGTATGCGAAGATGATGTGGAAGATCGTGTCGGGTGGACGTTTAAACTTTGGTGCAAGGGTGGCCGACCCCGAAAAGTCGGGATGAAGGCGAAGGAGAAAAAGAAGAACGGAAGAAAGCGTTAGAGAAAATGGCTCGAAGTAGGTCTAGTGCAGAATACATTTACAGTTTAAATTTGGTAAAAAGATTTTAGAAAGAGGTTAATATCAAGATAACTATAATAATAATATTAAAAAAGAATTATATTGATTGTCATAATTGTAAAGGAAGTGTCCCTGGTAGCACAACGACTCCAGAGAAAACTCTGGAACATATTCAATTAAAAAACAAGTAGAAATTCCCTGAGAAAAACTTAGTGTTCATTTGGACTCCAATCTTGTATTGAATTGTGTTCTAAGGATGCTAAATAGAGTAGACTGTAGATAAACATATATTTATAAGTAATTGGGGGCGAGTAGAATAAAGTGTGGTTGGATGAGAGGACATTTATATAAAACGATAGATAGACCAGCAACGATGCATGTAAATAAGTTTTGAGCACTGAATAAAAAAGACGAAAGGAAAATGAAAGTGGCTGAAATTAAAACGATGAGATGGATGTGTAATTGGTTAGACAATATAAGGACCGAGTATATAAAAAAAGTTGGTGTTTCCGTCAATTGCTGCAGAAACTAGAGAGAACAAGAGGATGGGTATGATAAATAAAGATATGGAGGTGTGTAGTGATAAAAATATGGCGATGGATAGAGTGGATTTGTGGAAGGAGAAAATTTGGCTGGCCTAACCCATTTGTAGGTATGTATGTATGTGATAAGGTGAAGAGAAAGTCGAAATATTTTTTTTTAATGTAAAAATATATTGAAAATCCTATTTTGGCAGGAAATCAAATATTAATAATATCTTCGAAATTGGTTTAAATATATTACTTGAACGTCATGTAAAACAATTTTTATATTTAAACATTATTATTGAAAAAATGTGTGTTATTAATACTCGATTTCCTCTATTAATATGATTTTAATGTATTTTTATTATTTTAAGAAATATTGTAAAAATGATTATAAAATATAATATATTTTTGATGTACAAGTCTTAGACGAAAACGACCGTGTCGATATAGCAAGTGATATTGGCAAGGTTAGATACTTCAACTTACGTTTCCGTAAATGTTAGGAAACAAGTTTTTATTTAAATTTTTCTTGACGAATTTCAAGTTGAATCTTGAAATCAGATGAATTATAATTAACGACATACTTAAAAAATTAGTTTCAAATTTTATTCATTCAATTAGCATTAATGAAAACAACCTTTAAAAAAATAAATACCTAGATTTTATATACTAAATTTTATAAGTACCTATTTTTTTTTTTTGACGACATATTATTACAATATTTTGACGAAAAATAATCAAATAAAAATGTCCAAAGAACATTAGAATCGTAAAAATGTGAGTGATACTTAAGCATATTAACTGGTTCATAATAATTAGTAGTGAAGGGCTCAAGCTCTTCTAAGGTGTCTTAGCTCTCTCCTCGAGTCATCTTAAGATTCCTCAAAATGTTAAAAATACTAACTAATTATAAAGTTAAAAAATCGATTTTTAAAACACTATCGGCCTAACTATCGAATTTTTCGATAGTTGTTCTTCGATAATGTCGAGTCAGGTGGGAGCAAGAGTGATAGTGGGAACTGGAAATGGATTTTTATGGGCAACCACATAGAACAAACGTCGGGTTGACGAATGTGCTCTTTATTAAACAGATCACAGATGTTACTTGGGCTACGGCGACAATTTACCAACTGTACTAAACTATAATATTATAATATACACATAATTCATAAATATTATATTTAGTATTAGTTTTTATCCTGGTAAATTGTACGATATATTTATTTTTGTTTTAAACTTATCAGCCAGTAGCGGTACACACAACTGATAACAGTGTAGAGTGATAACAAATATATGATAATATGATAATAATAATAATAATAATATTTAATTTAATTTATTCTTTTTTTATTGAGTTGTTTCTAGTATATTTTGTTGTGTTTGTGTATAGTATTATTATGTTTCCATTACATTTATTTCAGTATAATATCGGTCTTATTATTAGTGAAATGTTGCTATAGGATTATTTTAAATTGTGTAGCCTTTTTTTTTTTAGTATAGGTTAGTAAATATAAACAAAATCATTATTTGTCTTGCAAAGCACTGAATTTAAATTACTTTCCGAACTACTAATAGAAAAATAAATAATTTTTAAATATGTATCCAGGTATAATTCTAAACTTTAATTTAAATCTTAATAAAATGTAGCTAAGGTAGTTTTTACAAGGATATGGTTTTTTTTGTCTTTACCTACTTTATCTTCTAAACCGCTGAATCGATTGTTTCATGTAGCAAGTGTCAGAAATCATACCTCAAAATTACTATATTATAACTATAATTTAAAAAGTCCACCTCTTTCCTTTAAATTGTGAAAAAAAATACACATTTTTCAATTTAAAATTATGGGGTACTATAGCATTTTAAAAGATGGTTGAACTAGTTTCAAATTTGTATGAAATATTCATTTGAGAAACTGTTACAAAATTATATTGTCAAACCAAAAAAAAAACCCTTTCTGCCAACATTTTTCTTTATTTCACTTTTTTAGGTGTAGTTCTGAAAATTAGACTGAAGGTGTTTCAGTGGATTTATAGGTATTTCAAGGTTTATCTTTAGTGAGACTATAACATGTACAATTTTCACAAAAATCTGTAGTTCAGCTTTTTTTTATTCCCCCCCCCCTCAAGAAAATAGGGGGAAATTTACACTTTGACCGTTGTAAATTTCTTGGTGGCTATGGGAAAGTGAAACAACAGTCAATGGTCTCAAAAAAATATTTTTTTTGTTATATTGTTTATTTTCCTACTATAGCTACAACGGTAACAAATTATTAAGAAAGACAGATGATAAACTTTAATTGTATGTAAAGAAATTTTAATATTTTAATAAGTAGCATACTATGTATAAATATTTGTTTTTATTTTACAAAATGGATTTAGGGACATAACATGATTTTATGGTTATACTTATACTTCAATTTAAACATGTTATATTTGTAAAATTTTATAATAAATTATTAAAATAAATGTATTATCTTAGGAAATTAAAAGAAAATGTAACATGAATACAAATAATATAAACTACCATTGTCCGTATCCAAAATGTGTTTTGGAGAGTTTTTCATTGTCTGTGATTTACGTTTCTAGTTTATATGTATGGAATTCTCAACTCGCAAGGTGATATAATAAATAGCATAACTGTTCAGTTAATTTTTACTTATTTGTTTTGTAAATATCATTAATATTTTTTTTAAGAGATCATCCAACGACTATAAAAAAACGATTTCTCAGCGTCTTGTTCATGTTGATAATCTCGCCAACGTACACATGGTATTTCATTCATGACAAAACTCAAGTAATGTCTATAAATGATAAATAAATGATTGCATAGTTAATCTTGTGATTTTTAATTTAGGTTCCAATTTGGTATTGGCTGGGCTTGAAATGGGAAGGGCTGTTTGTATCGGCAGCTGCTTCACTTTTATTAACAAGCGTTTTGTTCTTAGGTTCTATTTGTTTGATTTTCTGTAAAGATTTTCATTATCAAGATGTACTCAGTAAGCGAGACAAAATGAGAATGTGTAGTAAAAATTATTTTCAATATTATATTTTTTATTTTAGGTATCGAAAGAATGAAGTCTAATTTTACCGATTTAATATGGTTAAGAAACTACATAGTAGCGCCCATATCAGAAGAGTTCACGTTTAGAGCTTGTATAATACCGCTATTACTGCAATGTTTTTCACCTTTAACAACTATACTGATTTGTCCTATATTTTTTGGAGCTGGTAAAATTATTATTTGTGTAACATAATATTAGATATTTATTTCATAGTGTGATATTATCTTTATTGATAGCTCATTTCAACCAATGGCTAGAGCGAATGCGTGCCGGTATACCGTGTCTTGAAGCATTTGTCATGTCAGGTATTTAAAAAAAAAATCTATTTCATAATAGTAATGATAAACAGTGGTCTAGTCGTAGGTCAATCGCCAGTGCTTGGAAATGTTTAAACTACAAAAAAAAACCCCTTTTGAGCTTCACTCTTCTCATTCTCATAAAATTTTAATTTTATCGAAATGCCTTTTTAACATTTCAAAAATATTTTTCGCGAGTTCAAATAATGTTTTATAAATTATATTAATATTGTCCTTTTTGCTAGTCTACATTTGCAAGTATATTTTGTTAATGGATTATTCTCATAAATATATAAGAAATGTACGTGTTAATTTTTTGTAATACATCAATGCACCAATTTCAATGAAAAAAATAATGCATATGGGCTTATTTTATTAGTGAACGTTCTAAACACTGTCGTCTTACGACTACACCAATGATAAGGATAAATTACTAAGGGTAAATTTTTTGGTGTAATGACAATATGATTTGTTAAGTGTTCCAGTTTATGTATACGACAATATTCGGAGCGTATTCAGCGTTATTATTTATATCCACTGGCAACATCATCGCACCAATATTGGCTCACAAATTCTGTAATCACATGGGATTTCCAGATTTTCGAGAGATGATTCAATTCCCCGAGCCTAAGCGCAGCATTTTACTGATCGTCTCGATGACTGGATTGATTTTGTGGGGTTTCCTCATAGTTTATGCTACCGAACCATGGATTTATTCCAATCACATGGATTGGTCCGAAATGAACAACTGTAACGAGACTAATTCACTTTAACAATCAACTCAAATATCATGTATACAAATTTTGTAAATATAAAATTTGTTTATTTACATTCACACAAAATGTTAGCCATGACATTTTGGCAAAATTTTAACATTATAATTACATTGTTTAAAAAATATCTTACTATACATATTTTTTTAGAACAAATAAGACTGGAATATAAGACGTAACTTATCAAGGGTTGTAAATATATTTTTCAAGAATATAATTAAGTCAAAATGGTTTCTCGCATTAAAAAAAAGAAATTATTAAATGCAGAGATAATAAATTATTAATATTTTAAAAAAAACCTAACACGTAATTTATATTGTATAACAAAAAAAAAAAAAATTAGATCAAATTTCTTGTACATTTTATGTTTTAATGTGGTAAAATATTACATTATATGTTCTCACATAATATACTGAAAATTAACATGAAACTAAATATGTGTTACTCTGAAAAATTTTAATTTGTCTTTTAGACTGTAATTTGATGTCGAACAATATAATAACCGTAATATGAGATTATATTGTAGTAATTAAAACGCTATTGTAGTAATTAACAATAATTGTTTTCTTTTGTAAAATTACATATTTACAGTTTAAAAAAAGCGCAATCGTTTCCAATTATACTTTAATTAAAAAAAAAAAAAGGAAATTGTAAATATATACCACAACTGACTTTAAAAAAAAAATATATATATATAATATATACATACACATTATATAAAAAGAACTATCTAAAATCAATATTATTTAGGAATTAACTTGGCTGAATCACATATTATTAAAATATTAATCCTATGTTAATATATGATTCCTACAAGCAGCAGACCTTTGAGGTGTAATAAATACGCTTAAACAAGATCGATACAGAGTTTCAAGAGTTCAATTGATGATATATTTGTTGGTATTCTCAGGATTGTGATGAATGCACATTTAAATTGCCTGAAAAGAATTATATTCACTTAATATAATTTTGTTTTTATAATATCAAAAGGGGGAAAAATCATCAATAATTACCTATACTCGATTGACTTGGATTACGGAATCCCCTTCCTGCTTCTTCTTTCTCGTTACCGTCGAAATACCAAAGCGTTATTGCGTACCTACAAGAACCCAAATTTTTTTTTTATTAGTAAAGATTCTAAAATATATTTATTATATTATTCATACATGTTTTTTCAACAGACAAAAATAAGTACGCAAACCGCATAAAAAAAATAAAAGTTTTGCGACGCTAGCTAAAGCTAAGACTTGTGATTTTTTCAAACAAAATATTTCCTAACAAGGTTTACCCAAAACTTACTTTTACTAGTAAAAAAACCATCTTTGTAAAATAAATATCGCTCAGTCTCTTTCATATGCATACACATATAACCACACTTAATATACAGCCTCCCTCTACTCCTGTTATTAATATTTTTTATAAGACGTCATCTTCAATAATTTTACATATTGTTGTCGATTCCAAAATTTTGAATTTGGTATTTCTAAATTCAATTTTTTATGAAAACAATTAAAAATATTGCTCAGCCTTTTTCACGTTTAGCCAGCCAGGACGGTACTATATTTTATGAATTCATTTGTTAGTTCTTCTGAGATAATAATAAAAAACACTATGATTCATTGTTACCTAGTTTTAAAGGCTGGCTGCACTTCATGAGGATTCCTCCGGTCTGACCAGAAAAATAATATACGATCAAAGAGCGGCTCAATATCGGCAACTTGATCACTCCAACCCTCTGGAAATATCCTCAATAAACCTCCATTTTCCTGAAATCGATTATTACTATTATTATTTTTTTCAAACATGAAATAAATATACCTATTTACGAATATATATATTATCTTTTTTGTAAAGATGCACTATTTAGTTGTGTAAAAATTGAATTAAGAGTATGAGTGTTTGAGGATATATTGTTAACTCTTTATAATTGGTTTTATTGGGTACATATATTTGAAAATTGAAGGGGTCAGTGGATAAAGGTGTTAACTGACATTTTTGAAATTGTTCAGGAACGCCACTTTTGTAACTAAATATTACACAAAAGCTATGGAACTTTTGTACATTCAATAGATGAAATAACTTGTAAGAGGAAAAATATCGGTCTAGAGATCCTCTATACTATACTATTACACTATAACCCTTTTATTCATGCAATAAAATGCATTTTCGAAAAAATGTTAGTTAACACCTTTATCCACTGACCCCTTCAATTATCAATGACATTAGTTTATATAACCGTATAAAAGAGTGTATTAAAAAACCTTGAACTAAGACTTGGAATAAGAATCAGCATAACGATAAGAAAGCAATTAAATATTTATTATGTCAGAAATAAAAAAAAACATTATGATATTATCGGAGGAGAAAATTGAACTTAGAGTTGACTTAATAATCAATCTATTAATATTTATCATTAAAATAATTTTCAGTAATATGAACTATACATTGTACTTTTATTATATGAGTATAATTATTTGTGCATTTTGACAATCTGAAAATAATAATATAATTTTATTTATACACTCACTTTAATATCCCAGTCTTTATTTAAGTAATATATTGCTGTAATACAACGTCCATCTCTGTTTGGGTTGTCTACGTGTTTTACATAATGAGACCCATGTCCCGGATAACATGCAACCATAGCCTACAAAATAATAATGGTTTACCGTTTAATTTTTTATTTATTAATGTGAAATATTAGTACACTATTTTTTACCAAATCTAACTTTGGTTGATAAACAAAAACATTTTTATAATGTTTTTTCCAATAAATTAAAACCAGTTAATGTAAAAAACAAAAATTTCAAGCGTGTAACACGAAGAAATGTTTAGTTTCCCAAGTATATAATATTTATAAAATGCAAAAAAACATAACTGAAAAATTACACTTACTTTGGTCCTACCGTTGATAGTATAATTTCCTAACTTGCCATTATCGCTCATTTGATTCGATCCCATAACTACGGCGTCCACATCGCTGATTAACTGTCCGATATTTTTGCAACAGTCCTCACGTCCATCGACCCATATTATTTGGTCGCCTCGTATTGTTTTCAGATTATTGTTGGCTTTGTTTCGAACCAACTGGCCGTCTTTGAACACTCCCATGTTGTACAAATTCAATACTTCGTCCAATACAGTCATGCCGCGCTCGTAGCCCAGAAAATTGTCCAAAACACACACTCCGTACAGATCCATGTCGCGAATGATGTTGCGACACAGGTCGACATAGTCGCTGCGCTGAGACATTAGAACATTGGTGACTCAATGGTTTCGGCTCGGGATTTTATTCCTGTCGGTTCCCATCATAGAACCATTTTCTAAAATCACAAAAACAAGATACTATTATACATTATTGAAAATTTAAAAATAAATAAAGTTATGGTCAATATTTATACATTTAAATCGGTGCAATAATACTAGTTATTACAGGTCGGGGTTACAAACGCTGCATATTATTTTCTTTTATGTTATATTTTATTATGGAATTTTCTTCAAACGAAAACAAGTTAAAAACTAATACAATAACGTGCGTTTTTTTACCTCGAGACGAATGAAATTTCTGTATGGCGAGAATGACACTCGATTCGTCGTAAATGTTGATGGTTCGACCTAAATGAAAGAGAAAACATTGATCACTCGCGTACACGGCAATGGTACATACCGATGTAGCTGTGGTAAATATAATATTGGATAGGCAAACCGCAACACTCAACAGCAGGATTGCTATTTACTGCACGTACGCACTAAAGAAAAAAAATGATTAATGATATAGGTACTGAATAATATTTAACATTAAATTATTATCTGGTGGCAAAAAATTAAGAAGGGGAAAACGGGCGGCGGATGTACGCGGTAACTTGGTAACGGTTACAATGCTATTATCATAATCGATAACATTATCGCTTAGACTGATAAGAAAATCAGATGTCCGCTCTGTGATAAGAGCAAGCGAATGGAAAAGCGATTGTTTCCACGATTTATCAATGATTTATCTTAAATCGTGATTATTTCCCAGGTGGATTTATAAAAACGCAACATAATATAACAGTGGCTATTCCGTCAATAATAAGTAATAACACAGAATAAAACAATAATAATCACTGTCCCTCATTGTCAAAACATTATCATTGAGTATATTATATTGTATAGAGCACGGCTTTAGAAGATAAGGTCCGTTAAGTCCATCGTTATCAGTTGCCCGCTTAAGAAGGCAAAAACATATACGGAATACACATATTTAAGCACTGCACTGTACATAGACCTAAGGTGGAGTTATATTTAATTCACCTTGCATAGACCCATAAAGAAATAGACTCACAGTAGAGAGAGCCGATGGTCGATACCGTTAAAGAGTGGAGGGATTTGTTAGGTATCCCATGGAAGAAATAATATCATAGAAGAACTCCAATATGATAATATCTGATAACGAAATTTTCACATTAAAAATTTGTAATTCATTTTTATTTAAATATTTAAATTTACATTTTTTCCATAATGGTGTATCAATGCATAATTCGTTCTTTTAAAATGAGATCAGATAAATTAAGTGTAAGTCAACCTAAAAATCGAATAAGATCTCATTTAACTAAAAAACAATCCATTTCAAAAAATGCGTGAATAGATCAATACACGCTGGCAAACCGAAAAATAATATTTGTATGAACAAGTGTTGTCGAATGAATTCGAAAAATAAAATTATTGACTTAGGCTTTATTTACACTTTAACACAATGAAAATTTTAGCGACCGCATAACGCTATATAACGAGTATATAGGTTAGTATTAGTTAAACCATATCATCCAAAAGACTTGTACTTTACTATAGTATAATTGAAAATAAAAAATAAAAAAACAACAATAATCGCCAGTATTTTTGCATTTTTGTTATGTTGATTTGCTATAACATCAAAAATAAAAACAATTGAATCGGCAGGTAACCGCTAGGTAAGAATTTATTTTGAAATACGTTTTTATTTATAAATTAATATTGTTTATATATTTTCCGGTAGATAGCAGTTGTACAATACATATACAAATAAAATTCCTTACGCTAAATTCTAAAATGTTTTTTAGTAATAAAAAGTTTCTCAAATATAATACATGATTTTGTAAAAAATACACTTACAACTTTGTTGACATTTATTTGTACAAATGAGATGGTTCTATTAATTTGTAGTCATAATAATACATTTTTCGACAATATAATACAAATTACCTATATTTAATAGCTGCGTCATTCTGAAATTAAGTTTATTTCATTTTGGAGCAAAATTATCTTTGAACAATTCATAGATTATTTCGAAACTGTCCCAAGTTACATTTTGGTTTTTAAAGAGTTTAACAAAAATTATTATTATCAGTTGTTAAACCAATATTTAAATTTGGCTTATTTTTCAGTTACTTTTTTTATAATTATATAAATATATATCTTATTTTTAGATTACTCCTATACGATTTTTCGTTCAAACATCTAATGAACACTATATATATACGCAACGTAAATCATTTGAAAACATAAAAAAAAACATCCAGTTAATATTAAACACGCAGACGTGGAAATTCTGTCAACACGTGTTTGAAACAGTATTTAAAAATACCAATTAAAATGAAAAAGCCGGGATAAATTAGAGAAAAAAGCTCAAGACACCGAATGTAGTTTTGGTGTAGTTGCAAAATCAAACATACTGTACTTGAACAACTTATTTGATAAGTTAAAAAGCGGAGAGCTTTTCATTCATATACCGAAGAAACTGTAAAAAATCTTGAAGAGCAAGCCAAAATTATACTGCAAATGGCTTTGGATATATTTTTTGAAAATTGTTGTCATGGTGACTAAACGATTAAAATTTGATCCATGAATTGACTCATTCGAATGATGACCAACTGCAAACCGGTACTTCGGATTTCATCGGAAATTGTATGGCTGAAAAATACCTCCATAAGAGTGCAATGAAATCTAACTTTGTTTCGAAAAACCGAGCATATACAATATGTTCACCGATCTACTCGCTTCCGGATGGGATTTAAACGGCCGTGTTTTTGAATTTGTACATCTAAAATCATTTTGGGATGACGATAGACAATTGTTGTTCAGGCAAATAACAGAAGCCAATGTCGATTGCAGTAAGGCGAAACAGTGACATGAAGTTATCGATGGTAGTTTTAATTGTTACCTATCGTATTAGTGGTTACATAAGGTAGTAGTATATAGTTGGGTAAGGATCATCCTCTCTTATCAGTCATCCTCGAGGATCACTGATAAGAGAGGATGATCCTTACCCAACTATATACTACTTAAGGTTACATAGGTAGTCATTACCCTGGTTAGTGGTTACACTGCATATTTATGAAAAACAATAATTATCCATACTTGACGAACAGACGCTAACACGCATTAAAGGTCTTAATATGTTTAACGTTATCCAAGAAACATTAAATTTAACGGTGTTCAAACATGAATTTCTTGTGGTTAATATAATATCAGAACTGGAGTTGACAAAAATAAGTGACATCGACGACATAAAATACATTTTAGCAAGAGCGAGGACAAAGGCCAATGAGATCCTGACCGGTTTAAACGATGCATACACAAACGAAATCGATTGGCTCAGTTTCAACGATAACGAAGACCAACTGTCTACCAACGATTTGATAATAAGAATCATCAAGGTTTTCGAAGACTATTTAAACGACTTAAAAGGCTGCTGCTGACCGTAAATGGTCGGCTGCTCAATACATGTATGAATTGTAAATTAAGAATACAATGTTCATAAATCAAGTTGTATAGAAATAAAAAAAAATGTATATCAGAAAGAATTGCAATTTTTAATGATGTGTTGTTCCGAATAACTTGTCCCTATAATGTTATGTTACCGTTTTTATAACTCTATAACATATTGTGTACGTTATTTATTACACTCAGCCCGAGATAACATGGAAATTCTATTTTATGGTTTAAATGGAAGAAGGGCTTTTTAGCCATATCGCCGCCTGTTATCACTACCGCCACCACCACCACCACCTGTTATCACCGATAAGGGAGTGTTATCAATGATGTGGTGTTGGTGATAACAGGTGGTGGTGATGGTGGCGGTAGTGATAACAGGTGACGATACGGCCAAAAAGCCCTACTACTGGAATAATCCATGTTCAAGATAACGATAATATTATGGTATCTTTCTAAAACTTATCAAAAAAGCCAAACAAATCATCATATTAGTTGGATTGGATAAGAATTGAGCGTACGGTAGATAACGTTTTTAATTACACAATTTATCTTAAATAATGATGCATTTTTCTGACCTTGGGTCCTAAAACTGCGCACATAAAAGTAAAATATAGACAAGTAGAAGGGTCGTTAAAAAAAGTACAGAATACTGCGTCACACATAATACCTTAGAAGATACGGAAAATTATAAATTTTAAACATTATAAATGGTTTATTTAGGGTTTAGCGTTGGGTATAGACAATCAATGTTATCAGGTATCCCACAATAAAAAAATGTCGTTTACTTTTAAAACCATAATAATCTGATGGTCATTTTATTATTTTTTTGTCTAATAAATTTAAAATGTCATTTTTTGTAAATCGTAGTATTTTCCCAGATTCGCCTCGGTGTAATATATGTATATGAAGTATTTTACGCCAAATCGTACTTTTTTTGTTAATTATTGTAATTTATTAACATGTCATGGATAAAATTATTAAATTGATATATTCGAATTGGGGTAAAAAAAAAAACAAGAAAGCTAATATTTTATAAGCAAGGTCGTGTACAAGATTTGCCTAACCAAAATGCCGTCTTACTGTGTAGTTATTATCACAAGGAAAATTAATATTTGCCGTTATGTGTATTCGCAGACAATACAAAAACAAAAAATAAGATCAACTAGAAATGCATAATAAATTGTTCAAATCATTTATTTATATGTTAAATTAGTCAGTATTCTCGAACTGGCTAGAAGCATCACTACTGGGTTTAATAGTTTGCAATTTGGATTTATTAGTATAATAACATGTTGTATAGTATTCTAAGGCATAGCCCAGCATTACAAATTTTGTAATATTTTTATAAATATAATACAAACTTATTTAACTTTTTTTTAGTTTTTCAACGAACATTTCAACTTTTAACGTGGATTTCATGCTTTTTTTGTGTGAAAGACTATTAAATAGTTCGCATAATTTATAAATCCATGGTATTGTGGTTTTGTCACATCTACAGTACAGTTTAGTGGTTATTCATATGAGTAGTATAATAATATGATCTCATAAGTCATAACTTAAATTTTCATTTCCAATTTTATTCCGTGCGTTTTAGAATGTTGTGGTTTTTGGCTTACAGTTGAACCAAATTGTTTCAATTTTTCTACGAACCGTTGGAGCCGAGAAAGTATCAATCTGGAAAAAGTTCAACGGTTTAAAAATAGTTTTATTTCAGTTACGAGTTGCTATTAAGTTAACATTGTTGACTAACTCTGTCGCAATAATAACTTAAGGTCATTAAAAAAATGTATCCAAATACTTATACAAAAATTAATTGTACACCTCATATAAACTTACCAAAGACGAGTTATCATTGAACGTGTAGTAATAGTTGTCTTTGAAGACATAAGTCAAGTTTTGAGTAGTGCGTAGAGCAGCATCAATACTTTCTGGTATACCTTTCCAATCACTTGTAGACTTAGAGTGCGCAGTGAGATTTTTTGTTAAGTCATACATCCAGTATTTTGCTCCTAATAAAATATTGCGTTTAACAAATTAAATATATGAACTTTTTAAACCTAATTTTTCTGATTTTAAAACGTTCAAATCTTGGCACCGTAGGGTGGTAGGTATACTAAAAAACAATGACTCGTACATACCTTTGAAAAATAATATTTTATTGTCTCTCCATACCATAGCAGCATTTATATTATTAGGAATACCAGCGAATCCACTTGCAATGTCTCTAGGATATCTTTTGCCAGGAGTGGTTCCAGTAAATTTCCAATAGTTTGAACCCTTAAAAAAGTAGGTCTGACCGTTATTGTGTGTAAAAGCAGCATCTATATGCCCCGGTAGACCAATCCATTGTTCGGTGATTAATTTCGGGTATCCCAGTTCTGTACTTTTATTTATCAGTTTCCAATGATAGTCGCCTGAAAAATAAAAATAAATACTTCAATCAATTTCATACGTTAACGCAGCGAATTTATTTTAAATACCTTTGAGTACAAACGTGTGTCCTTCGGACGAACGAAAGACAGTGTCTAATTTAGAGTTCTCGCATAAGTCGGGTTCCTCGGTATAATTAATTTCACTATTGGTTTGTCGTTTTGTCCGGACTTTGTCATTCCTTCTCAAAAAGTTGTTTTCACCGTACAGCTCCTAATTATGTCGAAACAGTAGATGTTATTATTTTAGACAATTAACTTGTTCTTATAATGGGTAACCTGGATGCCTTCGATATCATCATTTTTCAACTTATAATTCGGATTGTAGCCCGGATAAACTGGTCTCATCACGGCAAATTTTACTTTAGTATGATCGAGTCCCAACATATGGCCGAACTCGTGGAGCGCTACTTGATACAAATTCGTCCCTTACAACAAAATGATGAAAATTAAAAAAATAAACATTAGTGTTAACAATTAGTATTACAGTGTACAATCGAGTCTGTTAAGTTTACCTCTCTTAGTACCAGTAGTCCAAGTTTCCGAGTCGTCGAAATGAACGTTACTCCGGTTAGGTGTAAGTGTGTGGGCAAAAACGCCCAACACCCCGTCGAACGGACTAATGTCACCGTGATAGTTTGCTTGGAACGCTATATTTATTTGCACCTGTTATGACATAATAACGATAATCCTTGAGATAAAGACAATGGATAAACCGAAAAAGACGTGGCAGGTAGAGAAAAATTTGGTCGGACGAGGAGAAAACAAGTGACAGGTGTTTTTTTTATGTGACAAAAAAAGTGTCGTTAAAAAAAAAAGGAAAAGATAAATTTTACACAACTGCAGTGCCAAACCGGCTGTTTGAAAATAGACATGACATGCTGTGCACGTGAGTTGATAATCCTTTCAAACTATTTCCTAAAGAACTTGCTTATGTTTTTAGTTTTGCCCAATTTGTTACCATTTAATGGGTTGATTTAATTTATAAAATATTAACTTTTAATTTTACTTTAGCCTAAAGCATTTTTTAAAAGTGTCATGAAAAAAAAACCCATAATTTTCAATTGGGCCCTTGTTCTAATAAGTGTTTCAATTGAACCATTGTATTTTTTGGTTTCCATAGAATACAACAATACAGTTTTTAACATAGAAGTACATTTTACTATTATATGTATTCACTTACAGGACCACTACTTGTCTGAATAAACTGAAGTGGTGTCACTTCGGACCATTGATCAAATGCTCTTTTGATTTCTGCATCCGTTTGTGATTTATTAAGTTCTTTCGTTGGGTATCTCGATATCTTGTACTTTAAATTGTTTGTCCTCCATCCGTCCACTATAATATTAAATCTATCTTTTATATTAAGTAGTGATTTATTGAAATTTAATGTACTTTACATAATCGTACGAATCTCTTAGGCCTGCCTTCCTTGGCTCTATAGAATTTGTCGTGACAGCCGCATCTTTGTGCGTTCATAACTCTTAGTGTATCTTCATCCAAAATCCCTGGAAAATTATTCTGTTCTTAATCAATACTTAAATCTAAGTCCTGAATTTTTTGACAAGTTAAATTTATCATTAGGTATTTTTAAATTTAAACTGTCAAATTGCTGTTACCAAGCTTACCAAGTTCAATTATTAAAATATCTTTATTGTATAATTTAGTATTTTTAAATTAGGTTACATCTCAACTACTGTAATTATTTGGTTCGTTTTAAATGTTAACTTTTTTAAAAAATATGTTGTTAATATTTTTCAATTTACCAGTTGGATTTACATCAACAAATAATTGAAACTCTATCAGCGCATCGCTAAACATTTGCATCGTCAAACTATGTACCATCTTAGGGTTGTTCGGCAATTCTCCATTCAAGTAACCGAACGATGCTAAATAAACCTACAAAAAAAAACGATAATCTTATTTACTATAACTCTACGAATTTAGCTTACTGTAAAATATATATATATTTTTTTTATTAAGGCTTTGACAGCTAGGTCATTAGCCATGTTTTTATTGGTTAGCTTTTATAGGTATTGTCAATTATTGTTGTTAAGAATTGATAACTTATATTTTTGTAGTTAAAGTCTTCTAACAGTAACCGTTATGGAATTATATTTCTATTACATGATAGAATCAACTACAGATTATCTCGGTATTTAAATACAGGGTAGAGTAGTTAGGGAGGGAGGGGAGGTTAATTTTTGTAAAATGATGAGGGATAATGTAAATATAATTTAACCAAGCTAAGTACCATAATATAATAAATCGTTTAATTTTGCCTTTTTGTGCCTACATTTAACCCAATTTTTTTATACAGTTAACACACCTGATTTAAAATGTCCTGACCCTTTTGGGCAATAAGTCAAAATATCTTGCAGTATAAAGTAGATACGTCTTATTTGTTTTGTTTTCAATAACCGGTTGGTGAAACATACTAAGATTGTATTAATTTGTTAGGTATATTCATTGATTATTTAAAATGTAAATATTCATTACGGTACTAAGGCGGGAAATAAGGCTCGGCCATTAGAACTGTTGCCAAATGACTAAGGCCAAATAAAGATTTATTTAGATTATTTTCTGTGGTTTTAGAATAGTTTACCGATATTAAGTTTTACACGGATAGTGTAAACACATTTCGTCATATCCGCACCATATAATTAATATTAATGATAAGTTTATACATTATTCTAAAACAGTAACAACATTAATTGTTATTTGTACGATAAAACGTCTACTCTGTTCTATTATTTAACTAAATAATGTAGTAAACAAGAATGTTATCATAAAGATCAAATGTCTAGTTGTTGGTATATTATTTTTAATGTTTTATGAGCTAATGTGTTGAGCTTACATGACAAGTCAATTGATGAAAATAATATTGATAGGCCTTCAGTACGTTTGCCGCAGAAAATAATAAAAGTAAGGAATAAAATGTTTGGCCTTAGAGCTAAATTAAACGTACTATGGATATTATTATTATACTGACCATTGCTCGTCTGTGGCTTTTGATTTCAGTGAAGGCATATCCTGTGCGGCAAGACAAAACCACCAGACCAAATATAAAACTGAATTGGGAAGTTCCCATGGCGTGTATATTAATTATTTGATGTTAAATTTTGAGTTTAATCAAATTGACGGTTCATGTTTAGGATATTTTATCAAGGCGTCTTCTGACATTACTAAAATGTTTTATGAAATCCAAGAAACTTAAATATTATATTCAATCGACTTTCAATGCCGCGTAGTGCAACTTGTTATGTATGGAATGGAATGATACATCCGATTGCATGGAAAATGGTGTACAAACGTCAAAGCATTTATCAGCATCATTGAGAAAAAAATATATACATTTTTTTGTAAGCTTCAAAAGAAAAACAGAAAACTTAATCGCCGTATTGTCGAGTAAAAAAGCACGGATACACATTAAACGGCAAAGCAGCGTGTACAATACAAGGACATCCGACGATTACTAAGGTAACCATCACTTATTTGGCGTTTACTGCAATTAGAAGGCGCCGGTTGGGTTTTTATTCGGTGCCTCCACTACAACAAAAAAAAAAAAACCCAGTAGTGTTCTTCTAGTTAAAGATATGTGATTTATTCTTAAAACTAATTATAGAAAAAAAACTGTACTCACGAAATATACGAGCTCTTAAAAAATACATTTAAAACTGCTAGTTTTAATACATAAATTATATTCACGTGTGTCAGTCATTATAAAATATCATATTTTCTGATGTATGAAATTATACCATCCGAGACTATATTTCGAGTATTTACCCAACAATAACCCATTATTATCTTATTTACCTACCTAAAATTATAATAATTGTGCTCAAACCTTCTACGGAATTCCGGGCTTGGACATATAATACTCGCAAATAGGTATCTATAAACTAGTTTTGTGGGGTTTTCAAATAGTATATAACTATTATGATTATAATGTTTGGGAAATTTACATTTAGGAATTTATACATTTGTGTTATTATTTCTGTCAAAAACATATTGTTTTGATATTATCAAAATAATTTAAACAAATATTATAAAATATAATCATTTTCAAGAAAATATTTTAAAATTATTTATGTTTGCAGTGCGTGGAATTAAAATACCGCCATAATGGAGTTCAATGTTCCTTATAGTGGTCATGTTCTTTTTTTTTAAAACTTATTGAGGTTGGGAAATATATCTTATAATAAATAATGTACTAAATTGTATTTTATAAATATTTCTTTTCTTTTATTGTTGATGTTGATTTTTGTAGGTATTTAAATAAAATAATCAATAAACAAATATGATGATATGTATAAATAGCTAATTAGGACCGTTCAACATTTCAAATATTAGTTTCACGTTTTTTTTTCATTAGCTTAATTAAAGAAATTGCATTTAGTCTAATTGTTAAGAACTAGTTTTTATTTTAAATTATATAACGTTTCACCTTATTATGGGCGTTTTGTATATTTTGGCACAACTATGTTAATACTATTCCAAAAATGCATAGCTGAATACCTATAACTCGAAATTTGAGTTAGAAGTTTGTACTGAATAATTTCCAATCATCATTGTTGTTGTAGTAGTTACTTAATTAAACCATTAGTCTAAAACTATTATTTGATCTTATTTTAGTATGATAATTATCAACTTACTAAAATTTTTTTAAAAAATGATAGAAATTGTATTAATTTAAATAGTTGATTGCTTTAATTTTAAAACTGGTTATCGACTATCCATAATACCTATAATAGTTTACTATTCATTTTAACTATATTAACTATATATTTTAACAATTAAATTGAAAAAAATTATCCAACAACACTATTCTTTAAAAAATTTAAATAATACATTTTTTAAAATTGTATTTGATAAGCATTGTACAATTGACAATTTCACTAAAACTAATAGTTCATGGAAAAAAAATGACTAGAGATCATTTAAATAATTATTTTATTTATTTAACAATTAATTAAAATTAATACAATTTAAACAAAAATTAAAAACTCAATTAAAACAGTATAATTTCGATTGTATTATCGGCCGTTGTACATTTTTTGGTTAATCCAGTCTCCAAAATGTGATACTCTTGTGAACACATTAGGGTATCCGGTTTCAGCACATTTCAAACTATAGGAAGTGAAACCGAGTAAATACCATTGTTTGCTTGACAGCAACATCATTGCATTTCCAGAACCACTCTGATTAAATGAGTGAAAAACAAAAGGTAAGTATTAAAAAAAATACAAAAATAATTTTAATGCCCAAAAAATGGTCAAGACTGTACAAGAAACATAATTTCAAAAACGATGCGAAGCTGAGAAGATATTGTTTTTTTTTTTTTTAGTTAAATTAAAATATACATTATTGGTTAACTATGATATAACTAAAAGTTAAAATTACTATCCAAATTACACATCTTATAACATATAGAACAATTAATACGTTTGTTCTTGACCATTGTTTCGACACAATTTTTGTTTTTTTACCAGACAAGAATCGTTTCCTCCAGCTAAATATCCAGCACAAAAAACGCTTTTATCAATAACGACTGATTCATTTTTTAATATACTTTCACAGATCGCAACATCAATAATTGGAGCGTATACTTCTATCATTGCTGTATTTGATATCTGACCTACATATAATAGTAATATTACAATTTTTAAAAACTGTTTAGACATTTAGTGTTTTAACAAATCTAAAAATAGTTTTTGGTTCTGCAAGGATGTGTTTTTGTATCTGATTGAGCTGTAACTGTTTTAAAATTAAACCAACGTTTCATTCAATATGACAAGGTTTCGTATTTAGTTAGTTACTGACTTTTAAGTTTAAATTATGTCCTGATATAATTTCGCGAGAAGTTTAAAATTTTGTAAAATTACCGAATACGTCACATCAAAAATATAATTATGTGTATTTTTTTGGAGGTCATTTTAGAAGTTAAGTCGTAAAATTAGACTGGTGTTAGGCTTCGTAAAGAACTGTGGGATAAGAGCACAATGGAGTTGAACCGGGCGGCTTTTACTTGTTATCTCTTCTGAAAAAAGTAGTTTTTCAAATCGGTGACAATACTACATCCTGTGCGTTTTCTATCATACTGTCTTCTTTATTTTAATCCTAACGGGCCTTGGGGACTAAGGTTGCCTGCCCGCAAAGTGGAGATTTTTCTTAACCGTTTAAAATAATTTCCGGACAGGTGAGTTAGTCTAGTCTGTCGCTGGAATACATACTGTCTTTTGTTATATATTATATTTTTTTGTTTACGTGAAGGCGTCGAGTCCCATCCAACAATGGTCGGCGTGTACTTGACGTATGTATTCGACTTCGTAACGGGTGAAATCGGTAAACAAATGGGTTTTATGCCGTCTACAAAACAAACATTACGTCACGCATCATCGTTATCTCTAATTATTATGTTGTTTTAATATTTTGTGAAATACCTTTGAACGTAATAGGAGTTTCGAGTTTCAGCAATGCAATGTCGTTTGTATAGTTTTCAATATTGAACGACTCGTGTACAATTATCTTGGCGATTGACACGTCTTGCGGCGAAGCACCGTCAGACACGTTACGGTCTAAATTCAAGTCACCCAAACGAACGACCGACCTAATAAACGCAGGCAAATTTTCAATTCTTACGGTTTCATATTTGTATACCGCTTGTAAATTACACAAATCGACTTACAGTTTATTTTCTCCAGGCGTCTTAGCACAATGTGCTGCTGTTAGTACATAGTTTTCGGCTATCAGCGAACCGGTGCACAACCACCGAAGCGGATTGTTCGGTTTTGAAACGATTTTGTATCCTAAGGCAGCCAACCACGGCCAATCATCTATAAATTCAACTCGTACAGGTTTTTTAGCACTTGTTCGTTCACATCAGCTATAGGTCAGTGGCGTATTTATAAGGGGGGGGGGGAGGGATATGGAGGAAAGATCCCCCATCGTCCTTTTTCGAATAGTCAAAAACAGTTACACTCAACTTAACTACAAAACAAATAGTTCAAGGGAGGGGATCTGTCCCCCCTACCCCAAATAAATACGGCACTGGCCTGTATAGTAAGTACAGGTATAGTATATAATATATATATATATATATATTGTTTAACCTAGGCTAGGTATTTCTCTACCGACGGCTCGATCCCGAACGATTGTTGTTCGGCCACATAAGTTATCCAGCGGCGGCGCTTTAGGTTCCACCGTTGGCGCAACGCCCGGGTTATCCGTTTTGTTCGGTCCAAGTACTTTGTCGCTTGGCGTGGATACCGCGACTGGTTGTGGGGTGGTCGACGTGAAGGGTGTTTTGGAGCTCGTGGTAAACCCGAAAATGTATTTGGTGGCGTTTATGTTTTCCACGCAGTTGCTCGGTGCATAATAAGTGTCGTTATGGTTTCCCTGGTCGTCGGCGAAAGAGGGACAATACACTTTGGCGTATCTTTGGTCGTAGCCGCATATCAAGTTTACAATGTAAGATTTGACAAAGGCGTTTCCCCGGTACTTTTTCAGAAGTCCTCGGACGGACGGACAAAATTGAATTAAGACGCAAGGGCACAACATCGGTTTTGACGTCTGGGTGGTTGCAGTTGTCGAAACAGCCCACGAACCGCGCCACAGTGCTGGACCCTTAGTCGTGGTCGAGGTTGAATCGTTTTGAAAAGTAACTTTTGTTTGCCCGAATTCGTTTCTCTTGTTCGCAGAAACAGGGCTAGCATCAACCGGACAACATACTTTTGGGTGTAGTCCGTTAAAGCCACAAATTGAAGTTTGAAGGAAAGCGATTACCGACGGGCTTTGTTTTTCGTTTTCTAAAAGGCCTCGTAGCGAAGGGCAGTTTTGTATGTTTATGCAATCGCCAGTTTTTCCAGTGTTCAATACACATTCTAAGATATAAGAACAATACATTCAATTTATTATGACTTTTTAAAAATACCATGCATCAATTTAAAATGTTTGAATTCCTGTAAATAATTAAAATATACCATGTATTCTACATGACGTTTCAAACATACTTTTACATCTGTACCTTAAGTTTAATGGGTCAATCTGTCGTTTTGTAACTTTTGGCAAATGGGCTTGAAAGTTTGAATTTTCCACTACAAGAATTTTATGAAAAAACTATTTTTTTAAGTTTAGTCCTAAAATTATAGTTTTTTGCATACAATGTAGTGTTTAAGTTTACACGTTTAGTGACTTTGCAACTACTTAATTTTTAGTAACAACGCTACACAATTTTGTTTTAAATATAAATATTAAAAGCGTTTACTCTACTGAATTTAGATTTTAGAGCTTCCAAGTGAATTAATAAATAATATGTGGTTTTAAATTTGTCTCTAAACGTCAAAGAGAGTACAAAAAATTAAATAATACAATTTATGGTAGACGATTAAACGTAATAGTAAGATTAGATTTTATATGTATTTGTTTGTTTTTTATTATATTTTAGTATACTATTGAGAATTTTACATAGTTGGGAGCAAGTTTTTTTAATGTAAATCTGGATTTTTGTGTAGGTAAACAAAGTTTAGCAGCAAATATGAGACACATTTTATAGTAAGATTACATTGATATTATTTCTTATAGATAATGTGAATAAACGCGTTTAACGGCCTTTATTTTATATTTTATACTGAAAAGAAAAATCAAATTTGTCTGCAAAAAACGATTGCAACTAGAACGTTATTGTAAAAGTTGTTATCATTTGATATAATAATATAATTATCACTATTTAAAATGTTTTATAAAGAACAAGCGAACCAAACATTTTCGGAAATAAAATATATATATTTATACAATAATTATTGTTTTCTATAGTTAAATAATAATATCCATCTGTAAAATTAACAAATTATTATCATTAAAACTAATCTATCAATCTATATTATCTCTACTAAGGTTATCAATACCTGTGACAATATAAAAATAAGTTAAGGTACTCACTATCAGTAGTCTGAGTCGATACTGCTCTTATCACCAATATAACATATAAAGTTTTGTCCATGTTTAATCTAAAGTAATAAAACCATTGTAGTCGATAAATTAAAAAAAAATACCGGTTGAAGCTAGCTTTTAGATTGGATAATATATATTATTTTAAGATTAAATTTTTTTTTCATACTGCTGCTTCGTGTTCCATTAGTAACTACAGCCCACGGCGAATGGTTTGGACAACATTTTCATGGTCATTGCGAACTTATCATTCATAGAATGACGTTGCTTTGAAACTATTAACATGTTCTGGCGGGGAGAATGAACGTTCTTTATTCTGGCGCGTTAAATTATTGGAAATGCGTTGAGCTTATGATAAAACAGGAAATTGTTTACCTACATAACTATCACTTTTCTAATGATTCCAAAATATAATCCATTTGGACGTTTAGGCTTTGCTATTCATATGCATTGCCGTTGATCTTAGAACATACAGATAAGCGGTGATGTACACAAAAACGGTGACCGATTTTATGTGGGATTCCCGCTGGCAACGGAGGTACCCTCTTTGTAGTTACCATCCGCTCGTCTATAAACTATGACGAGGGTACCTCCGTTGCCAGCGGTAATCCCACATAAAATCAGTCGCCGTTTTTGTGTATATCATCAAGCTTATCGGTATATTTTAAAATCAATGGTATTGTTAACATTTAAAAGTAATCCCAATTGAAATCTTTTGTAACTATATAATTATTACTAGAATAATTACACTGTACGACACGGTTTTAGAACAAGAACCAGAATACATAATTTTCTTTGGATTCTGGCATTGGAATTCTTCAAAAACGTCCATTTTATTTTTTAATTGTCTTCGAAAAATAAACAAGTCACTATATTAATTCTGAATTTAGCGGAGAACAAAAAATCTATATTCGTTTTAAAATATTATTCAAACATAATTAGTTTGAATGTCTAAATATGTAGTGAGTATGTATTAGGGCTATCGTTAATCTACTAACGGCGCCGTAAGGGTAAATGCAAGTTTGATAAAACAAAAATAAATTTGACTGAAAGAATATAGAAGTCAGTGTCAATATGGAAACCGCCTTATAAGCTACACTTAATGATTACCTGGTGAGATAATATGAATTGTGACAATTTTGCATAACTTGGTTAAGGTGTAGTGCAGAAACTTTCTGCGATTTTGCCAGCGATTAAAAATGTATATTGTTTACTAAACTTATTATACATAATATGATTAATATTTTTTATTTGATTAATTTGTGTAAAAAAAAAATTTGAGTTATAAAATTAATGATATTATAATTTTGAAAATGACTTAACAAAAGAAGTCGTGCATTTTTCTATAGTAAACAAGAATGATTACATGCATAATTATTACATACTATTAAAATTAATCTCAATTCTTTTAAAATTTAAATGTGTTTAAACAATATATTTTTTTAAGAATAATATATATTTATATATATTGTTTTCAATAATCGTTATTTGCATCTTTTGGTCCACATCCAAACCAATAATTTGCGATTTTTTTGGGCGTTGGTGGACTTTCGTTAAAGGACTGTACAAAAAAAAAATCAATAAAAAATCAATTGTTATAATATTTAATACAATTAACAAATTTTACAGTTCTTTTTCATTAAATAAATCAGCGTAATAACTTAAACATACAAAGCCGCAAAAAATATTAGGTAATCGTTAACCCAGCTAAGAATTTATTTTTATTTTTTCGCGGCCACTTATGAAAATTGTATCTCATAGCAGTTGAACCGCTAAATACAGAAAGAGCACATGTCTAGATTTTGAAATTTTTTCAGAAAAGACAAAAACTTAATAAATTATTTTTTGAAAAATATTTAATTACACGTTTCATGTAATTAAAGAATAGAGCATTAGACAATACACATACTTATTTCGATAATTATTTAAAAAATGATTATAAAACTCTAGGCACTTTAAGGGTTTTGAGATCGAGGACCTATGCCGTTTATGCATCAAATTACTATACATTGTCTTTGAAAAATAGTAGAAACTTGTACATAATGTCTAATGCTATATTATTTAATAGCATGACATTTTTTATTTTTTAGAAATATTTAGGTTTATTTCTTGAGAATTAAAAATCTGGACATGTGCCCTCTTTGTACTTAACGATTCGGTTATTATGGTCGACTCGAGCGGATACTTACACCAAATGAAAAGTCGCTGAATTGGTAAAAATCATGGCCTTTAAAGACATATATACGTTGGTTCGTATGCGCTAGAGTGGCATCCAGATCGCCGAGAACACCCAACAACTGATCAATGCGTTTTGGGTACGACACGGGCGGTGTTGCCGACACATTGTAAATCCAATAATCCGGTCCTGAGACAAAAATGACGTACGTCAAACGCATGCGTTAATATTTATTATGTTTTTACCGGACCTTTGAAGAAGTATATTAAATGTTCATTGTTTTCCCACGGCAGAGCCGCATCGATATCGTTCGGTATACCGGCAAATCCGTTCTTGATCAACTTCGGGTAACCGTCGAGCATGGCCGTGCCGCTGTATTTCCAGTAATGCGAATCCTTGAAGAAATATGTATTGCCGTTGCCTTTGTGTGTGAACGCAGCGTCTATTGACTTGGGCAGACCCGGCCAGGTCTGATTGACGAACTTCGGGTGACCGTGTAGGATTCGTTTTGGCGATAAACTCCAATAGTAGTTACCTTTGCGAGAAATTTGGCTTGTAAAAATCAAATCACACCGCTGTACGCATTAGTTTTTGCGTTTACCTTTGAACACGAACGTTTCGTTTGATAGCGAATTGAATATAGTGTCGATTCTAGGATTCGAGCATAAGTATACACTGTTCGCACCGTTAGTATTGAAATTCGATCGTCGTCGTCGTCGTTGTCTTCTAACTCGACCCTCGGTCCGTACATTTCCTAAAATGTCAACGTGAATGACAACTGTGAATTTCCCATTCTACAAACGGACGGGGAAAACCCATTAACCTGTACTCCCAGAATGTCGTCGTTATGAAGCTCAACGTTTGGATTGTAAGATTTGTAAAACGGTCTCATCACCGCATTGGCGTCCAAAGAATGGTCGAGGCCTAGCACGTGACCAATTACATGAAGTGCTACTTGGAATAAGTTGATTCCTGTTTCAAAGTGTCTCGATTACGTTTGTGTTTGTTCTCACTTTCATACTTATATATGATCGATTTTATTTAACTATATATACTCGATCCCGTATAAAAGCGGTAATACGCGTTTTGGTTTTTGCGCAGTACCGTTTTTGTACGGGATAGAGTATAATATTATAGTATAATAGATTGTGGAGTGTGCAATCAATTATTTACCTTTTCTAATACCAACGGTCCAAATTTCCGCATCGTCAAAATGAACTGAACCACGACTGGGCGATAGATTATGTACAATAACTCCTGATGGCCCATCGAATGGTATGAAATCACCGTGTTCGCCATTTGCAAATAATATTTCAATTCGGACCTATTTATAATGAGAATTGAATATTATTCACAGATTAATTAAAATCATTACAATAATTCCCCTAAACCTAAAGCAATAATTTTCTAAAAAAAAAAAAATCATCTTTGTTAGATGAAAATGTATAAATATATAGTATTAATAAATTGTCGATGAACTTAACCAGGCCAGCGTCTCTTTCGTGAAAAACTATTGGCATGACTTCGGACCATACGTCAAAGGCTTTCCGGAATTCCAAATCTGTTTGTTCTTTGCTTAATTGCTTGGAAGGATACTTTGATATTTTGTACGTCAAGTTGTCTACTCTCCAAGTTTCTACTAACAATATACGATAACAATAGGCGTTTGTATTAACACTGTACATTACGAAGGGCATTTAAGTAAAAATAAGTTAGTACTTTAATGAGTAAACCTTCGAAAAAAAAAATCCTATAACCTGTAATGACATTTGACGGTTAAGTCGTTTTATTAATAACTATTTTTTAATAGGATTTTCAATTACTTACACAAATGTCCGTATCTCTTCGGTCTGGTTCTATAGAATCGGTCCAGACATCCACATCTAGGGGTATTCATTAGCTCAAGTGTTTCTTGATCCAATACACCTTCGAAAATACAAAATTATTAGTAATAAAAATAGCTACATTTCTGGTTAAGTAGATATATTGTCCGGTGTTTCATTTTATTCTATAATAAAAGTTTAAATTATTATTCGTTATTGTTATATTGACCGGTTGATCTTTCCTTTAGCACGTTTGTTCTATTTCTGACCAGTTGATGAATAAATTATTATATTTGTGTTAATTTTTCCAGATTTATTTGCTGTCATTTAATATATTACTTTAGACCATGTACCATGTTCGTATATACATAATGTTACATGCTTGTAAGCATGTAAACTTACCAGTTTCACTTATGCCAGCAAACGATTGAAAATCCAACAAGGCGTTTCTCAACGATTCTTTTTCCAACAAGTGGATACTATTTGGATCCAATGTTATTGGACTATAATAACCGAACTGAGTTAGATATTTCTGTAATAATCAAAATTTTAATTTTAAGCAGAACTGTAATTTTATTTCAAATAATAATATATTATGTTTTAAAAATTCGGCATTGTTTAAGACTTAAATTACTCTTAACATTGCAATATTTTATTATACAGTACTTAAAAAAAAAAATTGCTATTTTCCAATGAATGTACATATTAATGTAATAGGTATTTTTGTACAATAAACTTATTAAAAAAGCACTTAGAATACTGACTATTGCTTGAGTGGAGTTTTTTATTTCGACGGCAGCGTGTCCTAGTCCGTTGAAGAGTAACAATGCGCTGCTCAATATCAGTACACAGTTTTTATTGGCACACATTGTAATCAATATTAAGAACACTCAACACGGTTCTTATAAGTAGTATTGTGTAATTATTGTAATTTAAATAAAGTAAATTTATACTATTATTTTTACTTTATAATCGATTAGTTTTTATATAGTTACTTGAACTTCTCAGCAGAACTTGGTAAAAAAATATAATGTAAATGTAATATATATAATATAAAAATGCGTTGGAGCTCACTGCTTAATTTTTGCGCATAATCCATGTACGTCCTTGTAGGTACGGTTTAAAACCTACAACTATTTAAATCGAAGACACGATGCCAGTTACAGACCATCGCAAGGTCTGCCAAACAAATGTATTAATTACTCTCCTAACCAATTATATTATAAGCGGTACCCAACATAAACAACAAGTTATACACAATCAACATAAAGACGGATAACATAAAATATAGAGTAAAAACGTACGCTTAAAAATAATTAGATTTAAACAAATCAACATTAAGAAACATAATATTAATTTCAAACAAGCTATAAAATAAAAATTACTACCCACAAAAACCGGGAAAATTTATTCATATTACATGTAATGATTTTTATTTTAAAGTATTTATTTTTTGAGGATCAACTAGAATCTAGATAACAATTTTTAACAGTTTGTATGCTTTATACTGCATGTTAACGTTTAAAAAAAAACAATAAGAAAATCCACTTGTTTTGTGTATTTTCAGTGTACAAACTGACAATTTCTCTTCGAGCAACTTAAATATTATTAAAATGTTTGGGAATCAATATGACCATTTACCAAAAAAAATTCCAGTATAATAATATTAGGTTTATTTTTAATGCATGCGGCTCCTAAAGCTAAGCTATCTCATAAAAACAAATTACATAGATATATAATAAAGTTAAGAATATATTTCTAATTAACTTACGTAGAAAATACAGAAATTGATTTATAATAGAGAAAAAACATATAAAAAAATGGTGAAATAGTTACTCTGAAAATTAGTTGTGCAGCACTTGTACTAATAACCTATACTGTCAACTTTTTTTTTTAAGTATTATTTTTTTGTTGAAATATAATTAAAAAAATAGTTTTCGAGAACAACATCATCAAGTTCGATAGAAATTAAAATTTAAGAAAGATACTTATTTATTTTTAAAACCAAACTAATAATCAGTTTCAAATAAATATACTACTAAATTATGTTAAGTTAGGATTTAGAGAATGTCAAAAATTACAATAGTATGTAAACAATATTAATGATTTGGTTTTCAAACATTATTATTATTTTAGTGTTGTACGTCCAAACGAGTTGATCCGTCAAGGGAGTTAGTTGGGAGTCCGGTAAGTTGTCAAGAGCTCCATGCCAGTATGTCTACTAAGTATAGTGTTGATAAAATACTGTTTTACACCACAAGGAAAAATGGTAAAATTAATTTATTCAGGTTAATCCAACCGTCTGACACATTATAGACATGGTACCGCCTGCGATTGCTCCCACTAATTTTTTTTACATATTATTTTGTTATTAGTAATATTGTATATACACAACGGTTTAAACTAAGAATGACCATGAGAACGTGTGTCGTACAAGTTGTGTATTATTTTATTTATGTTATCTCTGTCGCAGAGGATTAACAAATTCAAATGCTAAGCATTTTTACCGTCATATTTTAATATATTTATTGTATTGTAAATATATACTATAATATTATATAGTTTTATCATATAGCATTTTATTGGCATAATTATGACAGGTAGCAGGTGTTTGGTGAATTTGATGTTTGTGATCAGTGCAGTAGCGGCTCAATCGTTAACGCGTAAGGTGTACATTTTAATTATTCATCTATTAATATAATTTTCGAATGTAAACAATTATATTTCTCACACGTAAACAGCTGTTTTATGTTTAATTATGAAATAATTTTGCCTTAGCATACTTAGATTATATATGGTATTTACTTACAATATGTCAATCAACAACCAATAGCGTCTAGTAAATTATGAAAAGTGCAGTATAAATAATGCAGTTGAATCTTATAAAATCTAAAAAAAAGATATTCCTCTACATTTACAAACTCAAATATATGTAACTACTTAGTTCGCATTTCATTTTTTTTTTCATTTTAAATCTGTTAATACACATTTTTTTAGAAAAAGTAAAAGCTATAATTTTTTTTTTTAATTGCAGCCATTTAGAATTTGTTTTAAATTTTAATATGCATAATATAATATACAGACATAATTTAATTTTTAACAAACACAAAGTGACCTGTGTGGGTCACCCCAAATAAGATCTGTGTTGATCTTATTTGGGGGTTAATGTTTTAAAGCTTTTTTTATTTTAAATCAAACAGAAACTGGTTAATATTGGGACGTACATTTAAAATAAAACGTTACACATTTTTACCAAATAAAAATATTTAGCCTTCAGTACGAGCGCTCAAGATAGCCCTAAGTTTTACATAAAGTCATAATAGATGAATATTATTTTTAAAACTTTATAGCTATTTATTTAAATAAACTGTGTCTAATTAAATTGTAATTTATAAATATGTATTTTTCATACATATATTTACTTGTATAGCACAAAGAAATAACTTAGTCTTAAAAGGGGGAGGTTAAAATACCTCTCCTTTGGGAAAGTCATCGTTAGGCATTGAGGCCTTGTGGCCCGTAGAAATTATAAGCGACAGAGGCTAATTTGAACAAGTACCATTAAGAAAATGTTTTCTAATTGTTTGTGACCCTATTGTTATATTATTGTTTTTTTGAAAAAAAAAATGAAATAGCTAATGTTTTATGATGTTAACAGATTGTAGTACGCCGGTGAATGAACTAGGCAACTGTATCAGCATACTGAAATGTGCGCCCCTGCGTGATCTCTTAGAAAATCATAGATCAAACTCTTCGGTCATCAGTTATCTTAGAAAATCCCAGTGTGGTTACGAAGGGAAATACCCAAACGTTTGCTGTCCAATTCCGAGTAAATCTACCCCTACTACTATTCCTACTACTTCTACTACTACTACTACTACTACTACTACTACTACTACTACTACTACTACTAGTACTTCTGCCTTCAGCGATAGGATTTCTTATGAAACCAGTACCAAAGTGAAATTTCCATTCGAAGAGACATGTGGACGATCAACTGTCGTAAGAGACCGAATCACTGGCGGAGATACTCCTAATTTAGGTTTGGAAACATGATATGACTCGATAAGTGTTACTGTTAAAGTTGTATAACTTAATTGAACTGTTTAGCCGAATGGCCTTGGGCGGTGGCGCTTGGATACAAGAACAAATACAAACCGAACAATCCTCTTCAATGGTCTTGCGGCGGTACTTTGATATCAGACAGATTTGTACTGACCTCTGGCTACTGTGTTGTCGATTCGGGACAAACCAAACTGTACGTTTAACCGGTTCATCGAGTATTGATAGGGGTCGTTCATTGTAAAAGTGGTGTAACTCCAAATGTTTAAAATATACATATTTTTGCTCAATGGAGTCAAATTTAGTCATATCTTTCATGACAGAGGAGAAGCAACTCCAATAAATGCAAAAAATAGAAAACACTGAATGAATACTTGTATTTGTTTTCCTCCTACACATTAATTTACAAAAACAGTTACACGAATCTACAACTAGAAAGTGATTTGTACTGTACATTGTGTTTTCTATTTTGTTTCCATTAAATTTATAAGTCAAGAAGAAAAAATATAATTTACCATGGGATGTTCTAAAATTATAATGTTATAACTATTTACTATTAAAAAATAAAACTTTTTCCGTCAGGCACTAGACACTGAGCAGTAAACGTTATGAGCCGAGGTTCATTTTCAAGTCGTTTGCAATAATAATTTAATGGTCTTTCAAAGTGCGAGGTCCAAGACAAGTGCCCTGCTCCTCCTCTCGCCCTCTTAACGCCAGCCTTGACTGTATCGACGTGACCTTGGTGTTATAGGTCTATCGCACGCTTAGGAGATCTTAATCTGGATCCCAACATTGACGATGGAGCTTCGCCACAAGATTTTCAAATCGAAAAGATAATAGTGCACGAATCGTATGACAAACGGCATTACACCAACGATATTGCTTTACTGAAGTTGGCGGCTACGGTTAAATTCAACCGTAGGTTATTAATTATTATTGTTTTTTTTTTTTTTTTAATTAACTTTTTTATGGATACCCTTTGAATTGTTAGCAACGTTATAACTGCGATAATATTTTTTTAGGATACATCCAACCCATTTGTTTGCCAATCGCACCGAAATTGCGATCCAAACTATATGTAAATTACACACCAACCATTATAGGTTGGGGCACAACAGAGATAAGTGAGTAAACGATTATAAGTATTATAGGTAATATGTATACATTTTTCTATTTATACTTTAAGAAGTTTTCACAATGTTCGGATGATAATGATTTAAACGACTTTACGTTGATCATTTGTCTCAATGTGTTTACAAATTATGTGTTATATTTCTAATAAAAAGCAAACAAAGTCCATTTAATATTTACTATCTATACAATTGATGGGACCTTTGAAAATTGGAATTCAAAGTCCCGCCCTTTATTTATACACAAAATTTGAAAATTGTGTGTTTAGCACGGAAATTCTACATAGAAACAATTTTCAGATGGACCTTTGAGTAACGCATTGATAGAAGCAGGACTTCCAATCGTTGATAATATGGAATGCAACCGTTCATATGCGAAATTCCCCGTTACGATTGACAATAGAGTGATTTGTGCAGGATTGATTGGAGGAAAAGGATCTTGTCAGGTACAGTTACAGTTCAAGGGAATTTTTTTTTTTACTCTTTGAATTCTTGATCTCTCGAACAAGTTATTCGCAATTTTTAAAATTGTCTTAAAATTTAGTGTTTAGCCTGGAAGGCTACTTGGCAAGTATGAACCTTTCTGATAAATTTAGCCAAACGATGATGAAAAAATGATTTTATCTTTTGAACAGATGGGGTTATTTTCAAGCTTATCGTGTGATTGTGATTGTCTGATTACAGGGTGATTCTGGCAATACACTCATGATACCACAAAGTGGGCAGTGGTATTCGATTGGCATTGTGTCTTTTGGATATAAATGCGGACAACATGGTTATCCCGGCGTATATACTAGAGTCACACATTTTGTCGACTGGATTCTAGATAAAATTAACAAGAGCTAACTAAATAAGAGTTGGTTAATTATTTGTTTGATCGTTTTTGTATTTTTTTTTAATATATTTTTATTGAAAAAATAATAAACAAACTCGGACCACTTTTATATACAATTAATTTTACATTCAATTTGTTTATTCGCTAACCTATTTCTTAACATTTTTTAACCGTCTATTAACTTACACATTTATTAACACTAATAAACGAGCAAAAAGTTCATATTATGCAAACATAACACAAATAATGATAGGGACATATTTCTAGCTTTATTATTAGTCTATACTTTTATACACTATATATAATGATTCCAAATTAGGCTCAAATACAGTTTTTAAATCTAAGAGTGATTCAATCGCTGTCATAGGCCTATAATGTGAGAACCGCTTCATGAAAAAACAACAAAACGGTGTTCTTAAAAAGATTGTTTATGGCTTCTAAAGGTTGAGTAAAAATATATCCATAGCAAACGAAAAAAAAAATGTTTATTCTCTTTAGAGCTTTGCATTGATATTAAAATTGTAATATTTTGTAATTTGAATTAAAGAAATAAGTAGGTCTTAATTGATGTTTAAAGTCCTTATTTGCTCTTAAGCTACTGATTTTAATTTCATTATGATGTCTAAAAATATTTTGGTAGTTTTTTCTCTCTTAAATCTTGATGTTATAATTTTTAAACATTTATTTACTATACAATTTGTAAATATATATTACAACAATTAGCCTATTTTAGCTCCATAATTTGTGCTATTGTGTAATATTTGATTTCTTCACAATTTACTGAGGCACTTTTTCGAAATTATTTTTAATCGGCTTAATATTTCTATTTTAAATAAATAGGAAATGTTTAAAAATTTAAACAATTATTTTTTTTTTAAATTTAAGTAGATAATAAATAAAATATATTGTGCCTAGCGGCATCTAAGTACGCCTTGTAGACTTTTGTTGTAATTACAATGACAAGTTTATAGTACAAAAAAACGCTCGCCACAATATGAAAAATGTTCAACTGTACATTGTGTTGCCTACACAAGCATATTGCAGTATAGGTGTTTTTTTTTATGATTAGTAGTTTTGTACGATTTAAACAATATATTGAACCTAATCATGGAAGACAGAAAATTAGACTAAAAATGTTGTTTTCAATATGTTCTTTCATGTCTAACAACCGTGTAATAATAAATCACGCATAATGGTATAATCTTATGTATCTCAGCAAGTGCCAAGTGGTTAATTTCTCGGATGAAATATTCCTTATGTGTAAGTGTGATTAAACGCTGAATATAATCGCACAACGCGGTATTTCCCGTCATTAACAATAATAATGATAATATGTAAACGGTATTCAATCATTCGGGAATATCCCAATTAATTATAAATATTGATGAGATACTCGGGGTAGGGCCGCTGTATTCGAATTCCTGCCTGGTCACCAACCCGATTGCTAGTAGCTGGTCACGAGATGGTGGTTCTTAGCACTAATAGCCATGGACCAGAATCATACAGTAAGAAATGTTGTCTATAAACACATTTTTCAGTTTTGTAGCCCACACATTTTGCTCGGTAAACAAGTTTCACAGCACACAATGTAATAATATCGAAGATTTTAAATTATTTTAATGTGAATTGTGACTGTTTATAGGTATTGTTTTTTAGTTTAATTTTTGAGTAGCTTACTAAATTTGTTAATTATTAAACACGTGATGTTCATATTGTATTGTTGAATATTTATTATTTTTATGATGCTTGTTTACCAATAAAATCTTTGCACAATACCAAGTCGAGCCTGTTTTGTACTCTTGTTGAAATTAACAAATAAATAATAAGAAACACTAACGCAGTAGTTATCCATAATACAATATTGTCCAGGCGTTAATAGGCTTTGACCGGTTTTACGATTACATTTAGGATTGTGTTTTCCTCGTGAATTTTAATAATAATATATCCCAAGGGTATGTTTCAATAATTACAGTTTAGTATTATTATCGTTGAAACATACATAAATATACAATGCACACAAATCATACTATAATATGTTTTTGCTAAGGTGAGTATATAATGATATTGTAAATTATCATAATGAGACACGTTTTTTTGTTTAATACATGGTTTAGTACGTCGAATCGAGCCAAAAATATTAAAAATGATATTTGATAGGTAATTATTATTTATTAGTATATTATGAAATGACGTAGTACCTATCATGTATGTTACCAACTGCTATACTTGACATTCATATTAAATTCTGTACACAAGACTTTGTTTTTTTGGCAAAGTAAAGTTGATTCGATTAAAAATAAGTTTTTTTTTAATATCAAGTCAAGCTCACTTGGCAGTCTAAAAGTAATTTATCGTCCACCCTATTATAAAATAAAAATACATTCTTAATTGATCTGTTTTGATACCATGTAAAAGCAAACGGGACGTTCTATGATTTTGAAAGGGAACAAAAAAGACTTACGACCTGCAAAGTATCAATTAGTTACAATTTTTTATAAATACAATGTATTTTTTTTTTATTTGTAATTTATTATCAGACGGTTACTACTAATCAAAATACAAAGTTCGTTGGTTTTAAAATAGTCGATGGCAACATATTTTTTTAAGCAATTTTTACAGATCAACAACTGTGCTCTTATGATGAACTTGATTTTCATTATATTCAAATTCATACCACCTCTTAATAATTAGCATCGTCTGGCGTCCACGACCAAGTTGATAACTTTTCACACACAAGAACCTGATTTCTGATTCGAGGTCATCACGTTAAGGGACAATTTATATAATCTATGGTAGTGTAATCCAATGTTCAGTTTAAAAAGAAATGTTGACTATAATTCTTGGATAATTTAATAGTTGTTCCGTTTTTTGAATAAATTAAACATGATGATCGTTGCGGTTTTATTGTAAACGTATAATAATATATTTATTATTTTAGTTGTTTATTAGCCTTGTTATCAGCTAAAGGAACACTAATATTATTGAACATGGTAAGGAGTATATTTAAAAACATTTATAATTAGTAATATAATTAACTCTATTGACAATTTATTACAATGGCTTTTTAAGTAATAAACTATTAAAAACGTATAAATGTAATTGTGTTCATTATTAGTAAACTGTATTTATACTATATTATATTTACAGGATTGTTTTCTCAAATCTCTTTTGAGAATTTTTCTCTTCGGTGTATTTATAGTTGTGCCAATAAACGGGCAAATTATAGCCAAATCTATTTTGAAAAATGTAGTTTCAACAGCAATCGATCTGACTTACAAAGAGTTGTCCGTACCAACAACATTGAAAAAAGAAGAAATCATTATCGATAAGGAGCTGGGATGCACGTGCAAACCATTCAGTCTATGCCAGACTTATGAATCAAATCCCGTCGGTTACTTACAAATCGATATCAGGTAATTCTTACATTAAATCATTTAAATTTAATAAAAAAAATATAAAAATGATTTACCTTGAATTATACACTTGAAAAATGCACTTAATTTATATGATTTTAAAACGAAAATAACATAAAATTTTATAGATACTTATTATTTTATACTTAGCGATTAATTTAAATTGAAAATATGTTAACAGTACTTGGAAAGGTTGGAGATAATTAAAAATTAAATTTCATTTTAGTTTTTCAAATTTGTTGAAACTAGAAATTATTCTTCTACGAATGACTTTTTATTTAAAACATAATTAAACAAATAATAGATAAAACTTTTTAGGGTTGGTATATAATAAATGTAAACAATTTAATTACAAAATGCATTTAATCTGATAAACTCAAATATTATAATTTTTCTTTAAGAGGACACTACCCACCTGTTTATTTAAAAGTTAAGTACAGGCAAAATCTTAGATTTAAGAGTTTAATCAAGGGTATATAATAATTAGTAATTAATAATACAGAAATGAAAATTCTTTATCGGTTGTTATCACAGTCATTTCTATAGAAAAAAAATACATTTTCTTTCCATCAAAATAGTTTTGCGTGAAACAAAACAATAAATAGAAAAAAAAACTTATTCTGTTTTTAAGATTTTTAAAATGTTTGATAGGTAACTCAATCCACTATTTTTAACAGCTTATTAAAAAAAAAAATCTAAGAAAATTATTCATCTGTCAAAAAAATGGTCTATCTAAGCATAGATAATTTTCTCTTCTATTTTTCTCTGACGATTTAGTGAATTTAATACTGTCACAGTTATAAATACTACTCTCAATTAAGAAATTAATAAAAACCGTCCTCATAGCATCTAGATTATTAAACATTTTAATATTACACATTCATTCTACAATCGTCCAAAGTTGTCTACTATGAACCAATTTGTTTATTAAAATTACCATTTATTATATGTACATGTACTTTAAATACAATGAATTAATCGGTAGATTCTAACACATTTGATGTTTTGATTTTAGAACGAATATCGGTCCATGCCACAGCTATTTGGATGTATGCTGCAATGATACTCTAAGTTCATTATCGACATCAACTCACACAGACAACACTAAAAACAACTTACCCGAAGTTGTATCGAGCGATTCTGGCGATTCCAGTCCAAACAAAGATAATGCCAATGAATTTGCTTATTCATCTATCACAACAACAACTTTAACTTCATCAAACTATGAAACGAAAAATCACGAATCTCCGAATAACATTGAATTGACTTCACCTTCTTCGGAATACATAATAATATCGACTAGCACATCATCTGAAGTGATCAAAACCTCTGAATCGACGTCTCATGAATCATCGGATAACACTGAATTATCTTCACCTTCTTTGTCAGACTTAATAATATCGACTAGCACAACACCTGATTCGAGAGAAACCTTTGAATCGTCATCTCACGAATCTTTAGATAACATTGAATCATCTTCACCTTCCTCGTCAGACATTGCAACATCAACTAGCACAACACCTGACTCGAGGGAAACCTTTGAGTCGTCATCTCACGAATCATCGGGCTATGGAGAATCATCTTCACCTCCCTCGTCAGACATTGTAACATCAACTAGCACAACACCTGATTCGAGAGAAACCTTTGAATCGTCATCTCATGAATCATCGGGCTATGTTGAGTTGTCTTCACCTCCCTCGGCAGACATCGTATCATCGACTAGCTCATCAGCAGATTTGATAGAAAATACTGAATCACACAGCATGGACAGCAATTCTCATTCGACTGAGACCGCAGCCACGATCAAACCGGATGTAAAAAAACATCATAAATGTGGACAATGGAATAAAGACGGGATAGGCTTTAGAGTTCTTAACGCTATAAATGGGGAGTCCAATTATGGCGAGTACCCTGCTATGGTGGCAATACTTGGTGAGGATACTTCAAAGTCCGGAGATACAAAACTATTGTACCGGTGCGGAGGATCGTTGATCAAACCAAATGTCGTCTTGACAGCTGCTCATTGTGTTATTAAGTAAATATTAAGATGCAAATTTTCGGAATTTATCATTTTTAAAAGTACGCTTATTCTACCAACGTTTCTAAGGAAAACATGTACACCGTAAACATTTTCTGACAAGTAATGTTTAAGCTCTAAGATGAGTCTAATTGAGACATTTCTATCCCAATTTCAAATTAAACGGTTTCATAGTTTGGCTTTTATGGACATTTTTTCGATGGACATTTCAACCCAGACATTTTTACTTAAATTCGATCAATACATACTAGGTAGTATTATAAACGATTGTTTTTTTTTATCTTTAGAAAAGACCATTCATCTTTGGTGGTTCGAGCAGGAGAGTGGGATTTGCAAACAGATAAGGAAATCTATGCTCATCAAGACCGTCGCATATCTGAAGTTACCATACACAAGGAGTATTATGCGGGAGGACTTTTCAACGACATCGCCTTGTTGTTTACTGAAGCGCCATTTGATCTACAAGCAAATATCCAAACGATATGCTTACCGGAACAGGGTCAAAAATTTGATCATTCTCTGTGCTATTCCAGCGGTTGGGGCAAAGACGTTATCTTCAATAACTACACTATCGCTAAGAAAACGGCGAAGGGTGTTGAGAGTGCGTATAGTCCTACATACAATGATTTCAAGTACATTGTTTATCGTCATTTAATATATCAATCATGTTTGCGTAGACGAATTGGGTCATTACCAGGTCAGCATACTGAAGAAAGTAGAACTTCCCATCATACCTACCCAAAAGTGTGAAGATGATCTAAAGAAAACAAGACTCGGGCCAAAATTTAGATTACACAAAAGTTTTATGTGCGCTGGCGGACAAGAAGGAAAGGACACGTGCAAAGTAATTTTCCGTTTGTTGGAAATTGAATAATATTCAAAGACAATTTTTTCTTGTATTTTTTTTTATCTAGGGCGACGGTGGTAGTCCATTGATGTGTCCAAGCGAATCTGATCCAAATACCTTAATACAAGCTGGAATCGTTTCTTGGGGGATTGGATGTGGCAATACGTTTCCTGGAGTCTACGTTGATGTAGCTCATTTTCGCGAATGGATAGACAATGAAACAATTACTTAAATTATTGAAAACAATAAAAAATAAATGTCATGTGATTTGCAATGTTATAAATTATAATAAACTAGTAATGTATGTTTTATAATTAAAACAAATATTAAATACTTCATTTTAATTGTAAATAAATGGTCAATTTAAGTTTGAGTCGCTTGTGGATTGATATTTAATTAAAAAGAAATACAAATTTGACTGTGGATAGGATTTATTATTTATTAAATGTAAATAAATGATTAATAGAGAAGAGTAAAGAACATGAGTTTCTAATCGATATTTTCTTATAACAACATCCTTTAGAATTTCAACTAGTGTTTCAATATGTATCCAAATCACTGAAATTTCATCATAGTATTAGGTTAGGAGAAATAAGTATAATTATGACACATAAAAGTGTTGACATTTTTATAGTTATTTTTCAGTATTCAAACTGTCAATTCAGTTGAGTAGGTTTTTTTGTTGTAATTTAGCGTACTTAAAAACATATTATTTCTGTGTAAAAAATTAGATATTTGTTAAATTCAAATAAAACACAATTAACTATGTATTGTGTATAAATTATATTTATTTCGAAAATGTATCAATCAAATTTAGATAAAATTCAGTTTTTCTCATAATGAGTTCATATGATTAAAAAATGTCTTATGATAAATATATCGCATAATTTCACTTAAGGTTAGGACAAATTTTTCGGTTATTTTATAACATAATGTAATTTGTATGTGATTCAAAGTTTGTAAGAATTGGATTTAGACTGGTATAGCATAGTTTTTTTTTATCAAATGATATTGTTTTTATTTTACAACACTAAAGCTCGATTACAATTAATATTAATATTCATTTACAAGAATTCACACAAAAGGTAAACGTTATAACAACAAATCATTAACATACAAATAAAAACATAATTAAGAACAGTAGGTAATTTAAATATTTTAAAATACTCAATTAGCCTTGTTTGACTAATTTTAATGAAAACCCCAGTTTAATGAAATTACACAATTTATTTCGAACAAAAAAAATAAAATTTAACAAATTGACGGTTATTAATTTATTTACACCAAGAAACCGGATTTGAGTTTTTCATGGTCATCACGCTTGGAAACAATTTTACTGATAGGATTTACATTACCAGTTACCTGTCTTTCCAGTGTATACAAACAGTGTGCCTGCAGCTTTATTATTGTATATTTTTCCACAAATTGTTTTTGTTTTTGTATGGGAAAAAATAATTATTTATTTACATATTATAGATGTTATAGACCGTTCTTTGTGTTTGTATAATATTATAGTACTTTGTCTAAAGACATTTAATGTTCAACACTTAAGTATACAGTATAATATAAAGTACTACAATAATAATGGTAAGTACATACAATCATTTATGAGTTATTGTGTTGTAATTTCTAATGGATTGACATAGACAGTGGGGGAAGAGAGTTGCAAATTAATAAATAATGTAATAGATACAAATTAAACAAACCATCTAATTGCAATTGTTGATCAATAGTTTAGTTTTATCGGTTATCCCCTCCTGCTAAAAAATCTGCTTTATTCCTTTGCAACCTTCTAAACACGAATATTTTTCTCTCGTATGTAGTATATCAATGTTAGAATTATTTTTTAAACTACAAGTGCAAGAAAGTTAATTTCTAAAAAATGAACTCGTTCAGTGTCTTGTTCGTTAACATTAAACTGGAACTAGTTTAAATTCAATAATATAGCACATTTTGCGAATTTGTACACAAAATATTAACATATATTAACTAATAAATATCAAAGATAGTTCTGATTCAATCCCGAAAGCGTGACTTAATTTGGGTACTTAATACGAAGTTAAAAGTATAATCGCCAAATAAGAAGTACTACCAAAGCTCATTTTGTTATCAGTATTGTAATTCGTTTTTCCTAGTAAAGTCGTTTGAAAATTAAAATTAATACGTAGATACTTTATGATGGGAATGAAGGAACAAAATATAATTTGTCAACAAAAACTTTAAAATCAATTATTTAAGAAATTAGCTAAGAATAAATTTGTATTCCTCGAAAAAAAGAAATGATTTCCAGTTCCAACTTTGGACTCCACACACACTCTCTTACCACCTTTCCAGTTTTTTTGAATAATAAAATATTACTTATACTATATCTTTCTTACAGATACTGTCAACGTTTAAAAGAATCGTCGTGGTTAGTGTATACATGGACATTTTAATTTTGTCGACAAACGCATATGGAATTCGTAGTGTTATCCGAGATTTATTGACTCCTTTACTTCCTTTAAACGATGAGCATGACATATTACCTACAGAAACTACGAGCAACGCACCATTTTTAGGTAACGCAAATAATTGCATTTGTATGCCATCCCATTTATGTAAGACGAATGAATTGGCTGTTAAAGGCGTTATAGATTTCAGTATTAGGTGATTTTTTGAAATATTATATTTTCTATAGTTTATAAGTTATCAAATTAAATTATGTACTTAAGTGATAAACAAATAATAAAACGTATCGATTATTAAATATTAAGTTAAAAAAAAAAAATGACTTAGCTATGCCTATATAGGGTGCTAAGAAAGTTCAAATCCTTTTAAACTCGTCGAGGCTCTAAAAAAATGTCATCGACCAAATAGACAGCCCACAAGTAAAGTTTATACATTTTTATTGAAATTCTGAAGGAGTTTTAAGAGTTTTTAATAAAAGGTCTGAACTTGCTTAGCGCCCCTTCTAGTTGCTCCAATGGCTATGGCCACTACTGTCAAAGTATTATTTTCGAAAAAAATCTATTTGTAAAAAAAAATGTACACATTCAAGTGTTACTACATACGTTGGTGGTTTAAGTACATAATTATAAGATTTATGAATAATATCTATTGTTTGATCTATAATACATCAATTGCTAATACCTATATTATGTTTGTGGTTTGATTTCAGAGTAAAAAACGGACAATGCAAAAGCTATTTAGAAGTCTGCTGTGAGAATCCAGTTGACGGCATCAACGCGTACCATGAAAGTACATACGATCCATTCGATATGTCGGACCGACCAGGTTACACTAGAAGTGCATCCGACAAACCTACCGAATACTATGCGAGCACACTGGACGAGAAACGGTCAAAGGATATTATGGGGCAAAATCCGGACTTTAATACCCGCGAATGTGGAACGTGGAATAAACTCGGTGTGGGCTACAAACTGGTGAACGCCTTTAACGGCGAGTCGAATTACGGCGAGTTCCCATCGATGGTGGCGATATTTGTAGAAAAAGAGTCTACCCAAAAGGAAATATCATTGAAATATCACTGCGGAGGATCGTTGATTAAAGATGACGTTGTCTTAACAGCGGCCCATTGTGTGAAAAGGTAAGCGCTGTTTACGGTTGTAAACAAATTATCTAAAAATAAGACTCCTGATATTGCAATATTTGTTTAATAATTGAAGTTACCATTTTCCGCCAACTTTGTGAATACAACAGAACCTTATCATATGAAAATATGTTTTGTAACAATTATAAGTCGATAACACAGAATCACAAATATAAGTTAAATAACTTTTTCGAAAATGTTGATATTTTCGCCGATCGCGCAACATTATGAATATATATAGGTGATTTTTGTCGACATATTTGTGAGTAGGGAAAAGGGTGAATTTATAGTTTTAAAAAAAAAAATTATGTCGAAGCGGCCAGAGATGAAATGTGATTACAAATTACTACAGTTCATCAATATTACTACAAGTATTATCATGTTATGACAATGACCATTTATGAGTAATTGAAATCTCCTTTAGCCAAGATCCGGCGGTCATTGTTGTACGAGCAGGCGATTGGGATTTGAACACTGAAAAGGAATTGTACTTGCATCAGGATCGTCGGGTGTCTAAAGTCGTTGTGCATACATCATTTAACTCTGGTGGACTACACAATGATGTAGCGTTAATATTCATTGACGAGCCATTTTTCTTACAAGAAAATATCCAAATAATGTGTTTACCCGAGCAAGACCAAGTATACGATTTCTCATTGTGTTTTTCAAGCGGATGGGGAAGAGAATTTTTTACAATGGTTACAATATCACCAATAACACACCTAAAGGCATTAAAAGTATGTTGAAAGCGAAGACTAAGCACCTGTACCTGCTCTTTAGCTCACAATTAATTTTAAACAAAATTCTAATCTGCTTGTAGATGAAATTGGTCAATACCAAGTGAGTATTATGAAAAAAGTTCAGATGCCCATAATACCCAGAGAAAAATGCGAAAGGGATTTAAGAAACACCAGACTTGGCAAACACTTCAGATTACACGAGAGTCTTATATGCGCTGGCGGTGAAGTAGGAAAAGACACGTGCAAAGTACGTGTATCTTATTTTAACGTTAAACAAACAATGTTAAATTATCTTCCACCGTTTAATTTACGATTTTAAGTTCTAAATATATTGGTAACACGATAAAAAACAATTAATAATAAATTTCATCACTTTTAACCTTAGTTAACAACGATTTAAATAAGTAGGCAATACTCGTAATGATTTTGTGGCTATTGATTTTTAAAAATATTCTTAGGGCGACGGTGGAAGTCCTTTGATGTGTCCAAGCAAATTAGATCCGGATTACTTAGTACAAGTTGGAATCGTGGCATGGGGAATCGGATGTGGTGAAAAAATACCTGCAGCATATGTAAATGTAGCTCATTTCAGGAATTGGATTGAAACACAATTAGCGAGTCAAATTCTATTATAGTTAATAATTTAAGATTTAACCTTTTCATTGTGATAAAATAATCACTTTGCATAATTATGTTTAAAATGTTGTCACGTTTTTATTCTGTAAAAAATAAATACTCCAACATTTGTGGTGGGAGTTTATGGGTGAAATATGGTAATTTAAATGTATTTTTAGAAATAGTTTTTTTATTTCACAAACAAGACATACCCCACGATGACGTATCTCATGACCTCCAAGGCCTGTTAAAGAAGATTATTACGACGATTAAAAATAAAAACTATTTAACATAAAGAAAAACCAAGTGTTATTGATGACAGTTTTCAAGTAATGACTACATTTTTTTTATCCCGTTACAGCGTTATTGATCAAATCTGACACGTGTTTGTATAAAAAACATATTATTTACAAACTAATTTAAGGATACTGGATAATATGAAAAATGTGGGCTGGAAATGTACATTATATTTATTATATCTATAGCTACCTAGAAAAGAATCCCAATATAGCAGCCACAAAATAACTGGTCGACGATAAATGATAGGTCGGGGAACAGTCGTCTCGCATAATAAAATAATTTACTTTATTTGTGCAAATATGATTTTATAAAGTTACCACAATAATTATAAAATTGTGAATTTATTATGTTTAATTATTATCGTGTGAGCTATGTACACAATATCTACAGATTTTTTAGTATTAATGTTTTCTTAGGTTAATTTTCCTCATTTTAATTTGGGCGATATTATTTTAAAAAGTAAATAAATTGTTAACCTTGACACTCAAATGATCCAAGATTTAGTGTAACGCGTATAACTATACAGTTGTACCAAAACTGGAACATTAAAACCTCTTATGTTTGGTTCTTATTGATGAAATTCAAATATTTTAATTTTTACCTGGTATTAACTCGATTTTAGTTGTTGGTAAGATAAAACAATAACCTTTATAATCTTTTTGAATATATTATTTATATATTAAAGATACAATACGCAGGAAAATTAAAATTAGTTATAGTTTGTTTGTTCTCTGCATTTTCGTTGAATGGGTATGATGTTTCTTAAAGACATTTTATCTACTTAGGATGTGTTGAAATCATTAATTTTGATCAGATTAGTTAGCTCAACTACTCGGTAAGGTAGTCAAGGAATTTTTGTTCAGACTTTAGAAGTTGTACACATTTTGTTTGAGTACATACATCATTAACCAGCTAGCGCATGCGTGTTGGCGTGTATCGATAGAACGTTCAATAACTACTTTACCTGCTGTAAAAATGATGGAACCGTTTGATTGGTAATAACACATTGGCCAGATTCTGTAGACAACGTTTAAATATTTCTGTTTGGTCGTTCGTAAAAAGAAGATCAAAATGAATTTTAGAAACATAATTGTTGTTGCTTTTGCTTTGTTTGCTGTGTTATGGTCGACCGAGGCTGCAAGTCCTGCAACAGCTCGTATCCATAGACATTCATTGTTGATACCAAATGTGGTAATACAAGAAGTAAGTCATAACTTGCGCGTTCTTAAGAAGTTACATTTTGAGCATTAACGTAACACGCCTAATAATTATTGTATACAAAAATAAAATTGTCATTAAAACGATTTATTAATACTATAATAATTAAGTGTACGAATCATTAAAAAATAGTATTATACAATTTCCTAATATTACTAATTCATTAATTTTACTCTCTTAAAAATTAAAAGAATGCGTTTATTTTAGATGGATGTGAAATTTTGCACGGCTATAAAATTGAACCCAGGAAAATCGTATGAAATCAGTAAGTATTGTGAAATTATTAATATTTTTTATGTTAAAACTGAATACTTCCGATAATATTTATATTTGAGATAGGATCCATATTTTAAATGAGATCAATATATGTATTAAAAATAATAATGAATAATTAATTTTACAATCGCAGAGATGCGATTTTGAAAAAATAATTTGGCATGCTTAAGTACTGAAAATATTCTTGAGTCACCTCTCTATATTACATATGGTGTGGAATTATTTTGTGTTTAGCTAAGTTGGAAACAACAGTGTCCAGCAACGTCACTCATCATATGTTCATGTACGGCTGTCCCGAACCTGCCAGCAATGATCGCGTTTGGTAATGGTATTTGTTACAATGTTTTAATTAAAAATAGTTTAAAAGATCATTATCATTATCATTATGTTAAATTAGGAATTGCGGAGGAACCCTGTCAACCGCACGAAAAGAAGTTTTCACCAAGGCAAAGCCGTGCAAAGCTAATCCAACCGTAAGTAAATCATATAATGGATTTGTCACTAAAAACAATAACACAAATTTATTTTTTTATCATAGCCCTACCATTATTGGGCCAGAGACGGATCTACCTTGAAATTCCCTCACGGAGTCGGGTCTATGGTCGGAGGTAATTCGACGGCCAATTACTTAGTGCTGCAGACTCACTACTTGAGGCAGGAAGAATGTCAGTACAACATTGTCTTTCTATATTCTAATGATTGAAAGTTAATAAAATTAATAACATTTTTTTAGATGACGTTTTGGACAGTTCCGGAGTACATGTTTTTTACAAGAACAATTAGTGAAAATTACAGATTTCGAGTAAATTTTTTCAATTTTGTTGTTAATGAAAACTATGAAATGCGTATTAATAGATTATTTATTTTTAAAAACAAGTTTACTTTATAATAAAAGACATTCGATTTTCACTTCTTCTCATTCAATTTGCTTAATTACCTCATCAGTCATAAACTATGGCAAATAAAATTACTCTAGATAATCCTAGCTGTTACTTATAACCGAGGGCCCAGGCAAAATTCACATTTTACTCATAAGGTACCTAAGTTAAATATCTTTTCCAGAACTAGACAATCATTTTTACACATCAAAACATGCCAAACAATAAAAAATTGTTTAAACAAGAAGTGAGTGTAAGACTATTTACATTTCGTAGAAATATGACAGTCTTTTATACAATATATCTTTTTATAAGAAGTCACAGATATATGTATACATATTATGTATTAAAACAAACTAGATCGCTAACTAGTGATAATAATTAAAGTCGACGTCCGCCATTTCTGTGTGTATATAATATATATACATAATACATATAATATATATATCTGTGATTCTGTGTTATCAACTTAACTTATAATTGTTATAAACATATTTTCATGTGATAAGGTTCTAATTCCCACAAATATGGCGGGAAATAGTAACTTCAATTATTATCTCTATTGGCGGCATGTACACTAACAATCTAGCTTATTTATCTTTGTAAGAAGTTTACATACTTATCATCAGTTACTTCCTAGTTTACATTATACCTATAAGTTATTTTTATAGTATTATAAATGGATCAAATGTATTATTTAAACTAAAAACTAAAAACAAAAAAATAATAACACTAAAATAACTTTTAAAAAGAAATAAAGTTAGCTTAGTTTTCGAAATTTGCTTTAAATATCGTAAATGAGGTTATTAAATAAACGTATACAACTTATCTTTATGCATCATACTTACGCTCGTGTATTTTAAAAATAAATTCATATTCTATATAATAAATATCCAATTGTTTGCTGTTATAAGTAATTAATATTTTATTTGATCGAAATTAATGAACACGCAATTTATACTAATACAGAGAATAAAAAAATTAATACAGAATTTACATTTTTAAAACGGCAAACACTTAACGTAGCAATTGGCGATTTTAACGCCTTAGTTTTTTTATTTAGTCATTTTCATTTCAATCCAATCAATATAATGTGTCACTCTAGTATACACTCCAGGATATCCAGGCTCTGCACATTTAATGCCAAAAGATACAATACCGGACAAATAGTACTGTCCTTTAATTGGTGACATTAAAGGACCTCCGGAATCGCCCTAAATATAATATTATGTCATGAATGAAAATAATCTCAAAATGATTATGTTATCATACCTGACAAGCGTCTTTTCCTCCAATCAGATTACCAGCACACAACATTCTGTCATTGATATTAATCACTTCGTCAAATATGATTTTACATTGAACATTGCTTACAACTGGGATTTGAATTTCCAACAAAGCGTTACTCTTGGGGCCATCTAAATATCAAAGTTTGTACAACGTTCATATACAAGAGCAATTTTTAACTGGGCAAGCTATTTCATTTAGGTAAATCATTAAAAATATTTTAATAGGTTTAATAGGTGTAACGTAAAATTTAGGTTACAATATTACTAATATCAGCTTCATCGGTTGTCCCTTTACTAAGAAAATATCGATGGTTTAGCGCACAGATGTGTTAAGTGACAATTTTGGCGAAAATGAGTTAAGTTCTCTATAAAATTGTCCATGTTTTTTTCATATGATGTACAAATGTTGTATGTGGATTGTTTAATATTTCATCCACTAGATGGCATTGTTGTATGAGATATATACTATGGTTTATTTAAATGTGAACTTTCAAATGCTTTTACTGAACAATTTGCTAATTGTCACTTAACACATCTGTGCGCTAGACCATTGATATATGAGTATAGTTAAATGTGTACTCAAGTCGACAAAATGGAATTTTTAACTTTTTTATTTAAAGACATATACATTTTGAAGTAAGTAAATTTATTTTTCGATAAATAGTAACTCACTAAATGGTAATTACTCTCAGAATAAAACAACTAGTGGTTTATTTATTTATTTTAAATTCTCCAAACGGTTTTTTTTAACAGACGACAGAATAAAGAGAAAAAAAACAAATAAATTATAATGATTAAAAAAATAATGTGTCTCCCTCTATTTTACGCCTATGTTAAAGGACCAAAGTAAAAAATCGTTAATTAAGAAATGTTGACAAGAGATAGAGGTTGGTATGTACAAGAAATTTGTAGAGTATTTCTTGATATTTTTAAAAATACAAGCCGTCTTGTCATTTGCCTCGAATAAGCTTATAAAAAAAAATTGTAGGTCAAAGTTTTGCCTTCTGATTACTAATGGACATAGACTCGAAAATATCACCATAGGTACATATGGTTTTAATAAGAAACCAGCCAAACTAAAGAATCTATTTTGCACGCGTTCTATTAATTTAATTTTACCAACAGGTACGTTAAAATCGTAGATCCTGAATGTACTAATGAGGTGTATACGGTCACATAAGAGAGATGGGTAATTAGAATTGAATAAAAAGCCTATATCATTGGCTCAACATGTCATAGCTAGATAATCCAAGTAATTAACAAGTTATAAGTTGCAATTTTACTAGTTTGAAAAGAGTATTGTGAAAGTTACTGAATTTTGTAGGTAAATGTACAATATGTAAGAAAATACTAATAATTACTAAATGTCGTAGAGCCCCAGCCCGCAACGAAGGGTGTAGTTTTTTCAAACGTGCTGGACCTTAAGTTCGATGCTGCCGGCAGACAAATAGGTTGAACGTGTCCTGTCAAAAAAGGAATGCGTTCAATTAGGTTTACCAATAAATCTTAAATATTGCCATTTCATCGAAACTTTTATTATGGGACGTTTAACCGTTATATTTGACTGATGTTTTCAGTTTTATCATAGCAATATCGTTGTCGTGTGTGGCAAAATTATAAGATTCGTGTGCCATGATCTCTTCGACCATGACATCCACCGGCGATGCGCCATCGTTCACATCAGGATCCAAGTCTAAATCACCTACTCTAATCGTACGCCTTGAAACAAATGGGTTAAAAAAAAAAATGAAGATTTGTTATTATTTTTCCTTTTACTGACAAATCCAAACAGCCAAACTTGATAGATCCCCTAGCACATGCTGGTTACTTGACCACACTCACAATTTTTTCGGACCAGTGCCGCTAACACAATGGGCAGCTGTTAAAACGTGTCGTTCTGATATCAACGCACCGCCACACAACCATTTAATGGACTGATCTGGTTTGTTGGTTATCTGGTATCCTAGTGCGGCCATCCACGGCCAGGCACCTACAAGTTTGAATTTAATTTGTTTAGAATTTAAATAGTTTTATAGATGTCCTTATAACTAATATTAACCGACCAAGTTTAGCAGGCGCTCCTCCAGTAATTTTGTTACTGGAGACATTGTTTCGACCGCAGGTGGCATGATTCAATTTTACGGTTACATTTTTTTGGGGTATTTCTGGTTTAGGTTTGTCAATCTTACAGCACACTTTTGGAATTTTATCTTCGGTTCCACAATTTGATTTTCGAAGATAAATCAGGGCCGACATGTTCTGTCTGTTGTGTTGTGCCATGTCTAGAAGAGGCGAACATTGAGTGATTTTAATGCAAACGCCTTGTTCGTTATTCGGAGTGTGACAATCTAGAACAAATATTATTATACTTAGTTGATGTTAAAATATCTAGTCTACCTTTTATAAAAATAAATATGAATATAGTTTATGTCTTCATTTTTACTCATGCTATCTAGAATTTAAAAAAGGCCTAGTTTCCTGCATGCAGTTGAATAACTAGACTTCTAGACATAGATCTTTTTTTAGTTGCAAAAAACAATTATTTTCATATAGAAACAATTTATATCCATATTATTTTATTTTAAAAATGTAATAGTTTATAATAAATGCCATAATATATTTTATAACATTTTGAAATTTCAAAATATTTGTACATCGCATTTTAATAAGAAATCAAATTATATTTTTGTACAAGAACTAAATGTAAAATAAAGGCGTCACGTCTATAACTTGTAAAGTTCCTTTATATATTAACGCTAAATTAAAAAATAAAGTAATGTATTTTAAGTTCAAGCATAACAATATATTGTACATTTTATAATACCAGCGCAGCGTTGAAGATTAATATTGATAGAAACAAATTTTGTATAGTTCTTCAATCATTATTGTTTGATGGTTAAAAAAAATCAACTACCTAATTACATTATCAACGAGTGTTTCTCGCTTGTGTATTAAAAATTAAAGTAATCAAAGAAAGCACTGTAAATGTATCTGGTATCAAATTTTCAGTAGAAGCTGGTTGGTAGGTTAGGTGTATTTAGTACTACAATTTTCATGGTCGGGTTTTTAAAAATGTATATAATATTATGTGTATGAAAAGAACAATGAATACGTACCATTATTAGTCTGAGCCGCCAATGTTTCGAGTATTAATATCAAACCGATGAAATATTTCATTTTTGTTTATTGTTCCAAACAAAAATGCAATTACTGTATTATGATATTGTTTTGTATTAATATATGTATGTCACTGACAAAAACTGTGTGTATCCTACTATTAGTAGTAAACACAGATTAGTGGCGTTTATGCATACTTTTTATAATAGTTGTGATTTCTACGGTGTCTATACGGTACTATGGTAACGCAGAAATAGTTATAAGTAGATAAATTATTATTGACCAATCTGTTGTTTTATTTGTAATTATTCAAACATTTCCCACAAATGAAACTACGTCTTGGCAATACGAACCTTCAGTGGTGGGGACCGACCACTGTTGAAGGCCATTCAACACCAACTCACTAACCCTCAAAGAACGTCCGAAACCTGATAGTAATTTAATCAAATTGATTGAACTGAACTATAAACAAAATTAAAAATTGAAAAAAATAGCCGTAACGTAAGAAGAACACTTTTCAAATCAGGGCTAGCTTCATTGCACAATTGGAAATGTAAAAGATTTAAGTGTAGAAGGATTTCTTTTTGTTCCTTTAGTCTATAACTTTTTAGTCGTTAGATTAGAATTTCTTTAACCCTTCACTGCACAATGTTCCATATATGGAACAATTGTATTTATTGTTTATATCTGCTCATACTATACATCTTTGATGCACAATGTTCCATATTTCGTACAATTCTTTAATTAGCGTTTTCCATGAAACCGAAACTAAAAAAAAATTTATTTTTATTTTTTTAAATACTATTAAGTACATTTGTAGCATATGGTTAAAAAAAAATTCATGCAGTGAAGGGTTAAGGGGCCTTAGCCCTAACCTAACCTGCATATTTTTGGTTGAACACAACTCATTCTACTTCAAACAGAACTTACCTAAAAATACTCCGATTTAAGTTTTCAAAAAACATTTGAATTTTTCATAATATTTTCAAGGCCTCGATTGTGGCACTTTTAAAATTATTTTTAGTTAATTAATTATTTCAATGTAAAAATGTTAAAAATTACAGTTTTTTTACATTGAAATAATTAATTAACTAGCCGATGCCTTAAAATTGTTGTGAAAAATTCAAATGTTTTTTCAAAACTTAAATCGGAGTATTTTTAGGTAAGTTCTGTTTGAAATAGAATGAGTTGTTTTCGACCAAAAATATACAGGTTGTGATAAAAATGTTTGTTTATTTATTATAAATAACCATTTCTCATTTACAAAAATGTATTTTGTCGTTAATATTTGAAGACCTAAAGTAAAAATATGTTGACAATTGTTATTGAATTAATTTTGAATAAAATTTTATTAAAATGTATTGTTTTCTATTTGTGTACAGTGGTTTTAATGTATTGTACTTTAACTTACAACAAAATTCAAAAGTAGTCACTGCAAGTACAAATGATTAAAAATCGACACAATAAATTGCAAAAAGCGACACATTATTTTGTTCATTGGCTGTCTTTTTGGTTACTATATTCGTCGGATATAACAATAGTTATACTATGTTGATGTCCAGACAGTCGGTACAGTTTTTAGGCCAGACACTTTGCTCGATCCACGAAACGTACTTAGACACCCTTGTATAGATACCAGGCGTGTTGGCTTCACCGCAAGGTTTCCCAGTTGAGGTTATTCCCACTTGGGTGTACATAAATGCACGAATAGAGTTGGGCACTTGAAGTGGACCGCCGGAATCTCCCTAAATGGGTAAAAAAAAAAAATAATAATACATATATATACACAAAAAAATGTTGTTTATACATATAAACGATATAAGAAAAGCGATACTAACCCCACACGTGTCTTTTCCGCCAGGAATGAAACCAGCGCATATCTGACTGTCACTTAACACCCCGTAAGGTAAGTCCACGCTTGTAGCATAAACGGTATTGCATTCTTCTAATGACGTTTTGTTTAAACAAACCTTAAGCAACTCCGAACTCTGTGGTCCGCCTAAATGTTGGTATAAACAATTATAATAATATGTTAACACAACTTAGTAACAACGTCGGGTTGATCAATTGTATTTCGGACGTGTAATAGTGCGGCGTAGGCGCTGAGCTTTTGGCCCTTGTAATATTGTTGATATTTTATAAATTATAAAATATACAATTTTTTATTCACCAATAATATTATTTGTAATCGGATTCCAAAAAGAGTTGTAAAACTTTTCTATAATATTCCATTTTTATATAGTTATCTTTGAGCATATATTTCAAAGTTCCTACAAATCAAACTGATGAGAATATGAAAAAATGAATGAGAGGTGTCAAATGGTTGAATGAGTTTAAAATACGACTGTGATAAATTACTTGCAGTTAACGGGTTGTGTAATTGTTGTCATGTTATCTATTTATAACAATTTACTTATTTATTTGTCTAAGCTACAGTTTGAACTATTTAGTTTATGACCTTATGAATATTATACTTAATTTTGTTTGTTTTTGCCGATTTAATAAAGCCATATGCAAGTAGTAGTATTGTTAACGTACCTATAATAAATAATAAATCGTTTTGTAACAAATAATCTAAATTAACAAGTTAAAACAACGAACATGACTTGATGTTTATCGCTTAAGTCAGATAAAAATGTTTTCGAATAATACCCAAGGTGGTAGAGTTGGAATATTTTCGTCGGGACAACACATTACACAAACGGTATTTTTAGTCGAATAACAATATTGGATTATTAGAGATGTATTTATCGTTTTTTTTTTATTACCGTGTCCGACTTGTCCCCAGCCTGTGGCTATTGACGTGGTCGGCGTAAAGGATTGGTCTTCGTTCAGACAAATGGGTACAACATACTCTGAAAACTCAACGACTCTATCCAGAAGAAACAACGCTATATCGTTGTACACGGAAGGAACCCGGTAATCCGGATGTATCACACGTTTGACTATATCGTATGTACTCGGCTTGGCGTCGTCTGTGTCCAGTTCGAAATTTAGATCCCCTAAACGGGCCCAACGGGCGTGGGTCCTAGAGAAACACAAAGAAATCGAAACGTCTTACGATCAATCCAACGAATCCTGCGGTTCTTGTAAATATTCTTACACGGTGCCCATTTTTTCACAGTGCGCTGCTGTTAGAATCCACTTGTTGCTAATCAAAGATCCTCCACAGTTCCATAAAACATGCGCTCTCGTATTACCGTAACCTATCAGCGCCTGAATTCGAGCGTGACAATAGTTGCTACATACATCTTATTGTACAATTTTACCAACAAAACAATTTACCATGTGTGGAAACTCTTTGGGTTCGGCCACGGTCCCACCGACAATATAGAACTGCTGCTCTGTGGTATTTTTCACCGAGTCTTCGAAACGGTCGTTTATCACTTCGGCGTACTGGCGACACACTGCGACAGGTACACAAGAAAATTATTATTGTAAACAGCTGTTGATAAAATTTCAACACGTTCCGTTCAAATGTCCCATCTGAAAGCGTATACACACTTTCGGAGGCAGAATATGTTTCCACCAGTTTGACATCATTCGGCGATATTGAAGAATTTTTCCCGGGAATATTCGATGGCGGACAGCATACTATCATATTGGCCAAGGAACACAATCGAGGAATAATATTTCTTTTTATTAACTGTCGCACACCAGGACATTGTTTAAGAGGCCGGCAAATGTAGTCGGATGACCTACCAAGAAGTCCTCTTTGGCATATGTCACCTATAGAAAAATACGATTCAAAATTATAAAAAATAGTGTTTTTTTTTTTTATGATAAAATATACAATGTTCTGTCAGAGCAACCAAAATAGTAAATTTTTGAATGAGGCCACTTAAGACTTAAAGCGTTACATTTATTTAACAATAAGTAAATGTCGGTAGGGACATAAATTCTCAAAATCCCTATTGAGCATAAAGACTGGTATAAAAAGGCCTATTGTGCAATTTGTCTCATAGGTCTACTAAAAAAAACTAAAACTCTTAAAATAACATATTTTATTTATAAAAAATTCACTATAGAAAATTTGTAGAATTGAAAAATACATCAAGTATTGATAAAAATTAATAAAGATAATACTAACATAATATTTGAGTTTTTAGTAATTTATAAAGCTTCTCGCATTTTTTTTAAAACAGGATCACATTTTTAACACATAAACTGATTTATTTTTATCGAACTAACAAAACTAAATCATTCCTCGTTTGTCTAGGAAAACTATTTAAAACATTTTTTGGTTTTAATTTTAATTCGATAATAGATTATCTAAAAAGCATTAAAGCAACACTAAAACGTTTGAATTGATTTTCAGTGTTTTTTTTTTCTATTTCCATGGAATTGGTAAACTTTTTTTGCTATTATAGTGAAAGCTCTACGATGTATTTCATTTTTAATGCATGAATAATAATTAGCAATAATCAAATCCAGTTAAATTAAAAAAAGAGAATTTTAAAATCAATAATTATTAAATTTTATTTTATTTAATATATTTACACATCATTTACAAAAAAATGATTTCAAATTTTAAATCTCCAAAAAATATAACAATTTCATATAATATTTGAATAACAAAATACAAAATGTATATTTTATAATACTTAATTTGAACCACTGTCCATTTCTGTCTTTAGTAAAATAATTAATTATAGATTATTTGTATCCTAGGTCTTTTATGCCTGCCACTTAAAGACTCATTGGGCCAATACTAATTATGACTGTAGAGCTTTGACAATGGACACCTATTCAATCTGATGACAGACACAATTTTATAAGTAAAATATGATATCTTGGTGGATCCTCTCGATAAATTGTGACGTAGGCGCAAAACGAGGAGATGTATACAAATCAGTTTTTAGATTATACAAAATATTTCCAAAAACATTTTACCAACCTTCAAATAAATCTAAAACTTGAGCATCGTATTCTTGACCTGGTGTTATGGAACAAAAATTTAACAAAATAAAAAATATTTCAAATTTCATTAAAACGCCCATTAAAAACAAAATGCGTTGTAAAATTTAATCTATTACATGAATTTGATTAATGTGTAATCATTCAATGCGATGTAAGCCACTTGGTAAAACTGTACTGAAGGCGATTATTCTACACTGGCGTCCATCCTCGTTGGTTTTTACCGGTTTCATCTTTGTATCTGTTAACATATTCCAAGGTCACATAATATCACCAACACTATAAGTCTCAGTTGTTTACAAACACACAAGTAATTAGATTTTAATAGCTCTATGAAAAGTCGAATGCCAAACATGCGTGCGGTTAAGCTGAAAATATAAAATACACATAGATTTAAACAGCTTACGAGAACTTTTATTTTTTGAAATTACTTTTATCCTGCACTTGTTAAAATTTGAAAATCGAAATACTTTTACATAGGTACCTATGTCGATAAGTATTTTTTCTTTGAACCTAACCCCAATATTGTATTTTATTTGGCCTTCACAGCATTTATCACAATGTATTTTATAAAATTCCCAATATTTCCTCTTTCCCTGTGTTATCTTTAGTGCTATCTGATAAAGATATCAATTTATTAATTTTTGATGCATGTGAATTTATTATTTTTTTCAAAATAATTTGTTATTTGAAAATCACAATTATTTTGTGATTAAAACAATGGTAACTAGTAGAAGTGAATCTTAAGCTTCTCGAGGAATTATACAGGGTTTTTTTTTTTTTTTTAATGGAAACGCCCTTTACTTAGTTATATATAAAGGAGGCATTGTTAAATATAGCTTCTACGTTTCATTATTTGTATGTAGGTATTGGCTAAAAAAAAATAATCTTAATGTCTTAATAATAATAATATTGTAAAGACAGTTACAGTTTTTGGTCATCACACACGTTTAATAATTGCTTAGCGACGTATAAATCACAATCATTACTTTTATTTTTTCATCAAATCAAACAATTTTGCTCTCAACAAAATTCAGTGATTTCTTAAAAAAAACCTCCCCCCCGACACCTACACACCATTTTTTGAACCTACATACCCCAAAAATTATTTAGACACGGCAAATAATATTTAGTGTTAGCCTGTTCAGTGAACAGCCAGTGTATTTTTTTAAACTAAAATATTAACAAAAAAATATCGCTATCAATATGTCGAATTCTAAATTACCGGCAATCTATTTAAGAAGTGATGTGTTTAATTCTAGATTAATTTTTGAACATGTCGCTAAATACCCCTTAACTTACGGGATAAATCATGTGCTTTTATATTCGGAAATATAAAAGCACCCATTATAAAATTAAAAGAGAACAATATTCCGGAGGGCAAGGCAGTGCGTTTTTTTAAAAAAGATGTATTTTGAAATAAATAACAATATAAATAAATAAATAACAATATATATATATATATAAATAAATAACGAACAATATAAGATCAAATTTACATTCCACGGACAAACACAAGCTATGTTTACTTGAGGAGGCCGGTAAAAGATAAAACTTAATCGAAACCGAAATCAAACAATTGGTATCATTCTAAGGATTGGCAAAAAAAAAAAAAGTTTCAGTTGCAAACGAAACTTGGATTGTCAAAAAAAAAAATAAGAAATGATTCGAGTAGAGTACTGTAGTCACGCATCTTGCGGTTACTTTCACTTGAGTAGATCGACAGGGTCGTGGTCACATCTGGTCACAAGTGAGATCTATCGATCAGCTTATGATCCATCGATCCATCTGATCCGTCGATCTCCGTTCCACCGCTTTCGTCGATGACCAAGCGAAACCCATCGTCGTCGTCGTCGTCGTCAATCGAGTCCGACACGTAGTCGACTACATATTCGTCCCAATCGACGGGCACAGGATCAGGTCGCCTCATCAGCCTTGTTGTTATCCGTGGACGTACGTGGACACTGTCGACGTTCGGTCTACGGTCGTCCGTAAATTCAAAATAGCTATAATTGTACGTGAAAACTGTGTGTGTTAACAACACCAGGCCGGCGTGATTTGTTGTTTGGTCGGCGCCTTACTCGTGTACTGGAATCGGAGGCACAATTATTGTGTACGTTGAACTAGTCAAACTACGACGACGTTCCTCGACAGACAGCGGATCCAGTTGGCAGAGCAGTTGGGCCGACTGCTGCGGGCAAACACTGGACACGGACGGTGTCTGAAAGTATACACTGGTACACGTGGCCGTCGAATCTCTGGAATTCAGGAGGAACGCCCAGGTAACATGTCAACTTCCGTTTTTTCAATGTCGCTAGAAGCGTGTCTCCTAAAAAAATAATTATTTAAATCGTATGAATAATGATAACAATCACATCCCCCAGCCGGTGAGAAAATAAATGCATTTTTTTTAGCTCCGAAGATGATATTGTTTTTATTTATTTTTTTTTTTTTTACATTTAATGAGAGTATGAGATGTAATGAGTATTGAGAGGGCGTCGCACCGGTGATTTTCAGTGGTAAAAACATCGTTTAAGCAGACTGAAAATAACTCGCTTAATTTTGGTTTTACAGTAAAAGCACCCATTATAAAATTAAAAGAAAACAATATTCCGGAGGGCAAGACGGTGCGTTTTTTTTTAAAAAAAATCATTTTTTGAAAAGTTACAGTCATTTAAAAATGTTAAAATAGTCTAATCTATGTATTGAGCGTTATACTTGGAATAATGAAAAAAAAAACGCACCGTCTTGCCCCCCGGAATATTGTTCTCTTTTAATGTTATAATGGGCGCTTTTACTCTAAAACCAAAATTAAGCGAGTTATCTTCAGTCTGTTTAAACATGTAGAGATGAAAAAACATTTTTTAAATCGCTTTCAAGGATGCTGTGATAGTCCAAATAATAAATTAACTACCGAAATAGAGTCCTAGTTATTGAAATAATAATTACACATCACAGTTTAACCTTTAAATTAAGATTTTGTAAAAAATTGCCTATACTTTACTCCTTAAAAATGGGCGCTGCGACGCACTCTTAAGTATAATAATTGTCAAAATGTTAATTATTGATCTAGAAACTAACAATGATGAAAAGAATACTTTGTGAAATACTTAGGCATTCACCTTACCCAAACGACTAACCTGGGCTACCCACATTAAATCTGAACAAATATTTCTCGAATTAAAACTCCATAACTTAAGCACATCTTATCCGTTCAAACATCTCTCTTAACAATACAATTCTTATATTGCATGACATACGACATCCAAATTTGGATGTATTTCAATCATTTAAATCGATTAACCTCCGTTTATTAACTAACGCTCCGTGGTAAGTAATCGTACCTACTCTTCACGACGACCTAGACTTATACCTCTTTATCCAAACACCACAGAAATATCCCAGTCGATACAAGTATAGCTAAATACCTACTTGAATTGCTTGCTCGCTGGTTGTTCGACATCATCATCTTCATAGTAATTCGGTCGGTTTCTTTTTAGTGGGCGCTCAAAAGCAAGGTCTTCGTCCACCTCGTTTAATTCCATACCATTCAATTTAGGGTCACTAATTATACATGTATATTATTTATAAATTATTGATTTGATATATATATATTAGTCGGTGGGTTACTCGAGTCTTTGGAACCAATAATCGATGGCTTCCATTGCGGTAAATAATAATAAAATGCTAAATAATAGTAATTAGTTATATTAAATAAGTCGTTAGAACAACAGTTTAAACAAATTATATTCATCAACAAAGAAAGTTTAATAGATATTTTATCGTTTAGAAGATACACTGAATAACGGCAAAAACAAAATCCAATTTTTACAAAGTTAACGATTTTAAATAAGTTTTCAAAACAATAAAAAAAAAAATGCTTGGATACAAAAACGTGTATGGGTTTTTTTTTATTATATACATCAGCTGATTGTATAGTAGGAAATTATAATTTTGTTATACCGAGAATGGTCATGGTAATAACTTTATTTCTATTATTTTACTACAATGAAGTAATATTGAAACGTTGTATCAAAAACGCTTATGGAGAACTGTGTATAATTTTGATTAGTAAGTGCCAACCAAAAAAATAAATGTAAAAACGATAATAAAAAAACCATATTATGACGTATCGATAAAAACAGAAATTCTTTAGCGCCCGAAAAAGAAAAGATAGGCAACCTAAACTACTCAAAAGTTAACCAATCGGCGGAATAATACAATAAGGCAATAGTCGTAATTCACTAAACTAGTTGTTGCTTTTGAAATTATTAATAATAACATCACCAATAAAGAAAGGTTAATTGTTATAATAATAATAATTAACAGAAATAGCACAATATTTTAATGGAATAATAAGTAATAACTAGTCAAAACTTCGGGTATTAGAGGTTCAGCACTTAACCTATTTATAACTTATTTTTTTAGAACGGCAACAAATAGTTAGAATTAACATAATATATTGAGTGTTTTTGTACGCGATCCAAAGATGCTAATTATAAAAAAACGATTTTTTTTTCACAATTATTTTATATTTCTTTATTTATGTAATAAATATATATTTGAATATACGGTTACAAGTCTATCTAATATGTTTATTGCAAACTTTGAATCAATAAAGTAAAGTTGAAAAAAAAAAAGTACTGAAACTATAATTTATGCTACAAGCCACAATAATATTGTTGTTCAATATTTTATATAAAATATAGTTTTTGGGACTTATACAGTACTTGACAATACTTAGGTAATTTCTGGGAAATCCATTTTGTTACAATTTTTAAAAATACTACATATTTAAAATTGTTTAATACAGTACATAATTTATAACACAAAATATCTAAAAATATGTATATATACTGACTTAAAATATAAAAGATAGATCTTCATTGACAATGCCCATCATCTTATGAATCAGTTGGTTCCATGAATAATTAGTGGTTTATAAGTACAAAAAAAATGAGTCATTAATTATAAGTACTTATAAGTTTGCAGAAAAACATTTTATTTTAGATTTTGTACTTCATATCATAACATTTTAAAATTACATTTGTCATGGTTTTTTTTTTATAAGAATACCAATATTTTAATTATATTTGTTGTCATATTATAACACACATAGTATGAAGTATTCAGTAATGTCAATCACAAATTAAGATTGATAATTATTATGCCATATATTCATAATTGTTTTTATAGAAAACGATCAAGTTTTAATTATTATAATATAGTAGGCTCCTTTAATTATCACAATCTGTATTGTCATAGATTAAATGTACTATAGTTAAAGGCAACACTTACACAGCAACCGGTAACATTACCTTATCCACATTTCTAGATTTAACTGTGTCTGTGTTAAGACCATTATGAAATCCATATTCATAAACGGGTGTTGTCCGTCTACACTATACTTAATCTATAATATTGTCGTTGGATCGCTAACTTCTTAGTATACACTGTTATATAAAACAATTAGCTTTAGCTGTCAAGTTTTTGTTCAGCAAGTAGGTAATAAACATTATTTAAATATTTTAATTTTATGTGTACTAATTATATTTATCAGCTTTCTATTAATTAAAAACAATTAAACAACATAATAAACTAAAATTAGGTTTGTATTTAAATTATAAAAAAATAGTAAGGTGTTTTATTAAAATACTGCTTTATTAACAGTCGGTTATTCAACAATAAAAAATGTAGAAATTGTGAGCAATAAAAAATAAACATACCAATTTATACTTTTTTTTTCAATAAATAAATAATTTGGTTGATTTACATTTAATTAATTCACTCTTCAAAATAAATAATACAGTTTTGATACTAAATTATTAATTAGGTATGAACAAATAAAAACATACCAAATTATACATTATAATTACGTGTATCTTGAATTTCAGCATTATATTTTATAACAAGATCTTTATAAAATAATAAAGAGATTAATATAATATACTAAATTAATTGTTTTGTTAAATTGATATAATAGGTCTTAAAGTTTTGTCTAAATAATAATATTAGTAATAATTTACTTTCATCCATTTATATAGATACCACATAATTTTTATCATTTCTATTATAGCAGGTACATTTATAGCAGATAATATAAAAGTTAAACAGAAGATTAAAAAATATTTTATCATTTAGATATTATTTCAAAACTTATAATTGTTGGTTTATGTCTAAGTGTAATGAACTGTTAATAGATAAGTTTATCATACAATTAATTATTTTAATAAATAGTTACTTTACTTTACATATAACAAAAAATGTATACTTATTATTGTACTTTATTTGTATTGTGTACTCATTACATAGGTAGTTTTTAATTACCTGTCTTAAAAGATAACCGCTGCATTATTTTAATAAACAAACATAAATAAAGAAGCTAAAAATAATATAAGTAGAACATATAAACCTAAATGTCTTAGAATTGTATTAAAAAATAAAACTGTATTAGATTCTAGATAGGCAAAAAATATTTTTAAAACATAAAATAATTCACATCCTGAACACTATCTTTAAATTTATCTATCCTATTTGTACAACATTTATATTTTTTTTATAATATTCTTATTTATGTATGTAAACATTTTTTAATGAGATGAAAAAGGAATTTTATTGAAACACTATTAAGCAAATTACATACCGTATATTATGTTGTCACTTAGGTATATACATGTATGTATTTCTAATATTACGAGTGTTTCACACATTGGTCGATATTGTGACGTTAATTCCTAAGTTACCATTATCCGCAAACAGCTGTGCTGTACTAGTATCAAACACTAAGCAATCTGAATTTAAAATTGCCTGTGAAACTCCTTCGTGTATACTTCTTGGGGTTGCTTCCCATGCCAAACGCCTTCGATGACCATTGAGTTCCAGACGATAAGCGAAATTTTCACATTGTTTTCGACTTCCAATTAACTGAACTATAGCAAAAAACTGTTGATGACCTTCGTATTTTTCTTGTTTTTCAAGCACCAACATGAAATGATGACCAAAACATGATTGCATCATTACCCAATCAACGGCTCCAGGAAGATTTATGTCTGTTGCTAAGAAAACAATATCCTCTCCTTGTAAAGTTGTTATAGATTTATGTGCAACCATCAGATGTTCCATCACTTGCTCTAAACCACCTTGCCACTTGCATGATGCACCCGGACATGGGCAAGTATATGGACGACATTCACAAAGTTCTTCGTGTTCAACTTTTTCAGAATGTAGTAAAGACACGGGACAACCAGAAGATGAATATTTACAAGGAAACATCACTGTAGAAGCAACTTTTTCCATTGCCAAGTTACGAATATTGCCAAGGGGACCTCGACAGGTCGGACAGCAATTGAGCTTTGGTCGACATGTACTACAAACTAAATGACCGCTTTGGCATTGTAGTATGGGTGGTAATACATAATCAAAACAAACGGGGCATTCAAATAATGATGCCAAATCCGCAGATATAGATGCTGACGAGTTTGAACTAGAGCCATTAATATTATGAGTACTGTTTCCACCAACTGCACTACGACGTTTAGTTCCACCGCCTCCGCCACTAGGTAATAGAACACTAACATTATTACCTCCGTTAGTTGTTGGATTACCAATAGGTGGTCCGCTACTATTTGATCCTCCTGATCCACTCATTCTTGTTTCTTGCTCAGCCACTAAATGGTGGTTGTAATCGACGATACAGCTATTATTCGATGCGGAAATGTTCTCTGCCATGTAAAGATATCAAATAACTATTAGTCAGTTTAAACAAAACTGCAATTGTGAACAACATGAAAATATGAATGTTGTAATATCTTTATGCTCTTCGAAGTTGAACGATATACTATGTGAAAAATCACAATACTAATAGTAAACGATGTAGCAGTTCAACAAAGACAATTATTCAAATAAATCCAAGCAGTATGCATTGCACAGTAAACCGATTGCACTTAAAAAAATATCATCTGGTGCACATCCAGACATTTAACAAGTAGGTATTACTGGTACTCATGATGTTGCGATTTTGATTTCCTCTTCTTACAGTCGAAATGTAAATGTTGCATCTATATATTATTTTGTTCAAACGCGGTCAATGAAAATAATTATAACAATTTTTTATTGCAAAACTATAGTTGTACCGTTTTAATTAATATTCACACCAAACAGGATATATATGTACATTTATATACGTAAGTATTGAAGTACAAACGTATATGTATTTAATATATATATTGCTAAGCAAAACACAAAACGACAAAAATAACAAATTTACGAAACCAACTAAATATTCACTAAAATATACGACAATGGTTTTACGTGAGTTGCAATGCATAGAACGAACTATAAGGTCCTATCCTTACATGAATTACGATAACAGTTAAGTCAATACATAAACGAGATTACACGAAATCAGTGTAGCCACTATACACATTATAATATTCGCGTAAAATGTCATACTGTAGTCAATTTAAATACAGGCATAATGTTTTTGCTTTTGCTGATTGCTCACTTTGCTGACAACTGACAACAATTTCACTAAAGTCAGAACACAGAATCGAGCCTCTAGGTCACTATTACAAAAAATGTTAATGAAAAAACATAATTAATTAGTTAATTTAATTATTATACTAGAAGGGATCTATCGAAAGTGTAAAAGATTACTAACTATTTAGTAACAAATGGTGCCGATGATTTATAATCATCTGACCTTAAGTTATTACTAGAATAGGTTTACACCTTTTTCCTTTTGCCAGCACGGTGGGGTCGGAGAAGTATAGTTCTTTAAGAATAATATTATTATTACTTTCAAATAAACGCTTCGATGCGAATCTGTGAATGATAAAAATAATTTTTTACGGCGGTGTACTCGGTTGTAGCTAAGGGTTGTGCTTCTATTGTAGCACTTACACCCACATGCCACATTTATCGTTTTATTGTTAGGGCGGATGCCATTAGGATTGATCGTCCGTTAGTCCGTACATACTAATTTGTTGTTATTTTTTTAATTAAAAATATATTGCAAACATATTTTTAATACCTATTTAGTATATCACTACTATTGATATATAAATATAATAATATTATTAATTATTGACTAATTTATTCATACATAACAACTTGGAAATTTGATACAGCGCGAGTGTGATTAACCTCTAATATTGGTTTTACCTTACAAAAAAAAAATGTGGCTACATATTTTAGAGAAAATTGTGTATTTCATTATTTTTTATAACCTTACTATAGATCTTCAGTCTAATTTTCAAACCTTTAGTCCTAAAACCACCCAAAAAACAGAATAGTTTTTACCCCATCTGGGCAAAAGAGTTAATGATATTTTCTTGGGTATATAATACTGTGAATCAGTAGTGCTATTATCTAAATAATATAACATACCAATTTATAATAAAACAACAAAGCACCTATTTTTATTTTATTTTAATAATTCTTAAGACATATTTTTAACAAATGGAAAAAATAACAAATTCGTTGGATTTGAACGGTTTTTTTTAAAGTTCAAATACAGCTTTTTTTGCAAAATAATATTTTTTTTGTTTATTGTTTAGAATTACTTTCGTCATTAAAAAGTTAAATTGAATTACTTAAAAATGAAGATAGAATATAGATACACAGATATACCTATTGTATTATGTTAATTATTATTTGGTTAACGTGTTAATAATAATGCATATTATAGTAATATATTCAATCGAGTGAAATTTAATTTTTAAATTGGAAATCGACTGCTTTAATAACTTAATATACTGTATGTATTATAAGATTTTGAAATAGAAATCTACTTTATACGTATATAGTTTAATTTGATAAAAACAAATACTTCCGAATGACTATTTAAAGCACATTAATAATAATTATTTTGCAAAGATAACTTTTGTTTTCGAAAAATAACATATATTAGTAATTTTTCAAAAAATGCTAGGTCGATTTAAAAAAAAACATTTTTAACATCTCTAATAGTTATTAAAATTAAAAATAATAATTTAGGTCCTTTAAAGCTTTATTAAAGTTTCTTCTTGAACTCTGTAATATGTGTATTAAATGTATGAGTAGGTGTATAGATATGTTTAATAATATAGCAAACACAACAATTAAACCTAAATACATACTGGACAACACTAAAGTATACCTCTCACTGGCACCATTACAATTTTAAGCCTTCAATTCGATCACAAATTTACGTGGAAAAAATACCTTTATGAAATTAAAGCAATAGCTAAAAAAGATTAACTTAATTAAAATTACACCTAACCATAAATGGAGTGCTGACCAAAATATCATCATCAACAGTTATAGATCAATGGTAAGATACACATTCGACTACGGTAACATTATTTATAACTCGGCCAACTCATCTGTAATCCAAATAATCAAGCCCATACACAACACATAAATGAAACTGGCTTTGGGGGCATATGGGTCAAGTCCAACAGAAAGCATCTTAGGTGTAGAAATAAGAAAAACATTCAGCATCAATAAAACCAACCAAACATCCAACCCAGTTCACACAAGCATATTTGATCCATGCCAGCCTAACCTATTTCAGAACAAAAAGAAAAATATTATAATATGGTTTCAATACAAACAAATATGCAATGATTTAGGCCTTCCAAACTTCACGCTCCCAACTATACCTCGACAAACCACACCCCCTTAGACCCAGCCATCAACTTTACCGAATGTCAGAATCTTTTTACAACAAGCCAAAGATAAATGTCTGGACATAATGACGATAACACTGGTTTTCAGTAGAAAATAATAAGCTTCGAGGGACCGCAGACATTATTTCTCCATACTACTATCCACCAGAATTCAACTGACAAGACCAAACTATCATCAGCTGAATTTGAATTGACCACTCACACATGCATTCCTAATGAACAGAGAACCAAAACCCTTCTGCCAGACTTGCATGCCACCCCTCAGGGTGAGCATCAATCATATCATCAAAGACTGCTCGGTATTCAAAATAACATCTCAAACATACTAAAAGATGCAGACTTGGAGACAACTATGTACACAAAATAATACAATTTTTGAAATGTATAAAACTGTAAACATTAATGTAACATAGATGTAGACCTATACTAATTATTGGTCGACTAATTATTAATTCTAGTTGTTTAAATCTGTTAAAATAAACTAAAAAAAATATATATATATAATTGCGTTAAAATTTAATATTAATTTGTACAGGTTATTTAAACAATAACATTGGCATTATTATATTATTCAATTTATTGTATAGTATAAGAAATTTATCACAGATATACCCTTATTTAATTTAGTCTTTGGTATCCCCTAAGCTAACATTTTCTTTTTAATTCATTCATTTTTCAACAAAATACCAGGCTTAAATGTTATTTATATAATATGTTTAAAGCCGCCGTGTGCCTTTTAAAATTTGATCATATAGTTCTTGAGTTAATGGCACATATTTATTTCCATCATTTATATATAATGAATCGCCCGCCGTTTTTTGAAAATCGTACGAATCATTTTGTAGATCTGTTTTTTTTAACTTGAAAGTGCCTAAAAATAGTGTTTATTTTAATAAAAATTTTTTTTAATAATATTTATAATGATTAATATTAATTAAGTTTGCTAACCAGTTAACGATATTGATGTTTTTATTATTCGTAAAAATATTGGTCTAGCGTAAACTGGTAGCGATTTATTAATTCCTATAATCAATTTATCTAAATCCAATTCTCCAGTTTGGTCTACAATTGCTGCCATTCCAGCCTTTCCTTCTGTATTAGGCACCTATAAAAATTATAAACAAATATTTAATATTAGTATATTATAGAGAGAAAGAGAGAGAGAGAAAGCCGGTAAAAACTTAACTTGGAAAAACATAAATGTGAGATGTACTGTAGGTGGATGTAAAAGAAAACAGAAGTCGAAGAAGTTGAAAGAAAAATAGGGTGGCCGACCCCATATAGTTGAAATAGGAAAAATAAAAGATTGACGAGCAAAATATTAATTATTAACAAAAAAAAAAAATATATTTTACCTCCACACCATAAACGATACAGTCTTGTTGTTTGATTATATTACTTATTGCGGCTTCTACTTCTGTTGTTGAAACATTTTCGCCTTTCCACCTAAGTAATGAATTCCGTTGTAAAATTAAAAATATAACTTAATTACAATACATTTATGATCACATGTCAAACACTAAAAATTGGCTATTTTTTTGTCGTTGGTGGTATTATTTTAGTTTTTATAAAAACGAAACGTTTTAAACTTGTAACCAAAATACATACCACTGTGGCCACAGAAATGTAAAGAAAAATTGTATTTTTGTTGTTGTGATAAACAGTATACTACTTAAATATAAGTATTGATATGGTATAGTATTAAAATACTATACCTGAAAGTATCTCCAGTACGATCTTTAAAATAGAAGAAATTATACTCATCACGTATTAAGACATCACCTAAAATTATTAAAAAAAATTATGTTTTATTATAACGACATTAAAAAAACATAATTACAAGATATAGATACTTAATTTTATATTTACGATGCTTCTTCGGTTCTAAATAGGTAATTGTAAATTAATTTAAGAAAATTTTATTTGTAAATTAAAGCACCCTTTATATTGTGTGCAAAAAAATTAGCACAGAAAGGAACTTATAGAAAATAAAAACTTTAAAATCTATTTTTATTCTTTTATACAGATTGAGCTTATTAGACTCATATTATGTGCTGTGCAGTATCCTTATTCCACCTACATTAATAATCAGGGACAATATATTTAATATTATAAAATAAAAATTACCAGAATTAAATACACAATCTCCTTTTTGAAAAACATCTCTTATCATTTTTTTTTCTGTCGCCGACTTTTCAACATAACCAGTAAATGAATTTAGAGTGCTTTTTCTAATTTTTGAAACCAATAATCCAGGTTCTCCTAAAATGGTTATTATAACATTTTAAAATTAATTATTAATAAAAATATTTCTACATTTTACCATATTTTTTTTTAGAAATACACCTGCAATATGCTAAGTATACGTTTTACCTACCTACTTTACATTTAATACACAGATTATCCTTTCCTCGAATTGGTTCATTGGTAATTGGATCAATACGTAGCAAATTAAGAGGATAAAATGGTTGAGCAATCAATGGAATGAATCCTATTGAACCAACTTTATTTGCAATATTCACTAAAAAAAAAAAAAAGGCCAATAAAACTATACATTATATTTTATAACATGATTAATGGTATTTGAATAATTCTTTACTTCTAATCATCATTGACAAAGTAAATTATCAGACAAAATTAACACTTTGTTTTAGTTTTAACAAATTTTATTGTAACAGTCACATTTGTTATTGTTGCATTATACAATGTCTAGGCTTTAAGAATTCTGTTAAATGACTATTTTTCATGATTTACCTGACATAAAGGTATATAATACTTTATAGATTTTAACTTTTTTTTGTGGCTTCAGATTAATTAAATTTGAAGATATAAAATTAGAATTAGAATAAATTTAATCCAACCAAAAAAAAGCATGATTAATAACTAATGTTTTAGTATTGTTTTTTTTTGTTAGTTAAAAATAAATGTCATACTCATATTGGCATTTCCTTCGGTTGCTCCATAAAACTCAACTACTTGTTTAATGTTAAAACGCTTTACAAACTCCTCCCATATTTGAGGACGTAGACCATTTCCCAAAATCATCCTTACTTGATGACATTTATCACTATCAGATGCAGGTGCAGCTAAACAATACCGGCACATTTCTCCAATATATTGAGCAACCTTTAATAAGGAATACAGATCTCATTAAGAATTCAAAAGGTGTTAAGTTGCAAATATTATTTAAAAATTACGGAAAGCAAAACCTCTCAGGAGTTAAAATGTATGGATAATTTAATTTAGACCTAACCAAGAATTATTTCACTTGAATCTTAAATTTAAAAAAAACATTATTCTGAAAATTGATTTGGCACACTATTTTCTACTAAAATAAAGTCATAAACGTAACCAATTTTTCATTAAAACTATCCTATTTTTCTAGTTATGCAGCTAATATTACAATGTGTTAACTATACTAAGGTTTCACATTTTAATTTTAAGTTTTACTTACTGTGCATTTATGTTTAATGCAATCTGTCCAATATTTGGATGCAGAAAATTTGGATCTAATAACACAGGTCGATCCGCCTAAAAGTACTGAGCTTACTCCTAAAACACCTCCAGCAGTGTGATATAATGGTAATGGAGTGTATACAATATCGTGTTCATATATTCCAGCAACATATATAGGTCCCATTCCTATTAACATTGCTCTGAAATAAATTTAAAAATACAGTTAACACTTAATTACAATCTATAATTTAAAATTCAAGGTTTTTTTTTAGATTATTATTATTTACTAAACAAAAATTTTTCTTATTAATATACCTAGATTGAGTCATAATAGCAGCTTTGGGCAATCCCGTTGTTCCAGATGTATAAATATAAAGCATTTCATCAGTACAAGAACCTCTGCGTATGTCTTCCTCGGGAGATTCTGATGACATGCTTACTAGTTCTTTATCTAGTGACACTGCAGTCTTAATAATTGAATTGCATTCATCGTCCAAACGTCTGGTCATCATGTATACTTCCATTTGAATTTCATTAGTTTCAGTGTATAGGTCTGCTAATGCTGTAACAACAATTTAGTATTAAACAGAAAATACTATACTTTTACAAATGGGTCTAAGTTTAATAAAAAAAAACCCCCAATAAGTATTGTTACAAATTAAATCATCGTTGAAATATTTATTATACTAATTTACAAGCAATTATGCTTTGACCAGAAATTAACCTGAAAGAGTAATAGAGTAAATTTTTTTTTCCTGAATACTGTCTTAGATTTCGATGCAGAAGTGAAAATAGATATTTTTTTGTTCATCGTTGATCTAAAATTTAGATCAACGATAACATTTTAACACTTGGGCCTATTTCTTCAAGTAGTAAGTCTACAGATCATATTATATTGTAATCAAAATATACTTAATGTTTCAAAAAGTTTAACTGAAGTTTGCCCCTTCAAAATCGAGAAAAACATTCTAAAAATTGACACATTTTTTAATTTGATATTAAGGCACACCATAACTTTTTAAAAACAGTCGAATTACTTGCAATGCTGAACTGTACTTAAGATATAAAACATTATTCCTTTCTTCTAAAAGCCGTGGACATTTCTTTCACTTTTTTATGTATAATTTTTTAAACCAGCGTCTAAAAATTAGATTGGGAGGTAAGTCTACAATGACCCCATTGTATTTACAATTTTTTTCAAAATTCTAGTCAGCTTTTTTTATTCCGAAAAACCAAAAGTATATTAACATCTACGTACTACCTAAACTTCATTCGGCCATTATTGGTAAAATAACCGACTATAATATTTTAAATTATGAAAAACAGACTGTGGTAAAATATCAAATACCAGCTACCATCTGTATTCTGATTTCTGTTATCTGTACTATCCTAGCATTTTGATTATAATAAATACTATAATCAGTGGTATTATAATTGTCAATGTTTGTCGGTAGACCGGTATTGCCTGACAACTGATAAGCGGTTATCATTAATAAATTTAATAACAATTTAAAAAATGTAGTTTGTAAAATATTTATTTGTAAGTTGTTTCAAATATCAATGAATGTCATTAACATAGTACATATTACTAATTTCATAATAATAATGTCAGTAAAATAAACAATAATTCAAATATATTTATATCAATATGTGATTACTTAGTAGTCAAAATTTCGGTAGTGTTTATTTTGTATTATTCTTAAAAGTAAATAACGAGGTGATCATTTGTAAATTATTATTATTATTATATTAATATAGGTGTACAGAAGAATCGATGAAAATGAATGAAATGTGGTATGTATTTAATAAATCTTATTAAGTGTATGCATTTAAGATACTGTAATGACAATACAATAAGTATCACTATTTAAAAAAAGGCCGAAAAATTAAAACACAAGTACCTACTTCAATTAAATACGCATATGTAATATATGTATTATATTAGTCACATATATAAATAAGTTATGTATGTCTGTGATTTGGTATTGAACGTGTATTATTATTTATTATCATTAACATTAGGTGCATAATGTCCACACCTATATTAATTGCATGATATTTTTCTGCTGTTCAAAAAGTATAATAATTGATAGTTAAAGCTTTGGTAAAATACTAACTATTTCCAGAGTTCTCACCAATAAGCATGCTATTATTTTAATTACTGACTCTAAAAAATAGTATTATCTGAGTGACCTTACTTCGAAGTCCAATGTCCAGTGGAATTTATGCTTACTTAAGTACTCATTTATTAGGAATGAGGCCTTTTTGGTAGTATTTTATTTTTTGTCTTAGGAATTGATATCAATACATAGATTTTAAAATAAAATAACTCTTTTATTGTTACATTCTGACTCATTATTAATTACTTAACTGTAGAGATAATATGTAACCGGAAGTATGAATAAAAAAGTTGGTATTTTTTATTATTCTTCATAAGTATATTATACAAAATAATGAGACTGTTATATAGACTGTCATTAGGTATGTGCTTATAAAAAACTACTTGTCAGCATAGGGCAATTATCATATATAAAATATAAATTTACTATTAAAACCTGAGATTTTAGCACTCTGCAAACGTTTTTAATAATTTTATAGAAAACGAACAAAAAAATTAATTTTTACATTGAAGGAAAAAATTCTTCTTTACCAGCATTTACAATTCTATTAGAGTCTTTGCCGCCATCACTACATCCCTTCATGAAGGAAAAACATTAGATAATGAATAACACAAATAACAATATGTCTTAATAGTATGGTACCTATAAAATGGTCCATGTCAATTTTCATTTTCCTCCCCTCCCCTTACCACCATTTGTTTTATCATCTACCTCTTATCACTAATCCTTTATCAGCTATTTCTTATGACTATTGGAAAAACGATGTTGGGTAATTGATGTCGTAAATTTTTGACAGATCCCTAGCCACAAGACATAACATGCATATCAATAACGGTTCTTTATTGAAAACTAAAAAAAAATGTCCTTATCAATTTATTGCAACACTATAATATTGTTCCAGAATAATCCATTCTGACCTTGAAAAAACATTGCTCTCCGTTTTTGCTATAATAACAATAATGCACATAAAGGTACAATCTATAATAGTTTTAGTCGTTAGTTTTAAGCCGTATTTCATTATAAAATAAATCATTATTAGCTAGTAGCAATACGATAATCAAACTGCCCCAGCCAAATAGGGTATACATGTTAACTTTATTTTGAAGCATTTAAAACAATAATCTTGATCTCTATTTTATATTATTACATTTTATATTATTTCATTTTTTATTTTTATATTATTCTAACTTCTAAGGCAAAAAGAAAAATCATAATTGAATTATATAAAAAATTACATACATAGTAACAAATGACAATAAATATGCTTATGAAGTTAAAAGTCTCATAAAAACTACAAAGTTACACTATTCGCATTGGCTTGGAAGTACTTAGTCATGGAAATTTAAAAACTACCTATTATATTTGAGGTTGAAAACAAAAATTTATACTTTCAAGTTCGTAACTCGGCCAAATTTTAGGGTGGTGGATTATTCATATATATAATATTTTTTTAAAAAAACTTTAAGTTAATTAGGTACAGTAACTTTTTTTTTTGAGGGGTGGTCAACTAACCAATCATGTAAATATTGCATTGAATAACGTCTTGGTTAAACAAAGAAACCGTAAACACGACTAAGATATTGTATTTGAATAATGAACTAGGCCTTTTGGGTCAGTCCATCAATTGTTGTCAAATATTGCCTATATTTTATGATAGTAATTTCAATGTTAAAACAGACAATTAGGCACATAGTTGTTTTATACTTCTGACTATCTTTTTTTTTTTAATTATCACTCAATTAACAAGATATAAGAGATAAAAATAAATTATTAATTTGGATGGAATATTTGTTGTCCGTTTTATTTAGTAAATTATGTTTTCATATTAATGGATATATTTTATTGTTAATGGTGATATGGAGTAAAGTGAATAAAAAGATAATAATAGACATTAGACAGACACTTATTAAGATAATAAAGCGCTTGTTAACCACCACTTGTGTAAAGCAAATTTCTTTGCCAAAGCGTGTACGGTATGCGATTTTGTTTGTCATGTTTTCAATATTAGGAATAATATCATTGTTGCGACTCGTTCTTTATTTTTACTGCTTCTTTGATTTTCTATTACAAAACCCACTCCAACAACTTTGGTCATAATTGATTTAAATCTATTTGTATTTATCAGTAATTAGCTAAGAAGTCATTAGAAAAATGTCGACAGGTATGAATAAAGTTTTCAGCCAAAATCTTACACGCTTAAGATAGAAAAAAATTGTTATTTGTTTCGAGCCACCTTTAGGAATTTCGATATTTTATAAATTAAAAAAAAAAGATCTTTGAAAATGTAAAACATATTTATAAGTCTTACCTTTTTCTTGCTCTTTCCCAATTATAATTCCGGTACACTTTGATATTTTTATAGAATGTAACAACGTGTCGGCTCGAAGATTATTGTTTGTTAAAGCAACTACAACACCAATTTTCGATAAACCCAACCAAATACAAACATATTCTGGACAACTTTCCATTAATAACGAAACTGTGTCTCCTCGTTTATATCCTCGGTGTTTAAAATAATTTGCTATTTGATTACTGTAGTCCTCTACCTAAAAAAAAAATATTTCACATAGTGTAACAGTAAAAATGTATTGTTAAAACCGTAGCTATGATTTAAGCCACCATAATAATATTGTGGAATAAAAATTATCATTGGTTAAACAGATTTACTTCTCTACCCTCACTTTCTTTTAAACCTCTGTTTCGCTTATCGGCACTTATCCCATAATCGGGTGCTCTAAACTTTAGAAAGGCAGACACATTAGAAGTTATATCACCAAAATAATTAGGATAAAAAAATGTATTCTGCACCCCTCAATCAAATTCGAGACAATATGCTTGGAATTGTGTAAACCAATCCATTTCTCTAAATTACACATTTGATTAGATGTAGCATGAACTAAACAATAGAAATGTTTAATGATTTTTGAAATCATATTTACCGTGAATTCAGAACAATTTCTTTACATACCTTTTGATAAGTCCACGACGAATCTTCATGTATAAATGCTATTTTGTTTGGATGTTTAGTCACTAGAGTTTTGAAAATCTTTGCAAATGTGTCGTAGCCCAATAAATTCAGTATTTTTATTTTCGTATAGTATGTGATGAAGCCTTTAATTATTCTACAAAAAGAAAAATAGGTGTTTAAAATAACGTAATATTATTCCATTGTTATATTGTTGCATTTTTTAATTATTCTAAGCAGTTCAGTTTCCATTAAGGATATACATAACGTGACTATTTATTATCGGTACAACCCAAACAGCTCCCGTCGAAAAAGGTTTCACGAGTAGGTAAATTCCCAAACAGCTCCGGTATTCGGTGCTACGCGTATATTATCAAGTCTCTTTAACGTTTCAAAAAAACTTATACTTAAATTTAAACCTGTAACCTCCTTCTAGACTGTAGCCTACAAACCTAGGATATTTTTAGTTAGCGGAGCGAGCGTAGCGAGCGAGTGCTAAAACATTTGGTGACCTGCCGTTCTTATCAGTTATCAATACGAATTCCGAATTTGGTAAAAGTGGTAGCAACCCCTATTAAATCTATTAAAATTTTTGAAAAAATGATAGAAAATTTTAGTATAGGTTGAGGGTGACTTTTTTTTACACAACATAATATGTTATATTATATTATATTGTACGTTGAGTTTAGGATTCTCAAGTATATAAATTAGTTGACCTCGTGTGCATTTATATGAATATATGGTTCAAACAACAACAGTAGAAATTTCTACATTTCTGTTATTCACAAATCATATTAACTACTGCCTTAAGGTCAGCAATCAAATATCGAAGTGTAATTAATACAGTAATACAATTGTGTAGCTCTTGTTATTACTGACCTAAATAAGTAAACATTGTATTTTGTACCTAGACTATCTACTATATACATGAATTATATATATATAAGTAACCTTCTTCTTGGACAATGTTAGACATTATTGTGCATCACAATATACAATATAAAATTCGCGTTTTCATAAATTGAATAATAACTGTTTATAATAATGTTCGTTTGACATGATTTAAAAGGAAAAGGAAACACGTCCCCAGAGCCCATTATGTTGACAGCCAAATTCATATTGTAATGGTTAGTCACATTTTAAGTTTTTCTCCTTCGATACAAAGATAAAAAATATTAGATTTACAATTATTTTTCTACAAAGAAAATGTAACAAATTTATTTTTGCAAACTGGAAAAGTAGTAGTTTCCTTATCTCTTAAAAATGATTTTTCAACTGTGATTGAAAAAGAATGTTTGTAATTGAAAAATTTAGTTTTTATTTACAACAGGAGCAAATTGTTCGTATCATGTTAAGAAAGATAACTGTTAATATTTGATTTTTTCATTTGAATTTTAAAAGTTTATAAATACTTAGAAAAAAAAAATTTTAAAAAACTGCTGAATCTATTTGATTACATCAAAAATAGTCATTACTTTTACAGTTTTTTAGCTAGAAAGCCGAAATTTTAAAAACATATCGTATTTGGCCAACGACATGAACTGTCAAAATTTTAGGCGTCCAGGTTTAATAGAGAAAAAAATTCCGTCAAAATGAAACCCAATCATCCAATCGCCGCCAAATTTGAATCAGCTCATCTTAACTCATTTCTGGCCAATGGTACGTACGCGCACCATAAAATAAATACATCCTTGGCCGGAAATGAGTTAAAATCAATTATACTGGTAACATTTTAGATAAGAATTTTTCGAAACCGCATAGCCGTTAAACATTTTCAGGAAAGCAAAATATCCAATTTTTAAAAAAAAATAAATGAAAATAGTTTTTTAAAAATGTTTAAAATGCAACCATATTTGCTAATTAAATAACCATAATATATCCATTGTAATAATGGATTTTTAATACACAATTCATAGAATTGAATTGTTTACTGTTGTTAGTAAATAATATTAAATAGGCAAGGTAGGAGAAATTTAAAGGTACTTGTCACATAGTAAGTAATAATTTCCAAGTGAAAGTAATCATGTGCTGTCAAACATGTGCAATCGTGGTTGGTAATAATTGTTATGTATCATAATATGTATGTATATTTAAATTTATTTTTAACCGTAACTAGTTTTGTTATAATGTTTAAAAAATAATAAATTTTAATATACATATAAAGTTTGAGTAATGTGAAGTTTTAATGAATCTTTTTCAAACACCATTGGTATAACCAAAAATAGCGCTTAATATGAATTGTGCATAGCATTGTTATATATTTATAATAATCCTATTTAGTCGTTCCATCCAATGTGTTATCTTATTATTATTATTATAATTTACGTTTTAATACTGTATAATTTATAATTTTTTATTTTGGACAATATTATACTTAAAGTTATTTTAATTGCAGTTTTTGTAAATTAAATATTATCATTTTATTTATTAATTTAAGTTAAAACTTAACAAAGCGTAACTATTTTTAAATAATTTATACTACATTAATGGTTATAAACCCAATGGTATACAATTATAAATACAAATAAACAACTATAATGGTTATATTAAAATATATACATTTTTTTTAATTATCTATTATCTTCTCTTTTTATGATTTTTATAGAATTATAAAGTAACGTGTAAATTTAGTATACAACATTACACGTTTTTTAAATGGTTACAAAATAGTACTTTAATGTGTTGTGAAGTTTTGTCCGTACCGCTATGGAGGATAGATGGTAGTGTAATAAACGTTAGCTTACTTTGCGTCTCGGGGAATAGTTTTTATTATTCTGATTAATATATTCCAGTTGGCGAAAGTGAGGTATCCAGTGATCAATAGTGTTACTACACATGACATGTACCGTTTTTGATTGGTAAACATAAATATTGAAATAGCCACGGTCAATAAGATAATAACGTTATTTTGAATTGTTTTACTCATTTTTGAAATCTAATCGACTATAATCTATAACTATTAAATATTATAATATTAAAACAACAATTCCATCTACTTTAGAAAATAACAAATTTTGTTCGTACAACAATTGACGTGCGTGGTGTAACAACAGAATGTGACTAATGTTCGGCTGGTGGTACGTAGTAGTTACACATTCTAGAGGCATCAGTTGTAACGTTGTAATTCTTACCGCTACGCTGCGCATCGACTGCCACCGGTGCGCGGTGAATGTATTTTTGTATTTAAACTTATCTGCTAGGTACTTGGTTTACCACCAAGCGTTGAAAAACATTTCATCAGAGGTTATGTATAATATATATGTATAAAATTGAGTAATTGCTCACAATAGGGTCTTAGGTGTAGGTAAAACAATAATAATTACATAATAAGGCATTATAGTTATTTTATTCGGACACGCGCACTGAGCAATAATTATTATCATCGAACGGCATGATTTGGTTTTGTGTTTTCATTTTTTGTACGTTCTACATGTGCTACCGTAAAACCGGGTTACTTTGGGACATTATGGGTAAAATAATAATTAGGGGTATATTATTTTACAGGTATAGTCGTTGTCCAATTCGTTTTTGTGGGTAAGTTTCTAGTGGAAGTTTTTCAACGGAACATTTAACGTACTGTGATTCGGTTTCGGTTATGCCTTCTACCGGGTCTGTGGTTTTTGTTGAAAAACAGTTTAAACACGTTCCCATGTTTATTACTAAACGTTGCTTGCCGCCGTTGGGCGGTCGTTATTGAATACTAACACCTAGTCGTTAAAATTATTAATTTAAATACATTACAGGGCCAATAATTCACTGACGTATGGATAAACGTTAGCACGGATAACTATTTACCATAACTACTATACGTTGACGTCAAATAAGCTGGTGATTTAGTTATTACATTTTGTCAATGTACGGGTAAAAACTATTATTACTGCATGTTATGCGCGTAAAGTATAACTAGTTTAATAACATATTATGTATATTACTGTTGATTTAGAATTATTTTTATGCCATATAAAGGGTGATTAATTTAACGTAAAACATTCATATTTTCTTGGAAAACAAATTGTTTTAGTGTTTCTTTTCGGGAACGTTTTTATTTATGTAATTGTACAATATTATAAAATTACTAAATATTTACCGTTTTTAGTGTTTTTCAGGGCTCTATCAACTTTTGAAACTTAAAAACGGTAACGTATATATTTAATTGACATTTTATATTATGAATGATTTACTAAAAATGTTGACTGGTCGATAATAAGTTTTGTATAATTACTTTTAAAGTTATTAAAGTTCAAAATTAAGGACGGGAGGAAGAGTGAAGTGAAGTATTATTTTTATCTGCGAGCATTACTCTACCGAGCTCCACCTCCAGTCTTAAATTTCAAGTCCTAATAACTTTAAAAGTAACAATTCAAAAACGAGTTATCGACCAGTCAAAATGTTCAGCAAATTATTCTAAAAAGTTAATTAAACATATACGTTGCCATTTAAATTTTAAAGTCAATAGGGCTCTGGAAAATAAAAAAAGATAAACATTTGAATATTGTCTAGTGTTTAAGTTAACAAAAATTAAAAAACAAGTGTCTCTAATAAGAAAAACCTTAAAATTACATTTATTTTAAGAAAAAATGAATGCCGTACGTCAAACTGATCACACTGTATGTTACACAACAACTATTTTTTAAATTATATTGATTGATATATACCTACGAAGTGCACATAGTTGTTGTTTGACATTATCGGGCTTCTGATTTAGACAGCAGGTCATTATAATTTACATTAATATCATACAGACATGTTTATTCCGATCCTTGGGTTATAAGAGTTCATAATATGTTTCTTATTTACATAATGTAGTACTTCCGTAATTTAAATTTTAAGAAAGTGTATTTAATAGTTTGAGTTCCATTCTAAACTTAACTAAATATTTTATTTATAATGTAAAAAATAGTTCTTAATTAATTTTACCCTCATTTTTTTGCACTCGTTGTTTTAAGACTAGACAGTGTAAACAATACCAAAATTAAATTCAGGTAATAGTACAAAATGTAAAGTAATCGAACGTCTATTATTAACATTTTGTATAACTTATACTTTTATTTTTTTTAATATATCAATACCTATGATTACTTTGTAATCGACAGTAATATTATGGTTTATATATTAACTATAAAGTGTGACGCATATAAACGCATTGCATAAATAAAACGGTATAAAGTTCATAGTTAGCTTCATAGCCTATTGAACTCCTATATGACGTTAAATAAGCTGTTATTTAAATAATTTGCCAGAGAACGTCAATGGTTAAATAAATTTAGAACAAATCGAATATAGTCTATATGAGACTATTGTTGAGTTTTTGAAATGGGTATAAATAAAATTGAAAAAAAAATATTACAGTCTACTTAAAGACTAACGGCTAAAATTATAAAACATGGAACATGCTTTAGCCTGCTGGCTCTTGAATAGTGATTATTTCTGATTTATAATCTCCTTGCGATTTATGACGATAGTATAGTCTTAACTATATGTTCTGGCCAAAACGTTTGCGTGACGTTGACGACTCGTTATTATTTCGATGGCATAGGGACCGACCGCATCAAAATGATCCGGTGCGTTCAAATCAATATTAACAGAAGTAGAAGCCGTTTAAGTCCGTAGCCACGCCATCATTATTAAGGGAGTGGACGCGGTCATGCTTCCCAATGATATTCCGACCACGATGGCTAGGCAAAACCCAGAGCTGAGAATGAGCGAGGACGAGGCCAAGGACAAGATAAGGCCGATATTCAAGAAAGGAAAGAGGGACCGGGCCGTGGTCCACTGGGTGTGTGAGATAGACTATTTTGTGTCGTTTTCTAGCTCGGAGGCCAAGGCTAGCTAAAGCATGTTCCTTGTTAAAATAGTTATTAAAAAATACAAGCTATGGAAGAATGTCGTTGTTTATTAATATCAACTTATTAAAATATTAATTATACATATACATACGACAATATTTTGAGTTCTTATTATATGCAAAGGAATTATTTACTACACAATGAGATACGTCCTTGAAAATGGTAACAAAAAACAACACCTCAGTATCAAAGCTAAAATGATATACAAATATATTGTAATGAATACCAATACTAATTGCCTGAGTGCACATTATATACCAGTAATAATAAAAATTTGCAAAGTACGATGAGGCTGATAAAAATACATTATTGAAACGCTACAATGTGCGTTGTTAGATTCGCATTGTTTGATCGTTTGACAGCGATTTTTTTCATTTAACTAAGTTTAATTTGTAATTTTACCTCCAAATCGGCGACCGACTATGTCTACAATTCTCTGTGCTTATTCATATTGTGCTTGATTTATAAATAAAAAATCAATACAATGTTCTTGTTTTATTATTCTTAACATTTAAAATTGCGTGTGGTGTAAACTCTTATATTTTTAAAACTTACTATAGATTTTATATATTATGGTTAGTTATCGTAGGATTAGATTTTATAATAATTGTTAAAACATAATCGTTATACTTAAAATGTTTAGGTATGGTGCCAGTGTCTGTAAAAAATAAACAAGCAACTAATGTGAAGTAAGACAGGCAAAACAATAATAAAGACAAGATCATTGAGTGCAACATGTTTTCCATGCCGTTTTTGTCTGTACTATTAGCAAGAAAAAATACCTGAATCATTATTTTGAAAAACGTATGCTAGATTGATTTAAATTTTGATAAATATGGATGTAAAAGCATTAGATGATAAACCATTGGAAGTAGTGTGGAAGAGGAATCGCAGTATTCGAACTCCGGCGAAAACGTTACCAGAAATGAAAACCATTAATCTAGAAAGCCAAGGTAAAGAGATAAAAAATACATCAAAATTTAAAGCCGAAACGAGCAAAGGTATAAGGTCAAATAGAATAAAAAAGAAATTGTTTTCCTCTCCCATGGTTAAAAATAAAAACAGTATATTAAAAAATGAGCGAAATTCAGAAATACCAAATAATATGTTGACATTACCTCCAGTCACACGTTCAAAGTCACCAAACATTTTAGCTAATTGCGACAAGTTGGTTAAAAATCATATATTTATGCAACGTACCTCTGAAAAACCTAACAATTTGACAGCAAACACTGAGGTTTGTTTAAATACAAAACAAACAGACTTGAGTGCAAAGCAAATTTGTAATTCTAAATCTCCCGTATTGATGTCAAATCGAAAGCGGTTCACAGCAGAAAACGAGAATAACATAGACGACTTTGTACCACCTACGGCTTGCGGTCCGGAAAAAAATCTTCAACTTGCAAAAAAATCCAAACATCTTAATTCTAAGCTAACCAATCTGAGGCTCGACGACTTTGTAGGGAAAAAAAGAAAATTAAGCAATACAATCTCAGACAAAATGGTTAAATCGCCAAAATTGTGTAGTAATTTTAAAAATTGCAAATCAAACAAATTAGATAATATAGTAAATAAAACAACAACAACAACCCAAGTCACGTGTATGTCAAACCAAGCACACGACAATACAGTTATTGACAATATTCAGACGACACCGTGTTGTATGATAAATGAACTGAAAACAGAAGACGGAGTTGAGCACACTAAAGAAGTTTTAGAAAAGAACACCGCAACGTGTGACGATCAAGAATTGCAGCAAAATACAATTGATGGTTTTACAAGTTCAAAATGTAAAAAAACAACAAGCTCCGACACGAGTTCTGAAACAAATATAATTCCAGTGACTCAAAACGTGGACACAAATATCAAAACGACTATAGATTTTTCGCCAGTCACAATGCCACCATTGTATGTTCCTTTTATCGAAGTCGATAATTCACCGAGACACGAAGAACAAAACGTGTGTATTCCACCGGACCAATCGCCTATTATATCTGAGCCAGATGATGTACCATACTTGATATCAGAGCTAGATACACCTGTAAAATCCCACAAAAATACAGAGTTGTTTTATAAGGTTAGTCGAGTTAATCTTTTGTTTTGTTTTGTTTTTTAAATTTATTCTTTGCGATAAAATGATAACGAACGTATTATTATAGTTTGTATTTCTGTTTATTTAACAGATTGATTCGATAGAATCGCCTACTTCTAACACAGAAATAATTAGTTATCATACGCCAAAAATGAATAGCAAACACATAAACAGCACAAAAAATGAAAACTTATCTCCTAGTTACTTCGACTCTGCAAAAAAACGTAAAAAAATATGGTTAGTACTAAATAATAGTATTTTTATCTCGCTTTAAGTATATATTTTGACGTTTATACAATATAATTTGGAGGTAGTACAAAAAGTGGTTTTAGAAATTACACTAATGAAGAAACGAAATTAAAGAGAATAATAATATACAGAAATATGGTTTGGGTTTCATCATGGCCCATGATGGCAAAGGGGAGAGAAGTGAAATAGTTAAGCTGGTAACCAAGGTTACAGAATGTGTGCCATTGTCAAAAATACATTGGAGTAAAAATAAAATTCTTTAATTCCAAGTTTGTCAACATTTTAACATAAAACATATTTTTGCTATGGCATTTTTCTAAAAAATCGACACGACTTAGGCGGGTGACACCACAAGGGAGATTTGTTTCGTGAAATTGATTTCATGGAACAAGAAATTTGTTTCGTTAGTTAAAAACGCGTGTATTGAAATGGAGCAACACATACTGATGTTCCTGAAACGCTATTACAAATTTATAAGCTATGTATATTAATTAATGTATATTTATGTATAATTATAAAATAATGCATTCCTAGAGTCTCAAAACAGCGTTTGTTTCAAAAATAAAAAACATATTCTATGTTTTATAAATAATTTGAATATGTGTGTACCTGACTCCAAATGTGTTTAGGGGTAATTTTGTAAAATAACATAAAAAAATCCCATGGCGACCTATATATTATTTGCCAATTAAAATGGATGATGTAACTAGTCAGTAACTAGTTTTGTTCATAATATATTTCTCGAGTTCTTTAAAAAAAATGTATAGATTCATGATAGTACTTTAGTCTACCTCTCGTCCGGTTATAACATTGCTAATGAGTAATAACTCGAGAATTATAAAAAATATGTTATACAGGTTATCCGTATTATCTAATTATTATATTTCCATTACACCATTGCCGTATTAATACGCTAATAAAATAATAATGTGGGTTACTGTTTCAATGTGTATGCCTGCAAGCTATTCTAAAATTGTATTTTTAACTCGAACATTGTAAACTATTAACTATCAATTTTACTTTATTTTTTATTTACGACAGAACAAGTAATTTCACAATAGAACAGAAGTCAGAAATAAACGTATTACTAAACCATGTATGATTAAATTAGCCTTATTATTACGCCTTAGAAAAATCAGTCTACGAAATATCAACTTCTATATTTATTATCGAAACAGTGAAAACAATTTTAGCTAATTAAATTATTTTATTAAAAAAAAAAAAATGATTTTAATGATCGAATTCCTTAATACCTTATAGTGTAAAAACAATCATTGGCCGTTCCGTTAATAAACAATAGGTTTCTTAAGCACATATGGATAACACACACACACTCATTTATGTATATATGTATATATATATTTGTTTTAGCAAAACCGGTTTTAGAGGGAAATTTCGTGAACTGTTGAATCGTAAAAAATCTGAAATATGCATTCAAGAATTCGAAATGAAAAGCGATCGACCTCGAAGACTTCCGGATAAAGCTGCTGTCCTATTGCAAGTGTTAGAAGTTTCGACGGATTGCCAAAAAGTTGTGTTACTTTGCAATCACTGTAATTCCGGTAATCTGAAATAAACAGAAACAATGACTATTACTATTGTGTGCTCTGTGCAACGTAAAAAACGATTTATTAACAATAACCGATTTTTTTGTCACAGAATTCGATGATAAAAAAGTCGTTGTGATTTTGGACAATAATTTTACAAGGAAAATCCACAACAACAACGTTGTTTGTATTTACCGACCGTGGTTAAAGTTTGAACCAACCGAATTTGATTTTACCGTGTATTTGGGCGTTATTCATTTGGAAGTAGTCAAAAAACACGCAGAAGTCGGCCATTCCGTTGAACATAATGATTTTGAATCTTCCTGTAAGTCGACTTTGTATCAAAAGAAACTGTTATGGGAATGCCGTTGCCCTAAAGGTATGATTATGCATTTTTTTTTTGTTGTTCACAATCATTTGAAATCTATTGTGAATTTATTTTAAGATTTTTCTTATCTACGTCCAGTCGGACGAATATTCATTATTGAAATAAGTTAAGAGGGCGTCACACACCTGTTATTTTCAAAAACCCGCCTTGCACGGCGTAATTTTACAATGGCTGTTATCAAAACAAAGAAACCAAATTTTCACATAATATAGACAACAACATTGTCTGTGCTCTACCTTGGCCCTTTTTCATATTTCAACCAGTTAATGAATAATTAAATAATTAAAAAAGTATTTTTTTGACTTATTTCCTCAACTATATATGAAGCCTGATAAAAATTAATCCGCCCAAAGCAGTTTTGATGGGGAAAAAATTGTAATTTATCCTATAGAAATGACTGTGGTAGTCAGACAAAAAAAATGGCAATCAGCAAAGTATCCTCATTACTGTATTAATAAGTATACATTATAGTTCAAACTCTAAATTAAGATTTTTCAAAAAAATTGCCTGTACTTTACTCCTTAAAAATGGCCGGTGTGGCGTCTTCTTAAGGGGAACGGAAAGCGCCAATTTTTTTACAAATAAAGACTAAAACAAAAAGTCACTTCCTAAAATGTCTACCAAACCGATTTCAAAAAAAAAAAAAATATTTGTTATAAAGTCTAACATCTTCTCTATGGGGGCTAAAAGGTCGATTTTTTTATTTCTGTTTTAAAATTTTATTATATACGTTTAATGTTTATATATTTACTTTTTTATGGTTTTTTTCTAATAAATCTAACTAATTTTCTAATAGCTAAATAAAAAAGCAGCCTCTATGAGGCCCCCCCCCCCCATAGAGAAAATAGTAAGCCGGAAATATTACAACTAGAAAAACTAAATATCTTTTTACATTAAAATTAGTCGGCATACTAATTAAATGGCATTTAATAAATGGTTACTATAGATCAAATTTTGTCAAATATTGCATATCCTTTGCCCCTTAAAAAAACAGCGCTTTCCGTTCCCCTTAAACGAGTCTTTAAACATAATTGGTCGTTCCTACTTCCTACCTTGACTCGCAATTTGATTTTTAATGTAATTTATTATAATTATGAACCGACCTTTGAATTAATTTTTTATGTGAATTGACGACTACCTGGCAATTTTGCTCAAACTTTTTTGGAAACTTGAAAACAAATAATAATATAGAGACAAGCAAAACTATAGCGTGTAATTCAAACAATCGATTATATTTTCACAAGTTTTTTAAATTACGGTTTCTCCTAATATAGTATTGCAAACTAAATAGTTTTTTTGTTGTTTGGAAACCAAATATAACAAATATGTAACATTTATATCGACATCTTATACTTTTTCAGATTGTGTGTGTAGCTGCTTGGGGGAACAAAGCGTTTATAACTATTTGCAATATATTATTCTTAGACGGCAGAATTGTTAGCTAAAACAAGGTGATTTAAAATAATTGTTATCAAATTTTACTGGGATAACATTATTATTAATATATTATCATTATACCAAAAAGTGGCTTAATAACAATTATAAATCTTAGTGTTTAACGTAATCTTTTATTTGTTTAAAGTATTTTATATTATGTTAATTATTATTTTGTTATGTTTTTTGTTTAAAAATTATTCTTTTAGTAATTTTGCGTAATTGATATTAAAATAAGTTATTTGAAAGATGAGTTAAGTAACAAATGTATGATTTTACTAATACAATTGTATAAATAAATTAGGGTTATTGCGGTGATGATATTTCAAATTAAACTGAAGTTTATAAACATATATTTGGTAAGATGGCGCACAATTTAGTGATATGTCACTTAGTCCAAATTTCGGGAAAACAGAATTAAAGTTCTTAACTAATACTAAAGTTAAAAAAACTGTTTTGTTATTTCTATAAATATTTTATTATGTTATAAATATTATAGTATAGGAATATACTTTAATATTATATTCCTTATAATGGTAGCAATTTAAAACGAATACAAAAATTGTTTTTTTATTAATGTGTATATATTGATAAGAAGTGGAGAAGGACATATAATTTAGAGACATCGAATAAGTAATGTCTTCAAGCTTCTATGTTGATTAATAAAATTATCTATCTCAAAGCAGACTAGAGTAATAACTGAACATAGTTTTCTTTAAATCAATTATACATTTTCTCTCTAAAAATGACTCATTAGTTACCTAGTATAACTGCATGTGGAATAAGATGGAGTCCACCACATTAAAATGCCTTATAATGCAGTATCAAGTAGGCGTATGACAGACTGCAAAACCAACCGTAAGGTTGACTATTACGAAGAGTGAGAGTTACCTAGTGTAGTACATTACTTGCAAAATTTAATTTGTTTTAATTATATGGACCTGTAAATAATCATGGGTACTGTGTGTAGTTAAATATGACTATTGAATCATATTTTAAGAGTATAGCATGTCAATTAAGCAACCTAGAAATTGAACACAGTGCCCGTGTAGTTTTTAACTTTTTTTAGTGGTCACATTAAGGGGATTGCATGCGGTCGGTTTTTTCAGTCAAAACAAATCATTTTTATTCCATTGCAAAGACTGAACCAGTGATCCGATAAGCAATCTAAAAACAGATTTGAATTCACCATTAAGTTTACTTATGATCGGTCAGAGTACTTTTTAAAAATTTTAATTTTAACCCTTTCCAAATTTGATTTTAAAATCTGAAATTTTATATAATATTCAAACGTGTTTTATACATAGTAGGAATAAGATATCAAAAAAGTACCCTGACCGATCATAAGTAAACTTCATGACGAATTCAAATCTGTTTTCAGATTACTTATCGAATCACTGGTTCACCCTGTGCGATGGAACAAAAAATGTATGCTATATTAACTAAAATGGTATTTACTCATAGACAAAATAATTTAAATTAAAATTAATACCATGAAGCTAATACAAATTAAACGGTTAATTAATTGACATGATCGAAATTTATTAAAACCACTTTTTTCTTAAATATTGCCTATACAAAACTCCTTAAAATCCAACCGCATGCAATCCCCTTAAATCGGTATAATTTTCAGAACTTAAGTCCAAAACTACGGTGAAAAAAATAAAAAGTTTCCAATCCTTCTAGAAAAATGGGGTTTTGAAAATGATTTTGTTGGTTTGTCAATGTGTTTCGAATTCGTTGGTATTAAATTTAAATAATGTTCTATACATATTAGAAACTAATACTTGTTTTAAAAAGTTAGAACTAAAATTGACTGTAGTACTCTTTAAGTTGAACAATATATACTTTTTTGTTGTTTTTTTAAAAAATTTTCTAAATAATGAAGGGCAAGAATTAAACTTTTTAAAGTTTTGGCCCAACACATTAGATAATATGCTACATGAACCAAGTAGAAAAGGTTTTTCGGATTATAATGTGAACTTTTAGGTTTAACGTTTTTAAATGGAAGTGAGATATTATTAAATACTGTAATACTTAATAATATAATAATATAGTGTTTTAAAACCGACAGTTATTGGAGTTTTGTAAAATCATTAGGAAGAAATTTGTTGCCAGAGTATGGAAATATAAAAAATGTATTAGCCTATTATCATTTATAATCTTTTATTAATTATTACACATTGTTTACAAATATTGTTTATGTCTAAGTAATGTAATACATTCGGGATTTAACTATACAATATTATCTTCATCATAGCTATATTTGTTGTCTACTCTCTGCGCCGCGCCGTACATGACATTTGTATTAGTTATTTAGGATAATCCGGTCGATAACTCTACTCGTACGGAAATGTGTTTTATATAAAAAAAAAGCCTAAACTGACTTCTTTATAGCTAGCAGGCACGTTGGCCACAGTCGAATTTACCCAGTACAATTAACTCTGGTTGGCAGTATTAACAATGGTTACAATTTTTGGAGTAATATGGTGCTATCAAACAATACGAAGTCGATAATTATAGTAAGGACATAAACAAATATTGAATATTTCAAAGGTAGATAGATAGAGTGGTCAAGGTCGCAAAAGAAATTAACGATAGGAATGACAGAGTAGCTTGATAGAAGCGTGCAAAAGTCCTGTTAAGTACTATAAAAATAAGTCTACTATAATAATATGTATTGTTGGAAAGATGGTGAGTTTTTTTTCCATAATGAAATGTTGTATATAATTACAATTTATCTTGACTCTTACGAATAAAGTTATTATAAATAAATAGTAGTAGATAGTTAGGAATATTATTTTTTTTTAAATTACTCTTTAATGGTTTTATATACAAAAAAAGAACAAAAGGAAAATTTTCTATTCTTTACTACTCAATAAGTGTAGCGTCATCTTGAAAACAAATTCTTGGCGACTTACATTTAAACTTCAACGCCGAAATGTTAAGTTCAAAAAATTACAATTTTTTTTAGATTATTCATCTTAATTATTATTAACGCGAAACGGTGGGTTATCAAGTACCTATTGTGCATAATTTTCTGATGTATTATGCTACATGAAAAGAATGGCCAGGTGGTCGGCCCAGACACTTAAAAAAAAAATAAGACATTAGTTATTGTAATATTCTAAGTTTCGCTTCAAAGCCACGTTGATTCAACCAATTGGCCGACGATAAATCGCCGTCGAAAACAATTAATAATTTCTTAGTTAAAAAAAAAAATTAAGCCAATGAGAGGACGGATACATCATCTTACCGGTTCCTCTCCTGAACACCCCAATGGACGATTCCTTGGTCTAAGACTTCCCCCTATTGGAAGTTAAATTGATTTGTGATGCGAGATAGCGCATTGGTTCAAATAATCTCTCAAAAATGTTGGCTTACGGACAATTGGGTGGTTAATTGAACTTTAATAATATTATTATTATTACATTTAGGACACTACACTGAGATTATACAGTGTATTTATCAAATTTTATCATACCGCCAACAATATTACACTATGTGTGACGTATAGCCTGATCGATTTTGTGTTATAATATAATTATTGTATTGGCAGAGCTTGCTATCACGACACGGGCATGGCGCGGTGTGCTGCTACTGTATTATTGTTATTATTATCTATTACTACACAAAAAGGTGTTATCAGTGAATTTTTGAAAAAGCTGAATGAATTACAAGTGATAATAATAGTAATAATAAATTCAAAAAAAAACTACTACACAGCGTTAAGAGATAACGGGATTGCTAAGGAAACGCGATAGTGAAAATGCCGATAACTCCACAACGGGTTGGGATCACAGAGCATGATGATGTACGTCATAATAATATTATTATTTTCTGGTATACAGAGTGATCCGCTTAAAGAGCTGTCCGGTTATTTTGTTTCCGGAAAAACGACAATTTCAGTTTTATAGGTTTATTGCTTTGTGATGTACACAGTAATGTTTTGAGAAATGTAAAAATATTTTTCTTAATTTTTTTTTTAAGATTTTCCACAGTTCTATCGACTTGTCAAGAAACTCGGTCGGTATACGTAACCGGCTTTAAAAAAATATTTTTAACGTTTAAAAAATCGCCTTAAAAAGAGAAGTGTAGTGTGGTATATATTATCACCTTCCCTCTTGCCTTAACTGTTAAACGCCAATAACTGGAAGTAATTATTCAAAACAACCTCTTAACGTTGTCTTAACATCAATTTATTTTCCGTTTCAATTACCATACTTACTTGTTTTACACTTTTGATTAAAATTTAAGTTGATATTGATTTCAATAAGAAAAACCTAACCTAACCTGACAATCAATTCTTGGGATCGGCCCGTCGGGCGATTGTTCCTGAATTAAAAATACCTTCTCTTGTTCACGTTGAAGCTAAAAAGTTGATAAAATATTATTGTATTATTTACCTTGTATCAATATAATTTAGAATATTAGGATAAACGATAGAGCTCTAAAAACCCTAACCGAAAAAAAAAAGCGAATACTGCGAAATTTGATACTGTTGCAAAATAACAAATAAAAATCCTCACAGAGTGGGGGATAGGGAATTGTGAGTACATAGTGGTGTAGTTAGTGGTGGAGGGGATAACACATTATGAGGAACTACCACAACCGAAAGTGAATAAATCAGTTTAAAAAATCGCTCCAATGAGATTCTGTAGACCGTAAAAATGATCAATTATCAATACAAATCACTATGTATAGACAATACATATGTTAAAAACCGTCTTATTAAAAATGTCTTGATTTTTCTTCAATAAAAATGTTTTATTATAATACATTTTTATAGATGTTATCTAGTGTGTGCACGCTTGATCTACGTCTACCGTGAGTCCGATTTTCAGACCCAAAGTCCAAATACAATATTAGTAAAAAAAAAAGTTTCAAACCCTACCGGCGAAAAAATACGATAAACGTCCTAATCAATTTTTTTGAGCTAATAATTCGGCCACTATAGCTATAAACATTTGTAGTTGTATGTTAAAAAAAATCCAACAAACGGCGGGACGGGGAAGTCAAAAGTCTTAGGGAATTGAAATATGAACGGTTCGCTGCAAAACTCTAGACGGTAAAAATATTAAAATGATAAATAATTGTATTAATAATAAATGTGTTTATAACCGTGTTGGTTTATTAGGGTCTCCCCGATTAAAACAAAAAGAAAATCATGATCAACGATAGTAACAACCAAACGTAACAGAAATTTGAAACGTATTTTTTCGTTTAAACGACAACGAGCTCATTTTTTTCCAGTTGAGAATAATCCGTTGATTTTTGGCTAGATTTTTATGACTAGATTTTTGGTTTATAGATCGGCTCTTCAAACGGACAAAATAACAATCCGGTGTACCACGGCGGCTTATCGAAAAAACACAATATAATAACAACTGTAAAACCAAACACGGAAATACTACGAAATTGCAATACCTATTATTTTGCATAGAAAACTAATGGATCGTTTTGAATTGATCGCCCTGTATAGAGTAAAGACGGCGGCGGCGGCGGCGGCTTGGCCTGATTATGATGATTATGGAAAAGGACGAGGGGGGGGGGCGACGGGAAATGTATTTACTACGGCGGCGGCGGCGGCGGCAAAGCGGTAGTAAAACAAAATACATAGGAGGGGGTGTGACGATCCGGCGATCAAAGCGGCGGCGGTGGTGGCGGCAATTCAATCGGCGCGTATGCCAACGCGGTCGCGTACTACTCAGCAACTGGTAACGAAACCCAGCCGGGGTAGTCACACGCTAAACACGCGTTCGGTAGGTGCAACACGCTCTAGTACAGTCGTCGTCCCAAGTATACACGTACATATCTATATACATATAATATTGTAAATGTAAATTTCGATACGAGGTACTCCGCGAGCGTTGGTTTTTTTTTTTCTCACCGATTTCCTTCTTGACGGGGGTGTTTTGATTTTTTTTTTTTTTTTTATCAACAAACCATTTGCAAAGGGGAAAAAAAAAGGATAAACAGTTCGTAATGAAGATTGCTTTGTCCGTTTGTCGCGCAGTCGTGTTCGATCGGTGACATAGTATTTCGTCGGGATTTTTTATAATTATTATTATTATTATTTTTTTTTTAACTGTGCGTATGATATAACTTTGAACGGTCGTGCACACACGGGCGGATGATCTCGTAGAATATAATATATTGATATCAGTGTACAATGAATTCGCCACAGATGTACGATACGGCTCCACAATCGCACACCCACCAGTCGCACCATCAGCTCAGCCAACAGGAACTGATGGCGGCGAAAAAAGCTCAACTCGGACAGCTCAAGAACAGGTACGACATATCGGAGCTGTCCACGCCCGAGATATCGCTGGACCTGCAGAACCTGATCGACGACAGCCAGTTCAGCGAAGGGCTGTTCACCGAAATCCTTCAGCAGGGCCAAGTCAAGTTACCGAACGGCGCGGGCCGCAACGGTGTCGCCCAGAACGGGTTCAACTCGCGCACCACTCTGGCGTACATGCCGCAACCGGTGCACTACGAGAGCACGCCGACCGCAACGGGCGGCCCCATCAAAGAGGAACCGCCCGAGACGGTGGAGTTCCGCAACCAGCAGCAACAACAGCAGCAGCAGCAGCAACAGCAGCAGCAACAACAGTACCTGAGCAACGGCCAAGGCGGCGCGTTTCAACCGCCGTCTTCCGGTAACGGGCCGCATCTGAAAGCGGCTCATCACAATCATCACCGGAAATCGAGCTCGAGCAGTAATAAGTCGGTGGACAAGAACACGGACGAGTACAAAAGACGGCGGGAGCGAAACAACATCGCCGTACGGAAAAGCCGGGAAAAGGCGAAAATCCGAAGCCGGGAGACCGAGGAGAAAGTCAAGCTTTTAGTCAAAGAAAACGAGAGGCTGCAGAAACGGATAGAACTGCTCAGCGAAGAACTCAACGTGCTCAGGTCGCTCTTCACCAACGTGGGCGTGTTACCCGAACACCTTCACAGGGAGCTCAACAAACACTTTGACGCCTACCCACACTTACAGTGAGCACGAGGTAATGATTTTGAATACCTTTTTTTTTTCTTTTCGTTTTTTTTTCTACGTTACGCTCTAATTAGGCGGCCAATTCTCATTTTGACAACGTTTTCGTCAATGCCGATCGGTATCAAAAAGCTATCGAACTTTCCAAAAGCAGCTTTAACTGTAACTACAAAATTATTAAACCCACATACATAACCGGTCTATCGGTTGTCTCGACAGGTAACATTTTAAAAATGTTATTCCATTTGATTAATATTTAACACCGGTTTTTATTTTAGAAAATATATATATTATATATTTTTCGATTAAAATACAAATTACAAAAGTGGTCTACTTGCGAGCACATGTAAATAAAATAAAACGCGACGATAAAAACGAAAAAATTAATTTTCATAAAAATAAATTAACTCAATACAACGTTATCAGTACTATGCGTGTATTCGTATCAATTCAGTAATGGAGTTACGTCAAAATCCGCCTTGACCTATAACTCTGATCATAAACTAAACTCAACAATTATAATAATACAAAATAAATCTAGGAATGATTGATAGTCCGTCCTACTACTCTAGTGGCGAATTGTAAAGAAACACAATCAATGTAAACATCGCAACAGTTATGTGTGTTTGTAATTCGTTGTTTATATCTCGAATCGCGATAGTTGGAACTATTTCTCTCTTCTCTTCTTCTTCTTCTCCTTCGGTTATGTAGTTGTGTCGACGTTTTGCAAAAAAACCCGTCACAAGTTTCACCCAAACACAGCCAACAAATATATAAACAGTGGCAGCTATTAGTAAATGAAATAATATTACATAGGTATAGGTGCAAAACTAAGGGGCGCTTAGTTCTCTTAATATTTGTTTGTGAACAGCTGTAAATAAAGTTACTGTGCAGCATTATTTGTTTAACGATGCTAAAGCTCTGCCAAGATTGAATATGAATTAGCGCAGGATTGGCAGAGTTAGGCCGTTTAAAGCTCTAAAAGTTGTCGCAGAATTTTGATTTAAAAAAATGCTCATGAAACTACTCTAGTTTTGCTGCTGAAATTTTCTGCCCAACCCCATCCCGTCCACACCAATGAATGTTGTAAACAAAAATACTTCTACAGTCTTTCTTGAATTAAAGATATCGATTATGATCTTAACCTAGATGGGTTTTATACGGAACGGGAATGGCATTGGCACAATGACAAAAACAATCTAAGCTTTATAAAAAAAACAAATGTCACACCATTTCAATTTGATATTTTTTTACCCAACCGAGTATGGTATTTCTATTGAGTACAGGTATTGTTTACAAAAATTGAAAATTGTTGAGATTATAAGTAAAAATCGTATCTTTTATGTTGTTACTACCGCGTATGGCCAATGGCCATAGGTATAAAAAAACAAACTGAAAACTACAACCTGTAAAAATAACCCATGCTATTTTATTGAAATGATTTCCTTGCTAACAGATAAATTAAATGCTCGTTTGTTTACATTCACTATAAAGGAAAAACTTTAAAAAACACTTGTCCATTACTAAAGAAAATAATACAACCGGAGATGTTTATTTTCCTCCACCTTGCTCATTACCCCCCGGGATATTGTTTAGAATATAAAAACACTATTTCCAACCCCTTTGTTGCCTCGATTTTAAAAATGTTGAGCTCTACCCCCTTCGAATAGTGAACAAATTCATTTTATGTACCCTAACCTGTAACTATTCGCCTGCATGCACCTATAGCTGTTTTACAACTCAAATTCCCATAGAACCCTTTGTTTGTGGGGTGTGTAGGCTTTCGCCCTTGCACCCCTCAAACAAGTTGCTCATAGGCATTTTCCCACACGCGGGGCGAGGGTTACAAATGCCCTTGTTACTTGTCGGTCATTAATACACTCAAAGACCTTTATGCATTTTATTGACTTACAAAGCCAGAACAGTACCTATAATTTATAATAGAACACAATAAGTTTTTAAACGAGCAATCAATTTCCACAGCACCGCACCAGCTTTATGTTATGAGAATAATATTTTTATATATATGTTTCATTGATTGTAGTTAGACTGTATAATATTTAAGTCATACATTACTGTAAGCTTACATAGTATGTTTAATTTATTTTTCAGATTTCAAACGAGACATCGATGATACCAGTTCAATAGTAAAGTAGATCCTCATCAGTACCTCTTTGGAATCCAACTATAATATTATTTTATTACCAATTTAAATATTTCGAATGATTATTTTCCTTCATATGAATTGCACAAAATACAATCCTAAGTTAGGCGTTGCCGACAAGATTTGTGCTCGCAAACTGTTCTACTTAACTAAGATATATATATATATATATAATCTATATATCTTTTTGTATTTTTATTTTTGTTATATAAAATTATTACTGTTCTCCCAACTTTAAATTGTTCTTCAAGGATCATCCGAAGTTGGGTTTTGCCCTCTTTATTTTATTTTTTTTATACATGTTTAGCGATAATAAGTTAGTTGAAAAAAATTGTATTTATTTTTTGACACGTACAAAATTATATTAAAAAAAACAATTATATTTGTTGAAAACACAGCATCTATTCCCCTATTAGGTTATAGAATTATACGCCACGAGTGTTCAAATTTTAATATACTTTTTCGGGGATCATTGCTCGGTTGCTTTTTCATTTTTTTACTTTTCAAAACAAAAATTTCACAAATATGAAAATTATAGAAGGAACATAAAAACAAACGGGATTTACCAACCTTACCCAAAGCAATTTTTCAACAGCCGACAAATAATTACATTTGTTGATTAAAAACGAAAACCTGGTTAACTTAAAATAGTTTTTCATTGAATTACATATTTTTTAAAAAGGCAGTGATTCCTTTTTCGGTATTGTTTTTTTTCTTCTAAATCGTAGAATAGAAAGACACCGAAGTAAAATATTATAATAACAGCTGTCAATATTGAATACTTGTTTTGACAATCAATACAATAACGTTAGCATAACCAAATAAATTCTTCTACGACTATAATTAATAATATTGTGATTACAAAGTGCCTATAATAATTATTGACATTACCATTATGAAAATTAAAAACATTAAAGTTACCTCTGTAATACAAACTAGGTTTTGACGCGAGTCTCGCCATGCCAAATTGCTTACATATTATATTAAATGAAAGTAAAAATAGTTACCTACCGAAAATTCCTAATTTATTATGGTTCGATGTTACCCGTTACAAAAGTAGAGTAAACAAATATATTATATAAATATATATATATATACTTTTTTTTTTATCTAAAGGTGTATTTTTTTAATGTTCTTAAAATATAGATTTTATTTTCTCATTCTATGTTCTCTTTAAAATTTGTATTGTATACATAAAGGTTCAAGACATTTTTTTTGAATTTGTTATTATTATAAGATTACTTTGAAAACTGCCTTCGACTCTCCAGAGTTAAATCATGTGTATATAATTTTAGTAAGTACATAATATTATAGTGTACAAGGAAACAATTTTCTACGTTTTGTTTATTTGTTTGTTATTTTTAATATAATTAAACCCCCCTCCCTCCCCCTTTTTTTTTACCTATTTAGTAGTTTTTTCTAGTCTAAAATATAATTTTACAACTTACATACTAAGGTATTATATTTTAGTTATTTAAAATTGAAAAATAAATGAGTATAATACATTTTTTTTTTTATTATTTAAACATAATTTATTTGTATAGGTGATATAAATACTATAATATTTTTCAGTTTAGTGTTTATCTATTTTTTTTTATTTTTATGTTATGGTTTTAATATTATATTTTTTCTTTGTTTTACATTTTTTTTCGTTATCAATTAATAAAAGAAGATAAATTTGTTCAATTGTTTTTGCATTGCAGTTATTTCTCTCAGCGCAATAACCTGCCCATCCGATTCCATATTTTACTATTAACCTTTGACATTAAGTTGAACAAAAAAAAATTACAAATTTTTAGCTTTAACTTGTGAATTATTATAACTATTATTAATCCACAAAAATGGCAAATCCCTTAAATTATCGACTTGAATTAAGTTTTAGGACATGGAAATTTTTGGAAGATATGTGCCATACTAATTTTTTGCAAAATAATTGGTAAATTAAATCTGTTTTTGAAGTATATTTAACGGGAGCTTTTGTTTAACTATTTCGTATTTGACATGAATTAAATCTTAATTATTTATACCTCGGTACAATATCGTTTTTATACTAAGTATTAGGTATAGTGACGTATACAAGGTTGCATATTTGAGGGATTTTGGGGGTCCACCTTACCTCCAAAAAACAAAACTGTTTGTGCTATTGCACTATTACATCACACTTTTAAAAATATTATTATTTTTATGTGTTATGAAAATTGAAAATCTTTTCTACACACGGCCAAACTGCGACTTGAAAAAAAGGAGTACATTTTTTCCTAGCACAATACATATTATTTTTTAATAAGCTAAGTATTACATTTTTAAACAAACATTTGTTTTTAACAAGTGGACATGTGGTGTAATCATTAACTTTAATCATTTTTTTTTTTGACCCTAATGTTATTTGATTACAAAATTTGAAAAGTTGTACGCAGATAAAAAAAACAATTTAATAACCAAAAACTTTTCACTATAGCCTCGAAGCTAAAAAAAGTTACATAATATTTAGCTGAATACAATAGTGTTAAATTTAAATTTAAATAAATTAAGATAAATTGGTCGAATGATTTAATAAAAAGAAAAAATAGCTAACCGACTTGCGATTAGATAATTTAGGAAATTATCTTTTTTATTTAAATTATTGTAATTAAAAAAAGACTTCTTTTTTAATCGATTCATAAATTTACTTTACTTTTTTCTATACTAACGAGTATACTCGATATTTATAATCTTGTAATGTTGAAATTTATCAGACATAGTATAACAGAAAAGTCAAAAACTGGTAATTGTTAGTTATAAAAGAATAGTGAAATAAAAAAATGTACAAAACAAATGCTCTAGTACAAGGTACGTATATAATTATAAAAATTATATTACACAAAAACAAATTTAATAATTTATATATTTAGATGTGGTTTAAAATTGTATCAATTGTATTATCTATTTTTACGGCATCGCTTTTCCATTAGTTGTACTAGATTGTATTGTGGGAAATAAGTATGTCCACTTGATTCACTTTTTTGATATTTTCAAGAGTATTTTTTTTTAAGTACATAATAATATAATTATGATTGCACAATTTGGAAAATCATAATGATGCCTGTACAACTTGTCAGTCGTCACTATCCATCGGTATTTAAATCTTGAATTATGTATAGTCGATTATTTCTAAAGTTCTGACATTATATTATTATAAATTGGATAAAAGAAAACAGGTTTATTCTACGGGCACTTGATATTATTTTTATTTCAGTAATCTTATCAAATTTTTAGAAAACAATTGGCCATTTTAACTGTGATCTTTTTCAATGCTAAATGTTGGTATCTATGAAGGTCACATAACTTATGAATTGGTAATAATTCATGAGCCATTGAAATATCGACTCTCAAGTCTCACTACCTTTTTACAATATTTACAGCTAAAGTAGATTAAAGTTATAACATAATTTATCTTAACGGTTGTCGTCAATCGTCAATTTATAATTAAATAAATAATAACACACACGGGTAATAATTATACAAAATAATAGTCTTGCGCGTCCATTAAACCTTTGAGCAAAGGAAAATGTGCACAAAATTGTCGTCGGACTGAATGTAATATATTTTATTTTATGTTAATCGAATAAAAATAATCTGCTGGAAACGCGCAGCGTGAAGACTGCTGAAGTATAATGAATAATTATTATTTAAAACAAATTAAACGCATTTAAAAGTACAGACGAGGTATAGCGTACAAATGTTTTTATCGCGCCTACTTATTTTTATCTAAAGTTTCTCATAACTCGACAATTAATCACTCCAAATATAATTGCCGACTAGTAAATACTTCCAGTAGGTCATACTTCATAAGATAGTATATTATAAATAATATTATTTATTGTTAATAATACAATATTACGTGAGCTGTCGATTTTTAAGAAGTCAACAGCTGTTTACCTATTATAACCGTGTATTATGATACAAATGGTATTATTGTAGTTACCAAGTGCCTACTATGGAAAAAAATAGATTGGTATGAATCTGATGTCTTGCGTCAAACAAAATGTAAAGCTACATTATTTTATATTATCCACCGTTGATTAATTATTATTATTTACACCGAATTAACATTAAAGTGATATTGTTACCGTTAAATTAAACTACGGCTGTATCTATACCAATCGAGAGACACTATTTTGAACTCGTTATATTATTACGTTAAAGTGCTTGTTTTAGAAAATATATTTGACAGCCATAAAACAAATGATAAAAATGTATAATATATATATGTAGTATAATTTAAAAAAAATAGGTGTTTCTATTGATCCTACTACGACTATTCATGTATAAACTCATTAAAGTTATATCTTATGTGTGCGTAAGAATGTATATTATATATATATATATATATATATCAGCTCGTCTAAAATTCAATACACGTGATGTATATTATAAAAGAAGAACCCAATTCACTTCCAGTTATCAGTAACGTTCTTCTTATTATTTTTTTTTTTTTTGTGGAATAAGAGCAAACCGATTCATTCTGTCGCATCTAGAAGAGCGCGCTGTTACGATAATGAATAAAACATAATAATAACGAGCATACGTGAAAAACTACAATTATACTTCATATAGTATAATTATTAATATTATAGTATAATGTCAATAACACCATTTTCACAGAGGTCATTATTATAGTAGTGATAGTGATGTCTTTTAAATAAAGAGTAATAAATAACGCGTGGCAATTCGTAAATGAACAAACAATTATATACATATATGAATTTTTTTTAAGTTTTACGATTAAAAAAAATCCTAGTATTGATTATTATACTCTACTGCCACATTATTGTATTAAACAAATTGAAGAAACGCTTTATTGAACAAGGGCACGATTTCAAATTTTGATTTTCTATATTTTTTTAATTAAATCAACCTATTAAATGGTAATAAATTAGACAAAATTATAAAGTTTTCGTTAAAATAAAAATTTGCCATTTCGGTAAAATTATGATATAATGATTGTGAATATAAAATTGAGATTTAGTCCCACAATTTACTTGATTGATTGAACAAATAATCCAGCTATTAATGGCTAAGAATCTAACAAACTAATGTTGAGTAGTATTTTCAAAACTATTTACAGTTTTGAGATTTTACAATATGATTGTAAAAATACAATTTCATTTTCATCAGTTGTATTAAATTATTGATACTTTAAATAATTATTTTTCCGGTTAAAATAATTTTAGTTTGATTACATGACGTATAAAACGACACTCCATCACTTCTTCGTTCCTGTCTTAGCTTTTAACTTAAGAAATAATTAAATTTGCCAAGCGGATTTCCTACCAGGCGTTATTTTTATTAGAACATATTTCTATTAACTAATAAAAAAAGTTAATGGTAGTATAGTTCACTAAATGAATTTGTATATAATTTTCTATAAAATATTAAAAAATCAAAATTGTTGCAAAGTTAAAAATTAATTTATAACCGACTAACAAAATTCTTTGAAATATTTATAGATCAGAGATAAGCAATCTCACTCGGTGCATCTGAAAAATGTACCTAAATGTTTTGAAAAATCAAGTATTCATTTCTAGCATAGAATTAGACATAAATATTTCTACGAGTATAAAACTGAACCATAACTACGATCAAAAGTTATTTTTATTTTTAAACGGTCAAATTAGTTTGAAATGTTTATAGTCTCATATAGTATTGTAATAAATGACCATATACTCAATTTTAAGATTAACACTAATAATTAGCTACAAAATACCCATCTTCTTACTTTTTGCATATTTCAAAAAGTCTTTTCGCTATAAAACAAATAAAAATGTGTTAGAGATTTGTAATAAATCTCTTTTTTTATCTAATTTTTAGTTCGTAAGTTCCAAAATTAGACCTCTTTGCTTTTTGTTGTTAGTTAGTAAGTTATATGCAAATAAAATAAATACCGATATTGTTAAAAATTCTCTATAAATTGCTCCGTCCCCATTATGCCCTGCTGGTTTTTTTTAATATGTTCTAGATGTATAATACCTATATTCTATCAAATTTCAGCTCTTTGGGTCTTAAAAATACCACTAAAAACAATATGAACTAAAATATTTCAGTAGTTATAGCGGATGAGGGAGTGGGTGTTTGACGAATTTAGGTTTTAGACAATTTCAGGTTATGTCTAGTAAATGTAGGTAAAATATATTGTATTGGGAAATCTGACCCAGGCTAAAACAAATAATAGAGATAGTAAATCCTATTTTTATTTTAAAGATTCAATGGTATACTTACTACTTTTTTTGTTTCTTAAAATTTTATTTGCTAACGGTTCTTTTCAAAACAAAAGTACAAAATTTGTTTGTAAAACAAATGCTCACATACAAATTTACTGTACAAACATAACTTTAACTTGGGAAATTGTAAAATCACTTTTGTTAATGTGTTATTGTTAAATAACTGTTGAAATTTAACTTTTTTAAATAGCTTTACATATTATATATTGGCTATAAAATAAGTATAATGTAAAAACTTACACAAAGAGTAAGCAACCGATTTATATTAAGCTGAAATAAGATATTCGAATAGTCCTCTTAAAAAGAAATATTTAGTGAAATGTACACTTAATTGTAC